GGCTGCGCGGTGTGCGTTCGAGGCGGGGGAGAGAGGGCGAGGAGGTTGCTGAGGCGGGCGGAGCGGGAGCTGAAGTGGACAGCGTTACCCTCAGAAGGCTGGGAAGAGCTGGTCGACGCGTGGATGTGCCATGCCGATCAAGAGCTGAACAAGAGCTTGACCGAGACTGCGGTCAAGTTTGCCGGCAAGGTTGCGGAGGATGATGGCAAGGAGACGGTCTGGGTAGGGGACACGTACTTCCTCGCACCCAAGGATGTCTTCAACGATGAAGCGGTAGAGGTGGATGACGAGGTAAGTTCGAAACTCTTCCCCCAAGAACGGACCGGATAGAAAGTCGACGATTTCCCCCCTGCGCGCAGACCATCTTTCCACTGTGGAAGGGTGCGAGCATGCGCAACCCGATGGATCGTGCGACTGATACACCGACTTTTGTCCAAGATCAAACTCTCTGGATTCCGATCCGCTGCTTTCTGGTTCGCTGCTTTTCTTGGGTTCATCGGTGTTGGTGCTTTGGTTGGCGAGTCGCTGTTGGTTGGGAGTCCCTGGCTTCAACTTTGTTTCGCTGTCGAGGCCTCGCACGCGCGTGTCAATATGCATCGCAGGGTGGGGGATCGCACCGCCGTCGGATCGACGTTGTTTCGGAGCGATCTTCTGGCCTGCGTGCTGACCTGCGTGGCGGGGAAACGATGCGAGCAGGGTGGAAGCGTTAAGAGGGATTTCGATGAACGGCGATGGTGGTCAAAGGGCTGACTGGTTGGATCGAGCGAGGTGGTGACGGTAGAGGGAGCATCGCGGGACAGAGGGCATGTAGGCCGGACCGAACAGAACACCTGCTCACTGTCAAGGCTCACTGTTGCGCATCTACCCGGCTCTACACACATTTCCCCCCTTCACCATTCCCCCTTCTCTTCGGGTCTGATGTACGAAACGACGACTAACACTGTCTCTTGGTTTCCAACCCGCGACAGTTGCTCCGCTGCACAACGTGTCGCACCACCCTCGGCTCAACATCCCAAGCCTCGTCGATCAAACTGAACAAGTTCACCGTGGAATCTCTCACAACTCCCCTTTTCAATACGTCGCTGTCAACCCTGCTATCGACACTTCAATACGCAGCGGCATCGCACGGCTCGCGACGCTTCCTCGTCAAGTCGCCATCTCGCCAGGTCGAACTGTGGCTGTTCTCACGTGCGACGTTCACCACATCTCTGTCCAAACATTGGACCACACTCGGCGGGGAGGTGGGGGAAGGAGCGATATGGAAGGGCAGCAAGGTGTTCTTCCGTCAGCCATCGGCGGGAGAGACGGATGGTATAGAGACGGTGGAGCTACCAGAGGTGGTGTTTGGCTGGCTGACGGACGCGCTGGAGCAATGTCACGAGAGCTTGCCGAGCGAGCTGGGCAAGGTGCTGCCAGAGTGGAAAGCCGCGTACTTAGCTAGTGTCGTTGATGGAGCGGCGACGACGCATTGCAATTGAAGATATCCTCTCTAGCCGCAGATCCCACATCACTCCAAGAGCTTGCCTGGTACTGAAATGGAGAGGCGTGCTCCAGCCGATCCGTCTCGAGAGTCTGTTGTGAGGAGGAAGACGTACGAGACCCGAGATGGTGGCAGTTCATTTTTGTGGCTTGTTACGGTTTGATAGACAACATTCGGCAGAGTTGTGGCGATGCGACCCAACGCGTTAATTGCCGGCCGCTTGCGGCGAAGGGCAAGAGCCAAGAGACTTTTGGGCGCGTCCATCGCCTTTCGTCGGGGTTGCGCGTCTCGGCCAGAGACTTCTTGGTTCCCTTTGTGTGTTGGCGTCTCGTTTCGAAGTGGAGCTGGCCCTTCGACGTCAGCTTTATTCTCGTGAGAAGCTCAGAGGCACAGCGAATGCAATTGTAGCCTTCGTTGCGAGACATGGTATGCTTTCTGGTTGACTCCCAACGGACAGCGGCAAACTCAAGAACGGCCGCTGCACTGCAAGTCTGTCGACACTTGTGTTGGAAAAACAGAAAAGGAGATTAAGAAAGAAGAAAGCTCGGTTTTCCATGCAAGAGTGATATCTGACAGGCGGCAGCAGCAGCAGCAGCGTCTCACGGATCTGAAATTGGCAATTTCGTGCCGCGTGAGGAGAGAGCGCGTGGGCCATGCATGCAGCGTCCAATTTCCTTCGAGGCCCACACACGCACAGGCACACAGGCAGGCGACTGAAAAGGTGAGAGACGCGTGCTGCCAGCAAAAGTCGAAAAAGCGAGAGAGAGAGAGAGAGAGAGAGAGAGGGGAGAGACCAACAGGCACCGACGACCAAAGTCACACGCAACACTTTTCAACCACTCGCCCGGCAACCACGGCCACACGGGCAGAGACAGGCGAAGCCGAAGGCTCGAGCGACCCTTGCATGATCCCTTCGAGACGCTACCCTGCTATACTATCACACCCGTATCGCGGTATCGCAGACTCGCCCACGATCACGATCGCCATTCGAGATACCTTAGCAACCACCATCTCTGTATACCCTGGCCCCCGCAAGTGCGACAGTCGAAACAGCTGCTGTCGACTCGGCGACTTTCTACCTACACGTGCATCTCTTGGACACAGCTTGGCGGTGACGGTCGAGGCCTCATCGAACAGGACGACGACAACCGTCGTGACGAGCAAGCAGGGCTCACAATACTTCAGGGCTCCGCTCCTTACGCCAAGCGATCGCATCATTGCAGCGTTGCTATGCCCTCGATGGCTGCGTAAGCAACTGTTCGGCAGGACATCTGCATTCCCATCCCATCGGCATCTTCCGACCTTGTCTCCTCGTCTCCCTCTCGCTAGGTGAGACTGTCGGCTCCCACCCGCCGCCATGGACTCGATCTTCGGACGCAAGAAGCGCTCGCGCCAATTCAATTCGGAAGCAGCCGACAAGGCGATCCCCTACGAACGCACCGCCACCGGACGCACTCCCGTCCAAGTCGATAACGGCCTCGCCAGCTCGTCGTATCATTCCAACGCCAGCCCCACCAGCTCCAAGCTCTCCATCGGCAACCCTTCTGGCAACCCTTCCCTCGGCCACGGCATCCATCGCTCCAGCGCCTACTCGGACGTTCAGTACGACGTGCCCAGATCTCGGCTCGTCAGCAATGCCAACGATTATGCTGCCTATCCCTCCACCTCGGCTTCCATCATCTCGCACAATGGCGGCTCCACTATCTCGTCCAGCGCCGGTCTCTCGTCGCATCGTCGCAATCCGTCCGCCGCCTCCTCGTCTCGTCAAGGAATCAGCACGCACGATTCCATGCAGTCCACCGCAAGCTCGTTTGCTCCCAACGGCGGCGCGCGCTCATCTCGCTACACATCCAACACCAGCTCGGGGTTCGCCAACGGCGGCGCCAACAGGCCTCACGATGTCTTGAGCAGGATGTCGGTCGCTTCGGGCGTGTATGGGCATCCAGACGATGGCCGAACTGCGCCGAGCGCTAGCAACAGCCACACCAGCTTGGCGCGCGAGTCGTACCAACAGTCGGGCAAAGCGCCCGATTTTGCGCTCACACGTCCTCCTGATGACCAAGTCGAGCGCCTCTTTGCTGAGCTCATGGACAAACGCGACTTTCTCAACGTGCCCGGCGGCAACCTCTCTGACGAGTTGAAAGAGACCGCGCGGCGCAACATGCTCAACTTCAGCGTCGACAAAAAGTGGACCCTCGTGTACAACGACAAGCTCACCGAATGGCACGCCGAAAAGGAGCGTGATCGCAACCGCCGTCAGCACGCGTCTCAGCCAGGTGGGCCACCGGGTGCCGGCTCCAGCATGGTCATCACGCGCAACTCGCCCGAATGGTTCATCAAAAAGTTCATGGACGGCACCGTCACCACCAAGCACATCGAATCGCTCGCCGTGACGCTGCGCACCTGTGCCATCGGGTGGATCCAGAGCTTCGTCGAAGCCAAAGGTACGCCTGTGCTCGCCAGCTTCCTCAGTGGACTGCACGCAAAAGGCATCAAGAACGACAACGACCTGGCGCTCGAGTACGAAGTCCTCAAAGCCTTCCGTTCGCTCTTCAATTCGAAGCCAGGTGCGAACGATGCGCTCGCCCAGCCCAAATGCATCAGCGGCATCACACATTCCATGATCTCGCTCCAGCTCACCACACGCAAGCAGGCCGCCGACATTCTGCTCTTCTTGTGCCACTGGGATAAGCCTACTGGACACCGTCTCGTGCTCAAGGCGTTCGACGACCTCAAGACCAGCCAGGGCGATCATGGACGCTTCGATGCGTGGTTCCGCATCCTCGAGCAGACCATCGATGGACGAGGCAAGATGGGGTCCATGGTGGGAGCCTCGGACGAAGTCAAGAAGCTCAGCGTCGTCGGTCCGCACGAGTCGAGCCTCAACGAGTATGCCATCAACAACATGTTTCTCATCAACGCCATCCTCAACTCGGACATCGTGCCCGAATTCGAAGTGCGTGTCCACCTTCGCAATCAGATGGAGGCGAGCGGTCTGCAGCGTATCCTCATCAAGATGCACGCATTCAAGAACCCGGACCTCGATGCGCAGATCGGTGTTTTCGAGAAGGGCTCAGAGGCCGATCACGAGGACGTCGTCGAGACCTTCAACAAGGAGGTGCTTACGGATCTGAGCGATCCCGTCGACGTCTTTCGCGCCATCGTCGGCAAGGTCGAAGGATCGCGTGCCTACGATTTCTTCCTGTCGGCTCTGCAGCACCTCTTGCTCATTCGAAGAGACGGCGACGACCTCGTACACTATTACCAGCTCATCGATTCCATGGTCACCTCGGTAGTCATGGACCGCAAGGGTGCCGTCGAGGGCAACGATCTGTCGTCCCTGCTCGGTGTCTCGGTCAATAACGTCCTCTCGCGCTTCGCGGACCAGGATCACATCAACTCGATGCAGTCCGAGCTGCAAAAAGCCAAAGCCAAGGCGGCTGCTCTAGAGCAAGAAAAGGTTGAGCTCGAATCCAAGCTCAAAGCAGGCTCGGATGGGCTGATCGGCAAGCTTCAGGAGCAGATCGAAAAGCTCGAAGACGATCTGTCCTTGGCGCGAGGCAACGCTGGTGCAGCGAGGGACGAGATGGACGAGATGGAAAAGGCGTACATCGACCGCGTCGTTGCTCTTGAGATCCAGCTTCGAGAGCTCTACGATATGCTCCGTGAGGCGCAGATGGATGTAAGCGATGTGGCCGCCCCCGGGAAAGGCAGCCTGGACCGCAAACAGCTCGTCGATACCTTGGAAAAGCAGCTCGAGCGGAACAAGACGATCCGCAAGCTGGAGGCCAACGCACGCAAGAACAAGGCAGGCGACAAAGGTGGCGATGTGCCGCCTGTGCCGGGAGTGCCCACCGAAGACGACCGCAAGCGCATCTCTGCATCCGTACGGCGTCAGTCTATGTTGGCACGGCAAGCGGAGAACGACGAAGAGGATGGCGCCGACGAGGAGGCAGAGCATGAGCAACAAGGACACGACGAAGAGCCGCTGGACCCCGAAGCAGCCAAGTGGAAGATCCAGGCAACACTGGCGGCTGGAATGGCGCAGAACACCGACCTGGCCTCCAGGATGGTGGACGCGCGCGAATCGCGACGCCGCAAAGCTCAGGCACCGACACCGGGAGGCACCGGCAAGCGCACGTCCCATCCTGCTGTGCGGACTCTGCTCGACGAGATCCGCCGGCAGCGCGAGGATGATTCCGACTCGGATGACGACATGATTGCGGGTCGAGGAAAGAAGAAGCCGAGCAGATTGGGGAGCGTCGCAGAGGCGCAGGCTGTCCCTGCACCTGCAGGACTGGCACCGCCACCACCTCCACCGCCTCCTCCCCCGCCGCCGCCGCCGCCGCCGTTTGCTGGAGGTATGGCGGCGACTCAAAAGGCGATGCTCGACGCTGCAGCGATGCCACCTCCGCCACCGCCACCTCCGCCTCCCCCCGCCCCAGGAATGCTGCCTGGTCTTTCGCAGACCAGCAGCGGGGCCGCCAGCGGCGACATGCGCTCCGCCTTCTCCACGCCCAACTCGTCTCGTCCCGGCTCGGGGATGATCCCTTCGATCACCAGCACGCCTGCTCCGCCTGCTCCTCCGCCGCCCGGTTCGGTGACCGAGTCACCCATGCAAGACACCTACCGCAACTCGATGATGAACGTGCGCGCATCGTACGCGCCTACGAATCTCGGTCCAGCCGGGCCCACCGCCGCTCCTCCAGCGCCCGGCGTTGCCGGTCTCTTCGCGAATCATGCGCTCAGCCGCAAAGAGGTGCTGGCCATGGCGAGCTCCAAGATGAAGCAGCTGCAGTGGGACAAGCTTTCGCCGCAACATGCCGCCGAAACCATCTTTGGAAAGCACGAGCTCACCGCGGATGAGGAGGCGGTCGTCAAGACGCTGCAGCAGGAAGGACTGTTTGAGGAGATGGAGGAAGACTTCAAAGCCAAGCAGCCGGTCAAAAAGTCGGCCTCGACCGCCAAGAAGGACAAGATCGAGCTCAAGACGCATCTCAGCCTGCAGACGCGCCAGGGAATCGAGATGGTGCTCAAGCGTGTCAAGTCGAGCTTGACGGAGAGCAAGCAGGCGTCGCCGGAAGAGGTGGCGCATCACATCATCAACTGCAACGAGGCGGTGCTAGACCAGAGCTTCCTCACGGAATTGCTGAGGCACTATCCGGAGAGCGAGACCAAGGGCCAGTTGGGAGAGTACAGGAATGCGTCGGACGAAGAGCTGCGCCTGCTGCATCCCGCCGATCGACTGGTGGTGCTGTTGATGACGGTGCCGCATCTCAAGGAGAAGGTCAAAGGGCTGCTGTACATGACCAAGTACAAGGAGACGTTTGATCTCATCAAGTCGGGCACGGTCAAGGTTCGCGACGCTTCCGAGGGATTGATGAAGGCCAAGGCGTTCGCGCGGTTGCTCAGCTTGATCCTCATGATGGGCAACTACCTCAACTCGACGGGTGTGCAGGGTGGTGCGTTTGGATTCAAGATCACGTCAATCAACAAGCTCGTCGATACCAAGGCGTCGGATGGCACCACGCTGCTGCACTTTATCGAACGCACCATCTCCAAGTGCTTCCCCGAAGTCGAGACGTTCATGGACGAGCTCGAGCTGCCGGCCGAAGCGTGTCGGGTGCAGCTGTGGGACTTGCGCCGCGATCTGGCCGAACTCAAGTCCGGCAGCTTCCAACATCGCAAGGAGCTCGATCGACTGCTCGACGAGAACGACGAGAATCTGCAGGATCCGTATGTCAAGATCATGCTTCCGTTCCTCAACGACGCGGCTTCCGAGCTGCAGAGGCTCAACGACCAGGTGCAGTTTGCCGAACGCGTGTACAACGAAGCGCTCAAGTACTTTGGCGAAGGGCCTGATCCCAAGAAGCGTGGACTGGGCCAGCTGGCCAACCAGACGATGCGCACCGAGGACTTTTTCGGCATCTTCAAGGAGTTCTTGGCGGCGTACAAGAAGGTCAAGGTGGATAATGTGAGGATCGGCGAGCAGAGGGCGATGGAGGCCAAGAGGAGGGCGGCGGCGGAAGAGCGGGAGAAGGAGAGGCAGGAGGCGCTGGCGAGGAAGGAGGCAGGCGTGGATGACAGTGCGGTGCTCGAGACGCTGTTGGGATCGTTGCGAAGTGGCGGGGGTGGGCCGAACAAGCAGAGGAGGAAGGCGAGGGAGAGGAGGCAGACGAATGCATCAGCAGCTGCGGCAGCAGCAGCAGCAGGATCGACAGCGGGAAGCGCAGGGGCCGGCGGGTCAGAGGACTCGGGTGCTGCAGCTGGCAGCGTGTTGATGGGTGCGCAAGGAAGTCCGTCGGACGTAGCGGCGGCAATGCTGGCCAAGCTGCAGGGTGGACAAGAGGGAGGAGCTGCAGCAGCAGCAGGCGACCAGCCAGCCTCATCCAGCGCGAGTGCGTTCAGAACCACGCGCAGGAGGGATCGTCGTTCGGGTCGAGATGCACCGCAGCCACCTGGTTCGACACTGGCCAGAGACGCGGCGTCCGGAGAGGTGGCGAGCCCGACGATGACGATCGACTCATCTCCGGCTCTGTCGCAGCAGGCTTCGTCGACGACGCACACGCCCTCCGCGTCGATCTCGGTCTCGTCCTCGGGTATGAGGGTGTTGGGCGATACCACGGTGGGCGATGCCACGCTCATGCCGTCTTCGTCGAGTCGAAGCAACCACATCGAGGCGGGTCAGTCGGTTCTTGGACAATCACAGGCAGGAGTCAGCCAAGATACACATGCAGCACATGAAACGGTGGAAGAAGAGGGTGCCGAGGATGAGGAGGACGACGAGGGGTCTGAATTTGAAGATGCTCTGGCTGCGCCTCGCAAATCCAATGTCGGGGCGGGAGGAGGGGGGGCAGGCTCGGATCTGGAATGGTTTGATCCGGATCTATCTGGTTTCTCGGCTGCTGGGCAGAGCATCAAGTCGAACAAGGAATAGGCTGCTGTCGTTTCCGTGTAATAGTATTCGTCGTCGAAAGAGTCTTTGCGTGACTAGGAACGAGTGTCCGTGTTGGTCTTGGAAGCGCATGCACCGTCGTATCGATTGAGGACTATGAGGGTTTCGGGTTGTCTTCTGTCGGTCAAAGTGGAGGACGGGCGAGAAATGGCCGAGTTCCGATTCGAAGATTTTCGGATGACGATTGGATTCGTGAATCATGAGCGAGCTCCCTTTGCTTCTGCCACTATCACATACATTGTCGTCGATTCCGTTCGCACGATTAGTATCGCTAGCAAACGTGGGCATGCGCACATCAGCGAGGTCGCTCGCACGACTTGTCGGCCGCGACAATGCTACGAGTCGATGCAGAGCGAATGCGACCGCGACGGTGGCGAAACCTGCCATTGTACAACGCGGATGTTTTGCAACGGTAGCGGCGCAAGCAGCCGACTCGAAGGGCAAGGCAAAGCAGGAGGCGCAGGAACAAGGACATGCTGTACTGCAAGCAAAGCGAGGCGTTCCGTTGACCGTGGCGTGGTGTCGATCCGGTCTTCAGCAGCAATCATCATCGTGGGCTCAACGCAGCGGAACGACAGTTGAGACATCTGCTAGGTTCTATCACATTCACACGTTGCACACATCTGCAACAACACACAACGCACCTCGCTCTTCAGGCATAGGCACCCCATCACCGTCCTCCTCATCGACACTACCGCCTCCACCACCTACCGCTTCTTCAAATACACCAGCCTCGCTCGCGGGCCTAGGCACAACCCAACTCTCCCCGGACATCATGCTCCGCTGCACCATCTTTGACTCAACCGGTTCAGCCACTTCTACATCCGGCGTGTTCAAAAAGTCCCGCCTCTGCTCCGATCACGGTCTCGAACCACGCGATCTCCGCAAGATCGATTCTCGCGTCCCCAACTTGGTCCCCACCATCCTCGCGCGAAGAGGCGGCATCCTCGTCAACATCCTCCACATTCGAGCCATGATCAAGAGGGACAAAGTTTTGCTCTTCGACAGCTACGGGAGCACCGACAGTCAGCTACACTCGGCATTCGTGTACAACCTCCAGCACAACTTGAGACCTCTTCACCATCAGCCTCAACATCACGGCAGTGGCGGCAGCAGCAGCAGCTCTTCAGCGGCCGGATCGGGTGGTTTGGCGTACGAGTTCAGAGCGCTGGAGAGCATCCTGGTTTCCGTCCTGGATGCATTGCGGATCGAGCTGGGTGTGGTGAGGGGGTGGACGAGTGGAGTGTTGGAACAATTGGATGACGATGTGGATCGGGAAAAGTTGAGGACGCTGTTGCAAGTGTCGAGAAAGTTGAACGCGTTCTTGAGCAGAAGCAAAGCGGTCAAGAACGCGGTGGTGGAAGTGTTGGAGAACGAAGAGGATATGCAGTTGATGTACCTTTCCGCCGCTCCGCCCAGTAACAACGCCAACAACTCGTCATCAACCTCGACCACTTCAACATCCTCCGCCCTCTCAAATGCCTCATCTTCCAACAACAGCGACAACGCGGCAGAGACGAACGATTCCCAACCCATGGACGAACTAGAGCTTCTGCTGGAATCCTTCGACAAGCAGGTGGAAGAAGTCGTCGCTGAAACCACCCAGCTGCACTCGGATATCACCAACACGCAAGAAGTCGTGGAGCTCATCCTCGACAACAACCGAAACAAGCTGCTCGCACTCGATCTGAAAACCAGCATCGCGACCATGGGCATCTCCGCGGGCACACTGTGGGCCGGACTGTTCGGGATGAATTTGAAGAGCCATATGGAGGAGCTGGATTGGGCGTTTGCGGTGGTGAGCGGGGTGGCGTTTGGTGCGGTGGTGTTGACGGCCGGGGTGGGGTTGAGGAGGTTGGAGAGGTTGAGGAAGGTTGGATTGGGAATGAGGGGCAAGATCGAGGATAGGAACAAGGGTGGGTGGTTGGAGAGGTTGGGTGCGAGGAGGAGGAAGAAGCTGGAGGGGTCGGCGGGAGGAGGTGTGATGAATGTCGGTGGCGTGCATGCACCGATGGGTTATCAGCCTGCGTTTGCGGGCGTGTATGGTGGATATCCGATGCAACCGCATTTCGCGCCAGGGCCGGCTGGCAACGGTTTCGGTGCCCAACCCAACTTTTCGCCACATGGAGAACCGCAGCAGCAGCAGGCTTCGTCGTGGTTGCCACACGGCGTCCACCCTTTCCCTCCAGAACCTGTCGTCGACACACCGTCGAACACCAACCCGAGCCGTCAACCCGTGTCGTCCACAGCGACGGCGAAAGGTTCGCAGCAAGCAGCAGAAGAGGTGGCCGAGGCATCGGCTGCATCGGCCGCAGGTGGGTCGCTGGGTATGGGTTTGGGATCCAAATGGGATTCTGCCGGAGGTAATGGAGTGGGTAAGAAGCGACGTGGCAAGACGTAATCTCAAGGAGATCGTGGTCATTTGCGACGAAAAACACTCTATAGAACATTGACACCTCTCATAACATTGCTTTGAAAGCATCGCTATATGACAGAGTGACAGAGTGACTGAGGCACGAAGTAAGCACTCGACTCGCTTTTGCGACAGCGGGGAAAACCTCGACGCCAATCAGATCTTGATCGGACCATCGTTGGGGCAACTGATGTAATCCACCTTTGTGATTCCATCCTTACCGGCCACCAGCACATCCGCACATCCCGGATGACCCTGCTGATACCCCGCCCACACTGTGATCGTATCTCCGCCACGTGTCACCACCTGTGCTCGGGTGGTGCTGTCCCACACGACAAGTACGAACTGCGAATCGTTGTCCGGGTTGGGAAACACAGAGTAGGTGCCCTGTGTGGGTAGCTGTTGCGTGACGGGTCCGCTGGAGGAGTCGAAGCATTGGTGGACCGAGTTGGCAGGGTACGGCGTCGAGGACGGAGGGGAGGTGCAGAAGAGCGAGTAGGAGTAGAAGAGGTTCATGCCGGGAGGTGTCGGCCCGGCAATGGTGAGGGGCAGAAGGAGGAGGAGCGGGATGAAGAGGAGTGAGAGGCAGCGCATGGTTTGAAAAATGTGTTGAGGAGATGGTAGATGAGAGCAGAAAGGTGTTCAGCGAAGATTGGATTGGTTGGAAGAGAAGGAGGATGGAGAGAGGACAGGTTCAGAGGATTTATATGACCGTCCGGAGAAGCACCGCCGAAGATGTACGCTGAGTTGGAAGCTAATGACTCGGACCGCAGTGGAAGCTGTCGGACCACTGCTTACTCTGGTGGGTGTCATGAGCGATGGCGTCGCTGAGCAAATTACACCGCATTGCAGCTCGCCGTTATCGAGCCTCCGTTGCATTACATTAGCGGTGGCGAGAGAGTTCAAATGAAGTTGGGTCCAGCACCGACTTATTAACGGAAGTCGCATCCGGCGTTGAATGAACGAATGCCTCGCATTTCATGCCCACCGAAGGGGACCGTTGCGACGGGATTTCGCCTGCGAACGGGAACGCTGCTCCATTCGCCCCACAGCTCCGCCCGTTCCGTCTTCTTGCTAGCAAATTGAGCGCAAGCAGTCCCACCAGCGAATGTTTCACACGAGAGGATCGGTTGTAAACAATGTGATCGTATTCAACAAGAACATGATGTTGGCATGCATAGCGACGACAACAAGGATGGTTGAAAACTACAGCAAAAGAAACGCGGAGATTCACGACGAGAGGCCATGCCTGGTGTGAAGATTTGAGCCACGCAACGCATCTCGACCGATCAATTGGATCGCGCTTCTCACCGCTCCGCCTCGTCCGTCAACCCCTTCCCACACAGCGTCTGACTTACGCGTGAGGGTTCCAGGGAAGCTGCATCGGACCATATTCAGGGTAACTGACAGCATCGTACAGCACGTAACCAGTCTGGTCCTTCACGTTGACATAAGGAGCTGCTGGTTCGTCGTTCAGCTTTCCCCACGACTGCGTGATAGTGTACCCCTTCTCCGTCTTGACAGTGGCGACTGTGTCTCTGCTCCAGAGTGCCACCGCAAATTGGGATGGGTTCTTGTCGGAAAAGACCGAGTAGGATCCGGGTCCAGGCAGTTGCTGGGTCACGCCTCCGGCGCCGGAGTCGTAGCACTGGTAGATGGTTCCATCCGGGAATCCACCGAGACCGCCGCAGAAGGTGGTGTAGTTCATGAAGAGGTGCAGACCAGCGGGGGCGGGATCGGCGTGGACCGAGTTGATCGAGTTGACAAGGAAGAGAGAGAGAGACACGAGGGTGGTGAGAATGAAGTACATGATGGGCAGTTTGAACACTGTGTGTGCGTGTGTGTGGAAGAGAGGGAGGGATCGTTGACTGGAAGGAATTGAAGATGTCGAGAAAGGGGGGCTTAGGCTACGACTGAGGGTTGATATATGCGCTCAGAAACGCGGGTCCCCTCGAAGAACAGACGATGGATCTAGGCACTTCGAGTATCCGCAATGGCGGTGCTTTGTTGGTGGTCCCTCGGCCGCTTCATCAAGCGGTGGGCGTTTGCTCAACGCTCGTTTGGGCACCACGAGCATTTGCAGTGGCGGTGCGTTTCGGTGGCACACTTCCCCCTTCATCAAACGATGGGCCTTTCTTCAACAAACAAAAAACGCTCCGACGCAAGTGTCACAATACTCACTCGATGGTGTCCAAGCATACAATCCAACGCCCCTTACAAATAAGATCGCCATTCCACAAGGACCTCCCTAGAAGTTTTTCATAAAGACACCCATAAAGTCTCATCGTTTGTGATCTCGTCGCGCCGATCTGAGCGGACAGGTTCATCTTACTGTACTGTACCCGTCGAGGTTCATCATGTCAATTCAGAAATGGACGCACTAGCCAACAGGTGAAGGCGAAATGCTTGTCATTGCATTTGAATTCACGAAGTACAACAGGAGCCACTGCCTTCGATGCAGATGGTGAGACACTCTCCGCCAGCTTGACATGCCTATGCAGAATGACACTCTCTCATCGCAAAACGACCCCACACCTTCCCTTAGCGCTAACATCAACCCAAACCACCTTGAGCTTCGAGGACCAACTTGACCGTCACTCCTAATGGGGGCCGCCATCAGATCCACTGCTAGGTGGGCCGTAATCGGGTCCCCCATCCTGATTTCCCCCAGGAATCACGACCATACTGTCGGTCGGACAAATATCACCCATCGACATACCTTCATCTCCGTCGATGTCGTACCAAACGCAACCATTTCCAAAGTCATTGTCCGGTTGCACATCGATCTTGGTATGCTCCGTCTTAACGGTTGCCTTGGAATCCTTATTCCAGAGGACGATGGCAAACTTGGTTTTGTCAACGTCGTTAATATAGACAGAGACAGAGCCCGTGGAATCGATAACGTCGGCTTTGGATCCGGTGTTAGCGCCGACGCAAAGGTGGTACGTATGATCGGGGAATTTGGCATGGGGATCAGAGCAGAAGGTCTTCCAGCCGTAGAAGAGGTCGAGACCGGCAGGTGCTATGGCGGGTCTAGCGATGGAAGGTGCTACGGAAAGCGCTGCGAAGAGGAGCAAAGACAAACGCGTCGTTTTGAGTGTAGGAACGATGTGTGGAAAGAAGTAGGCCTGGGACAGCGAGTAATTCGTGATGGTGCTGGCGGTATGTGTGAGCGGCACATTGACGGTCTTATATCGAACCCGCAAACAGAGGCCCGACGTTTACCCGGCACGGACGTGATTGCTGGTGGGGAAACAAAGTGCCTGTGGGTCCCTGGGCGTGAAGATTGTTGGTTCCTCTACACTCCATTGACATCGGCGTTGGAGGGCCCACACACGGTTCGCCACCGATCGCTCGACCATCGATGCAACTGCTATACGCGCCGTATCAACCTCCCACCCGCTGGTCCCGCAAGAGAGAAGCAGCTCGCTCTCCCTCTCAGCCGCGAAATGAAAAGGGGCGGAAGAGACGAAACGTGGGAACCATAGTCACCGTCTTTTTCAACGTCGTCATTGGTGGCCGAACAAAGTCCGTGACAGCGAGTGGCCTCATCCGTAGCACATTCCGCCTGGCGCGCGTGGGTTCAGCTCCACAGGTGAGACGTTCCTCGCCACCAGGGCGATTTCGAGTCCTCACCTCATTTCGTGTCTGCTCATACCCACCTCTGCACCTTTACGATCACACTGATCGAAGCGGAAAAGTTTTTTTTATTGATGGTCATCGCCTCTGCGACGTTGGTTCGTTGATCACATGTCAAGTTCCAGCGCAAATCAGCCTGATCTCCCCCTCACAGCATTCAGATCCTCTGTCCAAGCTCCCTCTTTCCCCGTCTTCACGGGATCTTGACCCTCGGCTCCGTATAACAAGTGCGGCGCACCTTTGGTCCCACCCACTTGCCGTCCTTCAGATCGGTGACGTACCACTCGGCACACCCAGGCTGCGCCAACTGGCTTCCCGCATACATGGTGAACAAGTAGTTCTTCGTCTGAACCTGACTATTAAAGGTCGGGTCCCACAGAACGATGACAAATTGCGAGTTGTTGGATGGGTTGGAAAAGACAGAGTAGAGACCGGGAGCGTCGAGCTGCTGAACGACGGGTCCGTCGGCAGAATCGACGCAGATATGCAAGTAGTGGATCGAGGGACCGCTGGTGGGAGGAGAGTTGCAGAATGTGTCGTAGTTGTAGAAGAGGTTCAGGCCGGGTGATGCGGAGGAGGCGGAGACAGATTTGAAGAGAAGCAGGGAGATGCTGGAGAGGAGGAGAGCAAGGAGATTCATGGTTTTTTTCTTGACAGAGCAGCGATGAATGGACCTCTGTGGAGAATGATGGTGCGAACGGGAAGGATGAGAGAGGGACACGACCAGTTTATATCTGTTCTAATGCCCAGGCGGTGCCATGCTTCGAAGTCAACGAGCGACCACTAAAGTCCGGCTGTACCCTCTGGATGGCTCAAGGGCACATGTGCTTTGCTGGCGGAATCACCCACGAGATGCCGAATTGCAACCTCCGCCCGTGGGAGGAAGCAATGTCGAGCTGCGTTGCGAAGCGTGCAGTCAAAGATCAAGTGTCCCCCAGATGCGGTAGTTTGGCGTCAACCCACCTGAACTACCTTTCATCAGACGCCCGCCGTAGCGTCGGTTCGGATCTCTGTAGCTAGGTGTGTCGAACCGCTGCCGACAATCACACGTTCCCCGAGACATCCAAATTCTAAACCAGAACCGTCAAAATGGCAGCTGTCATTTCTCATGCCGACTCCATGGCCAACTTACGAACCCAGCGCTTGACGATACAGATCCCTGCCGACAACCCGCTCCAACCCACCCAGCCTGTCCCTCAACCACCGCCGCACCATCTCCACATCCCTGCCCGCCACCCTCACCACCCTCACCCCTTCCTCCACGCTGCTCAAGCTCCACAACACCTCCTCTTCCCTCAGCGTCGTCGTCGGTCTCTGCTGGATCTTTTCAAACTCGCTCTCCAACCGCACGCCTACCTCCTCCGCATCAATCCCAGCCAGGATCAGCGTAGCGTAGCAACCGAATGGATGGTTTCTCCGCGCCAACTCTGTGAATTTTTGCCCGCTGATCGGATCCACGAAGAACTCGTTCTCCGATTGCGACAGCAGGATCGTATCTCGAGCGACGACGGTTCCCGCGATGCGCAGTTCGTTCCTCGAGCGGTACGAGGCGAACTCCCATAGCTCGGCGGATCGCGGTGGTATGCTGTAGTCTTTGGCTGTTGCGTGCTGTGCGGTGGACGAAGACGAGTGGGAATCGAGATGATCCAGTCGTTTGGTTTGGGATGGTGGTGGGGGCACGGCGGTTCGTCCCGGTGTGATCCAGTCGAGAACGATGCAGGAGGAGGTGGAAGGGTGCCGTAGATCGAACCGTTGGATTTGGTCGTAGCGTGCGTTTGCGAAGCACGTCACAGGATCGGGAAAAAGCACCAACGTCGAATTGGGTCGGATGAGGAATCGAAAGTTCTGCCTTGTCGCAATCTTCACCTCCTCCCCTTGAGCGATTCGACGGTTGGAAGTGAAGCTCGCCGTACTCACTCCCCGCGTAGGCCGACTAACCCTCGTCTTGAACACCTTGGTACTTCCCTGCGTCAACACCATCAAACAGCATCCCATCCCCACATCCACATCCAGCTCCACACTGTCGCCCGAAACCAACCCCCCACCATACCCCACCACATACATCGCATTCACCACCTTTCCCCCCGCTCTTCCTTCGCTTTGACGTTCTTGCTCCGAGGAAACCTCGCGGATCATGGTTGTGGTTTGACGCGTAGCGTTCCTGGAACTGACCACGGGCGACATGAGTTTCAACGGAAAAGTAAAAGAGAGATGTGTAAACACTCCTCGTCCCGACTTTGCACAACGCAGAACGGCCAGACCCTCACCGTTGAAGTTGCTGTCATTTCCCCCGTCTTCCTCTACGCTCTGCGTGGCGTCTTGCTGGACGTTCTTGTAGATCTTCTTGAGCGTCGGTTTGCTTTTAAATTCTTCCAACTGGACACCTCCACCACTGGGCTCGATCCCGGAAGCGATCGAATTGGTAGCATCGGAGGAAGTGGTGGAGGAGCGGATTCGTTGTTGACGTTTTTCCAGATCGTGCGCCCACATGGCAGCACCGATGCGGTTCGAGATGGAAAAGATCAGTCCGATGAGTGGGATGCGTTCCATGAGCGCAGCTACGAACCCGAATGATCGGTAGGCGTGCTGTCGTTCGGTGATCCACAGTTCGATCTGAAAGGGCGACATTCGTTTGGCTTCGAAAAAGCTCTGGTGGAGCAACCGACCGTAGGTGAGCGAACGAAGCGCTGCACCCAACGCCATTCCGAATAGCGGAACGAAGTCCATCGGCAACAAAAACACTTCTCCGCGCAAAGTTTTTCCCCAAGAGTCAGCGCAGTTCTCTCTCGAAGAGACGTTGGAGTGGTTGGAAGGGACTCACCTTTGAGAATGACGAACCTCACCAGAGGGGAAGCTAGCTTGAGGTACCAAGCTTGCTTCTTGGCGTCTTTGATCGCCTTTTCCGTCGGAGGGTTCTTGAACTCCTCGACGTATTCTGTCCACCAATCCGCCGCTTTCCCCCTCGACCTAACCGTTTGAACGTACGCCGTATTCCTGCATTCCCTCAACTTCCTCCGCAACCAAAACTCCATTATCGCATGAACCTGACCGATCACGAACATGAATGTCGCAAAAGCTGTACCCCCCATAGAACCAATAAATCAGTACTTTCTTCTTCTTCTTCAGGGGAGGGTGGGAAGGGACTTACTCTGTAAACTCGGTATCGGAATACGAAACGGCAGGCTATCATCCGTCACATCTGCCGTCTCTACCACTCTTCCATACACCGCGTTGAAGCCCGTCACGGAAGCAGACGCCGACATGAAGTAGTACACGAACAGTCGCTGGAAGGGCCACGTGAGGACGCCCCAGACGCCCGCGACGACAAGAGCCTGCTTAGCGGCGTGCGAGCATTTCTCCCACATGGGCTTCCATAGCGCCGGATCGTGAGCCAAGCGGTACGCTCCAACGATGCAGTACAGCGGTGGGAAGGTGAGCGTCTCTTGCGGCATCGTACCCGATATCCCGCGCCGGTGGAGAGCGATGAGAGGATCGAGAGAGGTTGGCGAAGAAGGTGGAAGCAAGTGACATAGCTTGTGGAGGAGAAAAGAAAAATTAAATCAAGTGGTCCAAGCGCACGCACACACTAGCTTCGAAATGCACAACCGTGGGTCACACCGAGCCCTTCTCATCTCGTCGCAATCAACTCGCTCTCTGCCAGAAGAACCAACCTAAGTCCTGAATCATTCATGATTGTCGAACGACCCCAACATTCGGAACCACCGTCCAAGCTGACCCGTTTCGGAAATGCATGCCGAATTCGAGCACTCACCTCTCACTCAGATCTCACACACACTGTAAAGTCGCATGAAAGATTACTGCATAGCTATGTTACATATCGGTTTTGCTTAGACTTAGAGCTTCTCGGCGATCATCTGCTCCATAGTAGCGCCGTCCTTGGCGAAACCAGCGATACCCTCGGCGAGCTTGGTGTTGGCCATGGGGTCCTTGGCGAGGTCGAGCAGGAAGGCGGCCTGGTCGTTGATGTACGACACCTTGGGGATGGCCTCTGCGCTCTTTGCGTTGTCGACGGAAAGCTTCTGCTCGACGGGGCCCTCCTTGTTCTTGAGCTCCTCGAGCAGCTTGGGCGAGATGGTGAGGAAGTCGCAACCGGCGAGCTCGAGGATCTCGCCGATGTTGCGGAACGAGGCGCCCATGACGATGGTCTTGTAGCCATGCTGGCGGTAGTAGGTGTAGATGCGCTGAACGGAAAGAACACCGGGGTCCTCGTGCGAGGCGTACTCCTTGCCCTCGGCCTTCTTGTAGTAGTCGAGGATACGGCCGACGAAGGGCGAGATGAGGGTGACGTTGGCCTCGGCACAGGCGACGGCCTGGTTGAAACCGAAGAGGAGCGTCAAGTTGCAGTGGATGTTGTGCTGCGACTCGAGCTCGCGGGCGGCCTGGATACCTTCCCAGGTCGAGGCGATCTTGATGAGGACGCGCTCGCGCTTGACGCCGAGCGACTCGTAGAGGGCGATGAGGTGCTTGGCCTTCTCGATGGTGGCCTCCTTGTTGAACGAGAGACGAGCGTCGACCTCGGTCGAGACACGGCCGGGGATGATCTTGAGGATCTCGACACCGAAAGCAACCAGGAGGCGGTCGGTGGCAAGGTCGAGCTGCTTGGCCTTGTCCGAGGTCTGCTCCTTGGCGTACTTGACGGCAACGTCGATCAGACGGGCGTACTTCTCCTGCTTGACGGCAGCAAGGATGAGCGACTGTTTTGGCGGGGAGAGCAGAGCAAGAACAAGGAGCAAACGGTCAGTATCGCTATTCGGCTTTCGGCGATCGCTTTCTCGGTGCAGATGCAAGTGCCTGGCACTAGATGCAGAAAGAGGCAAAATTTCTGGAATGGAAGGACTTCCTCGACAACTGCGACCTGGCCTCGACTGCGCCTACATTGCATCGTGTTGCAGACAGCGGGAACTTACAGGGTTGGTGGTAGCATCCTGGGGCTTGTAAGCGTCGATGGACTCGAAGTCACCCGAGTCGGAGACGACGGCAGTGTACTGCTTAAGGGAGTCGAGAGCGGAAGACATTTTGTGTATAGAAAGAGACACGCTGGGGAAAGTGTGTGCAAGTGGCGGGGTTTTTTGGTGGTGAGAAGGAAAGATGACAGAATCCGAGCCGAGTCGGATATCTTATACGATGGCTCAGTTTCCCAGGGTTTTGCGATTTGGGTGTGGATGTCGATGTTGCGTTGCCTCGGAGCGCGCAATGAGGCGGATCCAAGCGCACCCTGGCAGTCAAGCGAGTGAGCACGAGAAGAAGCACCCGCCGATGCGCTGGACAATGTGCCGCTGATCTGGCAAAGATTAACACGTTTGATTGCGAGCGGCACCTGCGCCCGGGCCACGGTCCGAAGCTTGGAATTTTTGAACCTGGCCTAGAGAGAGGGCAGCAGCATCAGCAGCTGAAGCAGCAGCGCGTCATCGGAAATTCCAACACTTTCGGAGATCATCCGTCAACTGGGGACACACTACTATAACACTGGCAGCAAGGATCAGCATCGGGATCAGAAGAAGTTCGAAACGGCAGGAAAACCTCACATCGTCATCTTGACCTTCAAGTTTTGAATTTCGGCCTAAAATCCGCCACCGCCCTTGAGTTTCTCAGTCACATTGTTCGGAACTGTTTCAATGGGGTTGGTTGGAAGGTGGAAGAGCCTGCCGATCCTGACACAGTGCAACACAGCCAGCTTGAAAACAGGGCCGAGAGAGAGCGGCGCCACAGCAAAACTGGAGATGTGCGATTGATGTCGATCTTGCGGCGGCTAGCTAGTGCTGTACAGCAAACCACATTGTCCCTTCTATGTCGATCGGCTGCTGTTTCCCTTCACAGCTAAGATCGCTGTTTGCTTCAATGAGCACAGCGCCAAGCTCGTTACTGTTCTTGATGTCTGACTTGCATCGGTGCCATGTCGGTCTTTGCAAGCCGCAGCAATCACAGCATTGACCGAAGGGCGGACAGGACCAATGACAGCAAAGTCTGCTGCACAACGTGTTGCACGATATCGTCACAACTGCTGCTCGATGGTCCGGAAACCAGACCCGATTACGACCCCGTTCTTGGTGGCAGGAGGTTTTTTTTTTTTTTTCCACGCAGCGAGTTTTGCGGGCACAGCACACGCGAGGCAGATCGATCACGACATCATCTTGCATGTTCCACTTTTCCTTCTTGAACACTCGTCGGCGAGGTGCGCCTCTCTGATTCTTTGAGTTTTCGGGAGTTGAGCTGCGAGCTGTCTTCTCAGGAACCGTGGCGAAACACGATAGCAAGCTTTGTCGGGTCTTGCCGAAGCGGTACCGTACAACGCTAGCGGCTGGCAGACCTGCTGTACACACCGGCAACGTGATCTCACTCCCGATGTAGTCTTGCTAATGCGTCCCGATCATACGCCCTGCGTCTGATGGTGACGATCCCACAGTTTACCTATGTTGCTCTCTTCCGCGTCGCCACACCGGACACATCGATTATGCAGGACATCCTTACCGGCAAGTATCGAAGTGGGCGCACCGACCAAGGCGAAAGGGGGAATGTGCCCTCGTCCAGATCACCGATTCAACTTGAACCGAGATGGCCGGTTGCGTGTTGTTCTCTGGTGGACCCTTGCCGCAAATCCTCTAACTTTGCCGGTGCGCCTTTACACAGTCTCTTTGATCGCTTGATACCGCTTACCGGCATGTCCAAAGACGTCCACGTTCGGCAATCTCAGCACACGATCAGCTTTGCAGGACGAAGATCAGGGATACAATTACACGTGGCTAGTCGAATGAAGAAGCAATGAATGGTATACAGATGCAAGCGAGCGCAACAGGTGACAATGACAAGATGCAGAGGTCGAGGTCGTGATCTACATTTCGCCGCATTCTGTGTTCAACAAGCAAAGCAAAGAAGAGGATGTCAGTGAACTGGCCAACGAGGTCTGCCGTGGGTATAAACTTATGCAACACTTACGAGTCACTCTAACCGCCATCTTCGGACGGTTATTTGCTCCCGTAGGAACGTTCTCCATCTTTCTCAACGTCAACAGACCATCGACCACCTTGCCAAACACGACGTGCTTTCCGTCCAAGAACGGACACGGTTGAGCCGTGATGAAGAACTGACATCCGTTCGTTGCCGGTCCCGAATTCGCCATGCTCAGAAGCCCTGCCTGGTCGTGTTTCAACGTGAAGTTTTCGTCTTCAAACTTGTCGCCGTAGATGGAGCGAGATCCGGTTCCGTCGGCGTGGAGGAAATCGCCCCCTTGACACATAAAGTCCTTGATGATGCGGTGGAAGATCGAGTTCTTGTAACCTTCGGGAACGTGGTTGGGTCGGAACTCTCCGGTGCACAGCTGACGGAAGTTCTCGGAGGTGCGAGGGACGATGTCGGAGAAGAGCTCGAATTTGAGACGGCCAGCAGGGGTGTCGCCGATCGAGATGTCCATGAAGACGATGGGTCGACCGTTGGTGCCTGCACCGGGCACGACAGCCGTTGTAGAAGCCGATGCTGTGTTCGAAGACGACGACATTTCTGCGGCTTTTCACGGTCTCAAACGCCTCTTCGCAGCGGCAACAGACGGAACAGCAGCAGGGTTGTTGTGACGATGCCGCAAGAAGAAAGCTTCTCGAGAGCATGCGGTGGAGGACAGCTTTGCGATTTTTTCGGACTTCGGCCATCGCTCGAATCGGCAGATCTTGCGAATCTTATCGGTGATTGATTTTTGATAACACGACACCCTCGGGCGAAAACCCCTCGGCTCGCACCGAAGAGAGAGAGAGAGGCAAAAAAAGAGAGAGAGAGCCTGTGTCGGTCCAAGCTGAACCATCTGGCAACCGAAGCTTCACCCTGGACCCTCGCGGCGAAAGTCGTCTAGGCGAGCGTCAAAGTAAGTTATGCTTCGAACATGGTGTTACACGACAGCAAGCATTCCTTTAGGTTCTTATCCCCTGGACGAGGTTGTGCCACGTTCTTGGGCCTAATGCAGTGGCGTGGGTGTTTCGTCTGCCAGCAAGCAGACTTGTCTCGGACCTGACTCTCATTGGCGCCTCGAACAGAATGTGTTAATGTGTCGTAGAGAGGAAAGCAGCTGCTGTCAAATGCCTCCTTGCTCAGGAGACTGACACGGAAAGGACATCTTGTAGGACATCCGCACATGCGCATTTCAACAGCAGCTGGCGGCGTCGATCTTGGCCTCTTCTCTCAATGATTGGAGCCAAACGACCCGAGCCTTGCCGTTGTCGTTGCCGTTTCTGCTGCTGCTGTCGACTCGAGCCGCCTGGTGGCAGGCCAAAGCACCTCGGATGCCTCAGTCTACACCCTACATGTGTCGACAGACGATCTCGAGCGGGACTGCAAAGGAACTTCGAGTCGGCCTGTGAGCCGCTAACGATGTGGAACCCAAACAGCCGCGCGTCACGCCGGGCTTTGAGGAGCCAGAGCGCAAGAGAAAATAATTTTCCACATCGATCTGCTCGAGATACTTTTTGGACCCTGACCGACCGAACCCTCTTCGATCCTTGTGAATGGAGAGCACTGCCTTTGAACGCCAAGATTGACTTGACCCGTTGTGCAAGACACGGAGCATAGCCGCCGAGATAGATTGGCGCACTCCTTGCGACAGTATGACTTCATTTGTATCTACATCGCCACAACACAGACGGCAGCATCTGCTGCGGGGAGCGTTAACGCTCGTTGGCAGACAGAAGCTGTGTTCGGTTGTGCGTTGGGCTTGAGAGCTTAGCTCCGGAGCGGGTTGTATCTGATGTCGAGAGTTCCGTCGTCTCTTGCTGCTGCCTGTATTTGAGGTCGAATCGAAACCCACCCGTTGCAAATTCGCTCAAAATCCGAGAAATCGTTGCCGCGAAAGTTGCGTCAGTTTGGCCGTCGTTTGGACAGACGACACCGACACCCTTGACCCTTGCTTTGACCCTGGTTGGACGCTGAATTATTTTTTATCGGTTGTGAACTGATGGGGCTCAGCTCGGCCTCGCCGCGATGGCTGCCTGCCTGCTTGCCTGCTTGCCTGCTTGCTTGCTTGCTTGCTGCACTTCGAATGGCGAGAAAAGGGAAAAAGAAAAATTTATCGAGTTGCAATTCGAGTGTGCCGCGCCTTGCCTCCGGTGAATGAGTGCGTGTACGTGTGTGAACTAAGTAGGTGAGTGGGACGGCGATTCCGAGCTTGCGGCGCAGCAGCTGACAGAGGCGACCATCGCTTCAAGTGAAAAAGTGTTTTCCCTCGACAACGCAGTGTGCTGCCCCACTTTTTTTTTCTCTTGCCGCTGCCTCGAGAGACGTTGCTTGCACCCTTGCCTCGCCTCGCCTCGCCGCGCCTGGCCTGCTTGGTCTGAGTGTGGGTCTGTCCATTTCTGCCTGTCTGCTGCCCTGCACCACTGCCCTGCCCCGCCTCCTCGTCGTTGCCCTCGGGCTCCCCCCTCCCCTCCCTCCTCAGCTTCGGACAGCCCGCCGCCATCGCCCCTCCTCTCATCCTCACCATCACCATCATCATCGCCTTTGTCGGCTTGTCTGTCCGTAGCGGGTGTCACAGCGGTATCGGACCATCCTCCGTGTCTCCTGCGCAAGACCTCCATCTCGAAACGCTCAGCCGCTCAGCCTCAACTCCTTTCGCCATCTCTTCTCTTTCCGCTGCAACGTGTCTGGCGTCGTCTACAGCCACTTTGGCACTCCAGACGTAGCTGTCTCAAGCTCAGCCCCGAGCCCTTTCATTACTTGTGTCTCCAGACCGACTCTGCGGTTGCCACCTCATAGACGCACGACACGCGAACACCACCTCGACTGTCATCTCCCACGACATCCATCCCTTAGGCTCCAGATAAGCTAACAACCAGATCACAGCTCCCATCGCCTTCTCATTCCTCCCTCGACCATAAACACAAACACCATGGCCGAAAACGTCACACATACCGAAGATGCCACATTAGAAGGCGGCAATCCTCCCAAGGAGCCAGGCGAAACACGCCCTGCTGCCGCTGCCACCGCCACCAAGCACAACGGTGCCGCTGCTGCCCCTGCCACCAAGTCATCTGCCATCCTCGCCAACTGCGAACCCAAGCCTCTCATGGCGACCCCTTACTCGGATCGCATTCAGGCCGCCATTCGCGATGGTAGCGTGCGCATCCCCACCGAGGAGCGCGAGATTCGCGCACGCGAACTCCTCGTCTTCTCCGACAGCGAGACCGAATCCAACCTCTCGCGTCCTCCATCGCCCGACCGCGACCGCTACCCCAAGCACCGTCTCAGCGGTCTCCAGAGCAAGGACCAGACCATCGTCAAGCATGGCCTCGAGGCCGAAGGTCCCGAGGGTCTCGCCGCGCGTCTCGAGCTGACGCGCGAGAACAGCCCCTACGACTTTCGCGCGCAGCTGGCTCCTCCCAGCTTTGCCCAGGCAGGTGGTCAGCTTGACGGTTCGGCCGCAAGCACCTCTCCGCCCTCGCTCGTCTCGTCGAGGCGTCCATCGGCCGGCACCGCAGCGCAGGCCAATGCCGCTGGCGCCGCTGCCGCGGCTGCAGGCGCCTCGCGCCCCTCGTCGCCTCCGCCGCGCGCCATGTCGCCCAGCAAGGCTCCTGCTTCCACCAAGATCAGCCACAGCACGCTCTCTGGTGGCACGAGTGCCACCTTCGCCACTTCGCCACGACCCCAGCCTCCCGTCGAGCCCACCCGCGTCCCATCCAGCAGCGGCGAACAAAAGGAAAAGCCCAAGGAGAAGGAGCCCAAGGGAATGTTCCGTCGCATGCTCTCCGGTGCCGGCGGCGGTCACTCTGACAAGGACAGATCCAACGCCGACGCGGCTGCTGCTGCCAGCAGCCCTAGCCGCGAGCGCCCGTCGCCTCGCACCGCAGCGAGCCAGCAGGGCAGCGGCTACATTTCTCCCATGCGTTCGCCCTCGCTCAGCCGAGGCTCGACGCCTCCCCTGAGCCCGCGCAACGAGACGGACGAGGCAGCGCTCGCTTCAGGCTACCAGGCTATGAACCTCACCAGCCCTCCGAGCAGTCAGCCTCCCAGCCGCAACGTCTCGATCAAGCGCAAGGACGGCAAGTCGGACAAGGACGCAAAGGACGGTGGTGCCAGCGAAGGGAGCCGCCTCACCGTAGCAGCGCTGCGCGACTGGGATGCCAAGGGCAAGCCCGAAAAGTCGAGCAAGAAGTCCGACAAGGGCAAGGACGGCGACGCCAAGTCGACCGCCAGCTCGACGCTGCGCGACATGATCATGGGCAGTGCACCCAAGCTTTCGCGACGTGGCTCCAACACCAGCCACGGCAACAAGTCGGACGGAGGCAGCAAAAAGGGCGGAAGCACTGCCGGCGGCGAGACCGCCAGCCTGCTCAAGAAGTACGGTGTCTGCGAGAAGGCCGCCATCGGCAAGGGCGCCACTGCGGTGGTTCGCCTAGCACACAAGTGGGATCGATCCACCGAGAAGCTGTACGCGGTCAAGGAGTTCCGTAAACGTCGCAAGAACGAGACGGAGAAGGAGTACGTCAAGAAGCTCACGTCCGAGTTCTGCATCTCTTCGACGCTGCACCACATCAACATTGTCGAGACGGTGGATCTGGTGCAGGACGAGAACCGACACTGGTGCGAGGTGATGGAGTACTGTCCCGGCGGCGACCTGTACGCGGCGATCAAGCGCGGTGGCATGTCGCAGGCCGAAGTTGAGTGTTCCTTCAAGCAGATCCTCAACGGCATTTTCTATCTGCATTCGATGGGTGTTGCGCACCGCGACATCAAGCCCGAGAATCTGCTGCTGGATGGACACGGCCACATCAAGATCACCGACTTTGGCGTCTCGGACGTGTTCCGCATGTGCTGGGAAAAGTCGACGCACTACTCGAAAGGTCTCTGCGGGTCCGAGCCGTACATTGCGCCGGAGCAGTTTGAGAAGAAGGAGTACGACGCGCGGCTCGTCGACGTGTGGGCGGCGGCGATCGTGTTCTACTGCATGCAGTTCCAGGAGCTTCCGTGGCGCGTGGCCAAGATGTCGGATCCGACGTTCAAGGAGTACGTGCAGTCGTACGCGACGAGCGCGGCGCCGTCGCCGCTGTCGAATCTGAGCCCGAGGGAGTGCAGGCCGCTGCTCAAGAAGATGCTGTGTCCGGATCCGAAGGCGAGGTGGACGATGGACGACGTGTTGAAGGATCCGTGGTTGATGTCGGTGCCCGTGTGTGAGGAGGGCAAGCAGAACGATCATACCCATTCGAGTGCTCCGAGCAATTCGTCCTGAGGTGACTTGGGGACGAAGCGCGGGGTGGTGGGGGGAGGCTCGAATCTTATCGTTGCGAAGTGTAGTGGGTGACTGAAATGGAACGAGGTTTGCATTGATGATGATGTGGAGAGCGGGAGTGAGTGAGTGAGTGAGTGAGTGAGTGAGTGACAAGCTGACGAGGGTCAGGGACTCAGTGATGTTCGGTCAGACGGAGTGAGAGACGGACTGATGCTAGAATTGCTTTTGATATGAGGGGAAATTACATGGTGTTGAACTATTGCTTTTGATTACCTATGAGTGTTGAACCCTGCCTTTTTTGTTTGTTGGCGGTTTATACAGCGTCGTCCCATACGCTCAGGGCGACATCCCTGCACAAGCCCAACTTTTTGAACTGGTCCTCGACGGTGATCTCGTTTCCATGGACGGTGGAGCTGAAGCCGCACTGTGGGCTGATGCCCAACTGCTTCTTCCCTCCCTTAACCTGTTCAGCTGCTTCCTGGATTTTCTGGATGAGGAGGTGTTTGTCTTCGAGTTTAGCAAACTTGCTGCTGACCAAACCGAGTACAACGATCTTGTTCTCGGGGAGGTGTTGGAGAGCGGTAAAGTCTTTGCCGGAACGGTGGTCTTCCCATTCGAGGAAGAAGGCGTTGACGTTGAGTTCTTGGAAGAGGACTTTGGCGATGGGGTTGTAGCCGTCTTCGGAACCTTGGGCGAAGAACTGCGAGCGGAAGTTTCCCTTGCAGAGGTGGATGGCAGCGACCATGTCGGTGGGTTTGGAGGCGAGGGAGGCGTTGATCAGACGGGCGTAGTGGTGGGGGAGGGTGGAGAGGTCTTCACCGCGCGACTCTGCTTGGGAACGCATCGTGGCATCGGTGAGGTAGGCCAGGTTGGTATCGTCCAACTGGATATACCTGCAACCTGCTTTGTACAGCGCATCGATCTCCGTTCGATACACCGCCGCAAGATCGCTGAAAAACTCCTCCAAATCAGGGTAGGCTTCCTTGCTGATAGCAGCACGTCCACCTCGGAAGTGACACATGGTCGGCGAAGGAATCGTAATCTTGATCCTCTTCACCGCATCCTCCGGAACCAAACTCCTCAAATACGTGAAATTGTCCACCTCGATATCGTGCGTATGCTTCAATTTCCCCGTGACACTCAAGGTGGGAGGCACACGACCTTCCTTCTGCTCGAGCGTGTTCTTGCTGATCGTGATACCGTCAATGTGCTTGAGGAAGTCGAGGTGGAAGTACTCGCGACGGAATTCTCCATCGGTGATTTCCTGGATGTTGTGTTTCAGCAGAGACTGGACGTGAGCGGCGATCTCGCGGTCCTCGATCTGACGCAAGTCGGAGGCGGAGATGGTGCCGGAAGCATGGTCAGCGCGGGCGGTGTGGATCGAAGCAGGGCGGAGGAAGGATCCAACGTGCGCGTGACGGAAGGGTGGGTTGACGTGCAGCGAAGACGGCGCTGAGCCGGTGGGCAGAGTGGTCGACGACATCTTCTGCGGCAAGTGCGTGTTGATGATGGTGGAAGTTGAAGAGGAAGAAGTTTGTGTCTACGGGAAGCTTGTACGAGGGGCGCACAGACGTTTATGCCTCGTCAAGGTTTTCGCCATTTGTGGCGTTGTCGCAGTCATATATACACACGACATCTTCTTCCTGCAGTGGATGCTGCATCCCAACGCAGTGCAGCTGACTGTTTCCTACGATTTTGTGGAGACACAACCCGGAACAGACGGCAACTCGAAGAGAATTACGCACGACAGCCTCCTTTTCCCCGTCCCAGCTACGATCTTTTCCCCTTCCCCACCCGATGCTGAATCGATCTTGTCCGATTTCTTCTCGGCGCAAATTCAATTGTGGGAGAGAGAGATTGCCGGTGCGAGGCAAAGTTGTCGAATTGTGCAATTCGCCGCCGCACACTTTTGGTTTCGCTGGTGTGCTGCATCGGCAATCTCTTTGCCCTGCACACCGACAAGTCGGACTAAGCGGTAGGTGTCGTCGTCGTTGTCGAGGTTCTACCGGCGATTTTGTCAACATGGGATCCTGAGGTGTGGATAGGATCAAACCCCGAAGTTCTCCCGACAGAACGGTGATAGAGGTGTGTTGGAGATGTGGGAGCGAACGAGCGAGCGCGGGGAGCTGGCCAACCGTCGGTGGAATTTCACACCGATCCCTTGTCGAAATGTGGGGGCGGATGCTGACAAGAGCAGGAGAGAAACGCACAGTCCGTGCTCGACCCCGTCCTCTGTCTTCTCGGTGATCTCTCTCCCTTCCAACCTTCAGTTTCTCGATATAAGACCATAACATTAGAATCTCGTCCCCTCTCTCTCTCTCTCTCTCTCTCTCTCTCTCTCTCTCTCTTTCTTTCCCTTCATCACGTTGTTCGCAAAACATGTCCTCTCTCTCGGCATCCAAGCTCTTCGACCTCACGGGAAAAGTGGCGCTGGTCACTGGCGGCGGTACGGGCTTGGGACTCACCGCCGCCCTCGCGCTCGCCTCCAACGGTGCTACCGTGTACATCTCCGGACGACGCAAGGAGAAACTCGACGAAGCGGTCAGCGAGTACTCTAACCAGGTTGGATCTGGAAAGCTCATCGCGTACGTTCCCCCGCTTTTCCCCTCCAGCATTGCCTTTTTTTCTTCTCTTTGTTTCGATCCGCTGATCCTTCCCTCTTTTTTTCCTTGCTACAGTGTTCAGGGAGACGTCTCTTCCAAAGAAGACCTCGCTTCGATCGCATCCACCATCGAAAAGGGAGTTGGTCAGCTCAACATCCTCGTCAACAACGCCGGTGTCGAAGGTCCCATGACCAAGTTCGACTCCTCCACCATCTCCACCGTCTCCGCCTCCACCCTCTCCTCCTCCCACCTCTCCTCCGAATCCTTCGCCGATTGGGACACCTTGTTCCGCATCAACACCTCCTCGATCTTCTTCTCCACCTTCACCTTCCTTCCCCTCCTCTCCTCCTCCTCCTCCCCCTCCTTCCCTTCTTCCATCATCAACATCACTTCCATCTCGGGTATCGTCAAAGTCTCCCAAAACCACTACGCATACAATGCTTCCAAAGCAGCTGCTAACCACTTGACCCAAATGCTAGCTCACGAGTTGAGGTTCAGAGCAGATGTCGGGGTTAGGGTCAATGCGATCGCTCCAGGTCTGTTCAGTAGCGAAATGACTAGTGGAGGGAAGAGCGAAAAGGGTAAGACGAGCAGTGAGGATGTTAAGGGTCATGAGAACCCAGCGGGTAGGGTGGGTAGTGAGGAGGAGTACGCTCAGGTTGTGCTTGTGTTGGCGAGCAATGGATTCATGACGGGACAGGTCGTGGCCGTCGATGGCGGGTTCGTGACGGCGGTTGCCGCCAACCGTTAGTTGCAGTAGAACCTCTAGAATGGAGAGGAATCGTAGAACGGAATGCACAGCTTTTCTTCACAATCTGACCTTACGAGCCCCCAACGACCGATGAACATTCACTCCAAACACCTCATTCATTGTGCCTAAACCAACATCACATTGAACACCCAACCCTCCGCATCACGCACGTCCACGCAACACCCTCTCAACATCGATCCTCCCACTCCGCAGCTGCTTCTCCAGCTCCACCAAATGAGCCTCGCCCTCGGCGCGCATCTCCCGCGCAGCCTCTTCCGCTTTCGCCTGCAGCCACTCGCCCACCGTCATCGTCCTCTGCGCAGCGTCGAGGTTCAGCGAGCTCAGTTGAGTAATGTTGGCGAGGGGAGTTCGGCCTGCAGCAGTCGACGAAATCATCGCGATGGACGACGATCGGGGTGCACCGCGAATGGTCGCTTGTGATCCAGCGTTCGGGAGGTCAGAGTGCACGTCCGAGTCCGCGTCGATGACGTCTTCGGCGGATGCGGCCGAGCTGGACTTGGTCGAGCCTCGCTTGGATGCAGATCTGGCGCTAAACCCCTTCGATGCGATCGATTCCAGCGCGTTGGACACCGATCGAGAAGAGCGATCGAGTGCTGGCTCCACGTCCGTTTCCGAGCTCATGGATGGGAACGCAACCGGACCACCTGGTGCGTCAACCTGATCGCTCGCTTTCTTTGCGGAAGCCTTGCGCGACTTCGTCCCGGATGAGGTCGTTTGGGTGGACGAGAGGCTTGCCGAGCTGCTCTTGGCCCCACGACCGCCGCGTCTCTTTGGCTCTTCCTCGGGCTCCACGCCCTCCTCTTCGACTGCCATCGTCACCTCCTCCTCCTCGTCTTCTTGATGTTCGATGATGGTGTTGTTCACCGGATCCTCCTCCATGGCAACTTCTGCCTCGGACTCTGGCTCTGGAGAGGCCTGTTTTGGGGTCGAAGCCTCCTGATCGAGCTTCTTCGACCTGGATCGACTCTTCTTTGGCTTGGCCGGTAGAATCGGGTCCGTCGCGGGCTCGAGGTGATCCCCGCTCGGTGCACTGGGCAAAGTGACGGGATCAGAGAGCGCCAATTCGCGCCGTTCGAGGTCCTCCTCGTCCGGCCTCCTCAGTTTGCGGTTGAGACCCTCGTCCGAAAGCAGGTTGATGGCTTTGGTGGCCCTTCTGCTCGCGGCTCGCGTCGGACGCGCTGATGATGATGATGATGATGATGTTGACGACGACACCTGGGCGGCCATACCGTTCCCCAACCCTGTTGCGCTCTTCTTTTTGCTAAGCACTTTGACCGGTTCCTCCACTGCTTCGTCCTCGTCCGCTGGCACAGTTGCAGGCTCTTGCTCTTCCTCTTCTGCGGCTTCAGAGTTTTCTTCCGCCTGCGCTTTTGCTGCGAGCTTTTGGGTGGATACACTGCGAGTCTTGCGACCTCCCTTCTTGACCGGCTCTGGTGCTTCCTCGATTGCCCGTTCGTCCGCCGTCGCGGCTGCGTCCGTTGCTGCATCCGTCGGTGACTCTTCCTCTTCTTCCTCGTGCTGTTTTGAGGCTGCGGCGGACTTCTTGCCTTTTGTCACTTTCGCGGATGCTTTGCGGTTCATTGCAGACACGGCGCGCTTGCCTCCCTTCTTCGCAGTAGTGACATCCGGGACGACCTCTTGAGCGACATCTTCCGCCGTGCCTTCATCCGCAGCTGCTGGCTCGGCAACAGCCTCGCGAAGCTCACAATTGAAGAACGCACAACCCGGAACGCGTCGTTGATGCTCGTGTACGGGGTCGTCCGACTTTTCCCATCCGCCCAACGATTTGTTGCAGTAGACGCACTTTGCATTGTCAGATTCCTCCTCGGTCGGGGTAAAGTAGAAGCCGGCTTCGGCGAGCTTCTTGCTGGTAGGCTTCCAGCCCTTCTTGCCGTCGTAGGGCCATTGCGAGCCGAACGACTCCTTTCGAGCCTGGATCATCTCTTTGCTGGTTGGCAGAAGTTGTGCCGTTTGCCAAATCCAGACGTTGGCATCCTCATCAAACACGGCGGTCTGTTGACTTCGAAAGATGCGCGACCAGCCGTTGTCCGGGAGAGCTTGCTCGAGACGTGACAGTGGATCGTCGTTGGCCTGCCAATCTGAAATCTGAACGCTTGGATACAGGAAATGCGAGACAGCGTCTGGCGTGTCTGATGTGGGTGAGTGGTAGAAGCCGTATTTGGCGAGCGTCTCCGGAGTGGGGATGCCCGATGTTTTGGCGCTTCGGCCCGTGACGGGATGGGGCCATTGGAGCGGTGATGTCGCCTTGGTGGACTGTCGCTTCTTGGCCGCAGACGCGGACGAGGAGGCGACGGCAAACGATGCCAGGCGCTCGTCTGTCGAAAACATGGCGATCTGTTGCTGTTCGAGAAGGCCGGTGTCGGGCGTGGTGCGCTGGAGTCGCGATCAAGCCGAACGGTCGGGGAAGCCCAAGTCGATGGTCGGAAGAGCGGCAACTCCGCGACAATCGCTAGTCCTGCAAAGGTGCTTGATCGGATTGGTACCGACAATGGAAAAGCTAACGAATGAGCCGAGCTGTTCGGATTGGTGAGTTAGAAGCGGTGGTGGTGAGGAATGGCTGAGCTTGAGGACTGAACCGCGTCTCGATACGATATTGAAAGACCAGTGTTACTTTCTCTCAGCTGAGACGCCATTTCCTTGACTTGGCAAAATGCGTATGCACCTTGAAGGGTTTAGACCCAAAAGTAACACTTCGCTGACCACGCTCAGTCACCAAACCACAAAGAGTGAGAGGCTCAAGTCCGGATGCACAGAGTGGACCTGCTGCGTCGGAATTTGCTGTTTTTTGGAGCGTGGGGCTGCTGCCACTTTCAGCACCCAAACGCGTCAGTCACGCACGTGATGCTTTGCAGACGGAAGCCAAAAGGCAGGAAAAGTGATGTTTTAGCCAGGACCGAATTTCTTCTGCATGTAAGATTGGAAAAGATTGTGACGCTAGGCAGAGCGCAGGCTGGCCAACTTAGCTTCCTTTGGCAGCGTGGGGGAGCATCAAGAAGACCCTGAATTTTGTTCCTACGCTTTGACCCGAGCTGGAGTCGGGGACATGGCAGAAGCTGCAGCTTCGTCCGCATGCTTTGTTGTTCACATCACATTGTGACCCGCTACCATCATCGCTCGACCGCTTATTGGCGAGCTGGCAGACCGCACCGAGGAAGAGGGCTTCTGCGTGTGACAGAGCACAAGGGCGTGGAAAGGCAAGAGCAATTCGGCGACGGGCCGACGTGCGATTCCCAACTCGGCGCATCCGACACTCACACGCGATTCGACTCCTCTTCCGCTTCACCAGCATCGCTTAAAGACATCTCTGTTAGCCTTCAAGGGAGAGCGCAGAAGGGCATTGACAGGACGGTCGGCCCGCTGCTGCTGCGGCAATGGATCTTACTCCGTCGGTGCGGCGCAAAACGGGCACAGTCACGTACGCTAAGCGCAATCGCACACCCGCAAGCAGCACACCCTCATCGCCAGCGGTCGCCGACAGATCCTTCCCTGTCAAAATCACTTCTACTTCCAGCACATCGTCAGATGACGAAGCCGGTCCATCGAATTCGCAGCTCAGGCATAAAGATGCTCGCGGTGGCTCGCCGTCATCGCAGACCATCAGAGCAAAGGATCTCAGCCCGAAAGATCGCAACGCGCTTCCTCCTACTTCGAACGACAGTGTCTCGCCGCTAGCTCGATCTGGCTCTACCAAGGGAGGCGCTCGATCCTCTGGCAAGACACTGTCCGCAGCCACTCCGACAGGTAGCACGTCGGCATCCAGGGCAGCGTTGACCTCAAAGTCTGCCTCTGCAGCGACGCCGGGCTTGTTTCCCAAACCGGGTTCCTCTTCAGCAGACCTCAGTTCTACCAAGTCGCTGCCACAGCGACCGGCAAGGGCCACTTCTCCCACCGCTAGCAGGTCACAGCGCTTACCCTTGAAGAGGAGCGCAAGCACGTCGCCTCGAAAGCTTGCATCGTCGGTGTCTCCCTCCAAAAGGCTCGCTCGTTCACGCACCCCCTCGCGTCCAGCGCAAGACCTCGCAAGCCTCTTTGACGCCATCGAGCCTACGCTACCTCAGCCTCGCAACCCCTTCGCTCGCAGCGAGAGCCAGCCGATCGTCCGTCTTCACCGTGATGATGCGGATGTCTCGCCCGACGCAGAGCCCGTCTTTGCACCCAGTCCTCTCGCATCCCCTACCCTGCCAGCATTGGAATTCGACCGTGCTGACGACCAGCTCGAGCGCAACGGCTCCGTCAGTCCTTCGAAAAGGCCAAGGATGGCGGATAGGATGGGCGTCAGAGCTGCTCGACCCACCAGATCCAAGGCGGATGAGATCGCAGAAGCCCTAACCAACTCTAGACGAGGATCGTTGCGCAGGATCGAAACGGCGCCGTCCGCACCGTCAGAGGCAGGCCACCCACCAGCTCTGCTCTCGGATGCAGCTCAGCGTCTCAGAGAGGAGGGATCCAGAAGCGCGCGTCGCTCCGAAGCTGGCTCCACTCTCGTCGACGACGCTTCGCAAGTTGACACCCAGTCTCAGGATGGCGCTCGCTCGGCGTCCGGCGCTCGGCGACTCGCCGGCATCAAGCAAGCTTCGTCTGGCAATGCCAAGCGTACGTACGGACTGCAGCGCAGCTTTCTGGCAGACCAGACCGAGGACAACCTCCTCAACGAAGCTGCGGTGACATCGAACTCCAACACAGAGTCTCGCAACATCGAAGACGAGATCGAAGCAGAACTCAAGGGAAAGGCTCCAAGCAACGGACACGGCACTGCATCCAGCAAGGCATCAGGGTCCAGCCTTGCGACTCCCAACGGGGCAGCAGACCCGGCACACGCAGCGCCACGCGAGAGCTATGCCGAGCTGCTGAAAAAGTGGGGCGAGGGCGCCGACGACATTGAGTGGGATGAATCACAAGATCCTACGCTCAATCTCAAGTCCATCACGTCGCTCCGTTCTCAGGGCGAACTCCGACGATTCAACGACGACCTCGAGTACCTCTTTTCCGGTCTCGACGCTTCTCAGAGCATTTCGATCCGTCGAAGCTCGGCTGTCGAATTGATCAACCTTCTTTGCGGCAAACCTGACCTTGGCAGTCTTGCAGAGCGGGATGCAAGCGATGTCGACGAGGACCCAAATGACGACGTCGAAGACCCCCTCGCAATGGCTCAATCCGCCGACTTTCTCCGCAAGCTCAAGGCTTCCGATTCGATCGTACGTCTTTATGATCTCTTTCAAGGCGCAGAAGCGGGCGAGGGCGTCGACGACGTTTTGGACGCTGCCATGGCCATCTATACGGCCAAGCTACTTCGATCAGCCTCGACGGCGGAGCCTCTCATCCGCGAGCGCAGGTCGCAGCTTTACTTTGTCCTGCGCAATCTTCTGACAAGATCAGATCGAACCCCATGCCAAGACAGAAAGGACGGTTTCGCCTTGCTGCGCTTGCACGAGCTCAAGCAGCTCAAGATCGCCTCCAAATCCGATCGCAAGACGCTGACTGAGCTTCGGGATATTGCCCGCGTTTCGAAGCTTTTCGTCGCTGACTCGAAAAGCTGGACGGTGCGCAACCTGGTGCTGGCTGCTTGTTGCTCGCTCATCAGCCTGCCTCGACGCCTTTTGACCGAGGTCGCAATCGGTGAGCTGCTCGTCGATGCGCATAGTGCAGAGGATGGCTCGGGCACTTCTCTCTTTAGCACAGTGCTCAGCATTGTGACCTCAGAGGGCATTAAAGCCAGACAGCGGCTGAGCGACTTTGCGAAAGGGCTTGAACTCATTTCCTCGTCGGCTGTGGAAGTCATTCCGGACCTCGAAACAGTCGATGTCTGCATTCGCTTCCTGGACAAAGGCATGGACGCTCTCTATCTCGAGCTGGACCAGGCCGTCCTGGAATCCAGTGAGATCTTGGACGCGTTGCAGCAGCTCGCCAGCTTTGCTATTCATGCGGCGCCGTTCGGCGCCTCACAAGCGACAGGAGATCCGGAGCACCGCCGTGAACTTGGCACAGATCGTCGCGCTCTGCAAGTCTTGCACGGACTCTTCAAGTCGTTGCTGGATCTGAGCCAGGTCGATGCAAATTGGAGCGAATCGTTGGCCTCCTCGCAGCCTGTCCAACAGGCGATCATGCGGGCATTCTCTCTCAGCTTCCTCAGTGCCTTGCAAATACGCAGCAGGGCCGAGCTCAGCAACGGACCCAGCCTTGGCAAAAGTCCACGGAAGCAATCAAAGCACGCTGCCGCTGACGCCGTCGGCGAAGCTGGAAAGGTGGACGTCGCTTTGTTCGACGACGTCGTGCATCTCTCGCTCGCGCTTCTCACCAATCTCCTGATCAAGCAGCTCGACAAAGCACGCGACGCGCTCCACTCTGTTCGTCTTGACCCCACTTGCTGGCGACGAAGAGCTTGCACTACGGAGTGCGTTTGCGACACTGGGTTGCCGGCGCTCCAGCTTCTCGCTCGCATTTTCATCGACACGCGTATGGCAGCAGCCAGTCACGACGACAGCAATGCAGCCTACCTCTCCAACTCGATCGCCACCGCGATTGCGCAATTTGCGGTTGGAAGTGCTGCTCGCTTGGAGATCTGTCGAGCTGCTCTTGACGCCGAGCTGCCTGCGTCAGATTCCAGCGTGAATAAGGAGGATGGATTCCAGACTTTGTTGGATGCCGTGGAGGAGTTTGCAGTGGTTCACGAGGCGGCTTTGCATGCAGAGAAAGCGCAGATTGCGGAAGCGGATTCAGGCGCAACGCTGGATGCTGAAGTGAAGGTTGAAAACGGTGACGATGTCGGCAGCATGGAGGAGAACGCGGTCGATACGCCTGCCGACAGCAGCAATCTGGTTGCTGCCGAAGCTGGGCAGCTCATCAAAGATCTGGCCGTCTCGCTTCGGAACATGGCTTAGCATACGTCGCGACTCGAAAAGCATGTCTTGGTTCCTCTCTTTCCAAGATGCAATTCAGACAACAACGCCATCATATACCTCTTGATGTCCACGCTACCTCTCGGCTGTCCACTCATGGAGTGCGTCAAGATGGCGTCACATTTCACCTCACACCAGCATGACGTTCTGCAGAAAGACCGCATGCATTGCTCTTGTGAATGTCCGAGTGTGAATCGTGAAATTTTGTCAATGCCGTCTCTAATCTGGGGAGGTCGACTATCGTCTCGATCGTGCCCCTCTTGTCGGCCTCTCTAGGTTCTCTATCAACAGTGTCACCACTGGTCCCACGAGCCCTATCACTCCGAGTACGAGCCACACCAACTGGCCACCCAAGAGGTTCCTCGTGACGCTGAAAGCGAACAGCGTGTTTGCAAAGTACGGACCTGCGGTCCTACTCACGCTGCTCGCCATCTGAGCCAGACTGTTCAACGTGCCCAACGCCGTCCCTCTTGTCAAAGTGGAACACTGATTGACGAGGATCATGTTTGACGCAAAAGCCATACCTCCGATGGTCTTGATCGCCGTACTGACCAGCAGACATGTCCACACCGCATACGTGTACCAATCAGAAGACTCGGACGAAGATGCACCGAGACGTGCGATCCCGTTTGCGAGGGGAAGGAGGATGACCGAGATGGGGAAAGCCATCATGGATATCTGATATACGCGAAGCGTTCCGTAGTGCTGTTGGAGAGGTGGGAAGAGGAAGAGTTGGACGAGAGCTCCGCCGAGACCGTTGACGCTGAGCAGGAGACCGGTGGAGGAAGAGGTGAAACCGACGCCGCCGAGGGAGATGGGTTCGTAGAGGAAGAGGACGAAGACAGCGTCGAGTGCGACGGCGATCAAGGCGAGGAAGGAGTAGGAGATCATGACTTTTTGGATTTGAGGGATGACGAGCAGCTCGCGGATGCTGGCTGTCGGATGAGGCTCGCAAGTCGCTGCATCGTCAGGTGGAGAACTTGAGGGTGGTGCCGAGTGGGTTTGGTTCGTCGATCCGTACCCCTGATGAGCGTCATCACCAACCACGTCTCCCCCTTGCCGTTGTCTCCGCTGCTCCTTCTGCTCTTTCTCCCATTTCTTCCTCTCCACGATCGCCGGCAACGTCTCCTCCAACGCCACCACCCCCAACCCGATACTCCCCAACGTGATCGCACTCGATACGACACACGGCAGCAAGAACGGATATCTCTCCCAAACCCCACCCCACCCCACCCACCCTTCCCCTCCAAACCACCCCGGATACTTTTCCGCTGGTCTACTCAAAAACCCTCCCAACAACGGCCCCACCAAACACCCTACCGTCCACGTCAACGGCAGCAACCCGAACGCCCTCGCCTGATTGCTCTCATCCGTCAGCTCGGCCATGACGCTCTTCACGATCGCCACGTTTCCATTCGTCGCCCCTGCCATCGCCCTCGCCGCCACCACCCAGGCGAAGCTCTGACCGAACCCAAACAGGATCGCGGAAACAGCTACCCCGGCAAGACCGGTGAGAAGCACAGGTTTGCGTCCGATCCGATCCGATAGTCGACCCCAGAAGAGAATGGTGAGGGTCTGGGAGAGGGAGAAGAGCGATTCGATGAGACCGGAGTAGAAGCCGATCGAAGAAGCGGGAACGGAAGGGAGAAGCGTGGAGACGAGGTCGTTGACGAAGGGGAAGATGATGGTGAAGTTGATGGGTTCGGCGAGACGCATCGTGGTGAGGATGAGGATCGGGCGGAGGGGGAGAGGCGTGGGTTTGCGGGGGGAGGTGGCGAGGAGAGGTGCGCTCTCGGGGTCAACGTCATCGTCGTCGCTGGTGTGGTCGGCTAGGATGCCGCTTGTGCGAGGTGCTTCTGGTGGCATCCTGGTGGGGTTCGCTGGCGGAGACTGCAAGTTGATCTGATGGTGGTGGCGGTTGTGTTGTGGTAGTGCTGATGATAGTCGTCAGCGTGGATTGCGGACAGATCCGCTGTTCTTATGTCAACCCACTTTCCATACTTTTTCGAAATACAAATGCTGAGTCGAGCTGCCGTACTGAAAGCGATTGAAGGCAAACAGATGACACCAATGACTCGAAACACTCCCCCTTTCGATTGTGTTGCTCGATCTTGACAAACGCTCCTTCCAGGAAGAAAAGCTTGATCGTGTCCCCCTTCCTTGATGCTGTCTGTCTGTCTCACGAGAGAGATCCTAGTACGAAGACAGCAGCAGATTCCAGAGGTGACAAGTCTCGTGTTCGATACTATGCTACTGAGATTGAGCGAAGGGATGACTCCAGAACGCCGACCGGCCAGAATGTTGCGTGAGGCGTTGCTGGTATGCCTGGTGTCACAGGTGACTCGCACATCCAGGAACCTCGGCAAGCGGCTAGGGGACGGCGGCTAAATCGCCGAGCGGGAAAAACGGCTGGGAATTCAGGGTCCAAAATAGTCGGTGCAGAAAAATTATTCGGCGCTTGTTTCTTCTCGTCCATCTCGACTTCGGACTATCTGCATTGCCGGCTCGACGACCTACATCAGCAAAGCCATGGAAGGATTCAGCATTCCGGAGTATCAAGTCTCGCAAGATGCCGGTCACGTCTACGTCGATGTGACGTGTCGATCCGCCACGACGGGCGTCGCATCGACGACCAAGCCCAACATCGCAGTGGAAGGGAGGATCTTTGGCTTCCATCACGAGCCCTACTACCTGCCTCTCGTACTACAGGCGGCGGTCACGAGACCAGAGTCAGATGCAGAAGCGCTACAGATCATCGATCAAATCGACTCTTCTGCGCCGAGCAGCTCTCAGAGCCAGCCGAGTCGATTCCGAGTGACGCTCAACAAGGTACGACCCGGTCAGCACTTCGAAGGGTTGGAGCAGGTGCAACCGCAGCTCTTGCCGGAAGATCAGCTCAAGCAGGCGCTGTCGGATGCCGAGCAGTCGAGGGGCTTCTTTCAGCCACCAGGCGCCAGCGCTGCAGGGGATGCGAATGCAGGCGTCTCGGCGGGCAACAACGCCGAGGTGAACGAGGCAGCCAGAGCGCTGTTGCAGCAGGCTATGCAGAGTCAGGGATTGACGTCGGTCAACGACGATGATGGAGAAGCTGCGATGGACGATGCTGCTATTGCGTTGGAAAGGGTGGATCCAGCAAGCTCAGCTCCCAGCGCACAAGATGAAGGTTTCTGGTTCGGCTGGAAGAGCAGCTTCAAGGGTGCGTTGATCCCGGCGGGATGCGCAGACACACGGAATGTGCTCGAAGTTCCGGATCCGAGGACCGTGCATCCGGCAGAGCGAGAGCGGACCGCCGTTGCATACGAGGAGAAGCAATGGGACGAAGGCGTCTACATGGACAACTTCCTGGATGTCGACGGCGAAGTGGCGCATCTGCTTCGTTTCCAGCCAAAGACTGCGGAACGGGCGACTTCGAAAGACCCGTCATCCGAAAGCGGCACGGACATTGATATCGAGAAAATGGCGCTGGTAGTGCAACTGCTGTTCGCGTACAGCTACGACGAGCGAACCAACGAAGGCGATCCCACCGTCGAATCCGGCTGGACCATTGCTAAGCTCTCTCGATCACTCTCAGCATTCCTTCCCGCACATCTCCCCGACAACGCCTCTTTGGAATCGGTCGTATCGTCGACGCTCATCGGATGCGTGCGTCGAGCGCTCACAGTTCCGCTCTATCGACACTGGGAGCTCGCGATGGTGTGCATCCACGACACCATCCGTCGACTCGATGCTGGCGCTTCGCACGTGCTCGACTGCCTTGTCGACATCGCACATCGGCTGGAGGATGGAGGAGACGATATTTTGTCTCGGTTGTCAGAGATCTGGGTGATGGGTTTGGTGGCTCAACCGCCGACGCAGGTCGAAGTGGATGCGGTGGTGGCGTGCATCAGGTCGGTGATGGAGTCAGGGGATGTTGTTACGAAGGACAGTGTTGGGGGCGAGGAGTGGGATCTGCAGGTGTCGGAGCAGGCGGCAAGGCAGGCATTCGAGGATGGCGAAGGAGGCTTCGTATGAGGTTCATGCCTCTAGCTCAATCACGGGATCTGGTTCACACGACATCGGAATACTTGCCGCAAGTTTTTTTCAATGTATATGCCACACTTCGTACGTCGGGAGCCCCCGGCGATGATGTGCTTGCACGCTTGCTCCTGCTTGTACCAGTTAACCACGCACTGCTTGGAATGCAAGCATGAGTCGCCCTTACGGCTCTTCCGACCTGGCTCTGCTGCTCGGCCTGAGCGTCGGTTCAGAAGAACAAAAAGAAGTTTAATTTTTTGGAAAGCTAGACAAGTGGCACTTTTTCCATTAACGCGTCGCGCGAGCTCTGTGGGAACGCACCAACACTTTTCTTCTGAAGGTCTCGGCTGAAACAAAGCTGAGCTTGGATCAAGGACCCTGGAAGAAGACACGGCGTCAAGGAAGCGCAACATGTGTCTCGGTGTCGTGTGCAGCAGCGCGTTCCGTTCGCTTTGTGGGGAGTGACGGTACATACTCAACCTCGGCTTCCTTCCCATATCCTTCTGTTCTGCGTCTCGGTCCCCTTCCTTTCTCACAACACTCGTTCCGGCTCTGCATCGTCATTCAATCCATCAAGCATCGTTAACCTTCATCGTCGTATCATCGCATCTCACCTAGCGCCGTGGTTCAAGGTCGCATGACTTTGCTCCCAAGACCGAGTTGAAGCAAGTCCTTCAGCTTTGACATTTCGATCCTCCCTCATTCGGGGCAATTCCGACGCCGCTCGGGTCGGCCGACTTGATCAATAGGCTGCGATGCTGGCGAAGCGGACTACGCCGAAAAGAGCAGCAGCAGTGACGCCGGTGAAAGGGCGCATCACATCGTTCTTCACGCGCCAAGCTGCTGCCGCGAGTCCTTTCCAGAAAGCATCCCCCTCAACCGCGACCCCGACAGCGGTCGTCGCAAAAGCATCTGCGGCAGTAGCATCCCCGTCGAGATCGGCGAGGTCATCTCCTGCCAAGCCCAGCAAGCCTGTTCAGACCCTCGCTCTCTCCTCCGATTCGAATTCGCAGTCGGATTCAGAATCAGACAATGGACTCTTTCGGGGTAGAGGGCGACGTCGCAAGGCTGCCGCCGATAGCGATGAGGATTTTCAACCAGATAGGCATGCTGAAGTAGATGACGATGATGATGACGACGATCTTTCCGCGGCCGAGGGCATGGAGGCAGCGGGCGATGGGGACAGCGACTTTTCCGACAACATAAACGTCAGCGAGGGGCGATCAGCAACGCCGTCGACCAGTGTTCCAGAGACACCAGCAGACCTCGATACGGCCCAGAATGGCTACTTTTTCGGCTCTGATCCCTTCGTCATGATCGGCGAACCGAAGCCTCCCCTCAGGTCCATCACCAACTTGCCAGAATCCTCCTCGCAGCGGTCTCTCCGCTCAACAGGTCCGCCAGCGTACGCCCCCAAGAAGCTCTTCTCGCTCTTCGACACCAAGGCCAAGCGCAGTCACGATGCCGTCGAGGACGATCAAGACGACTTTCTCGATGACGATGACGACGACGAGGAAAAGCCGCGTAAGAAGAGCATTGCTGCAAAAGGGAGAGCTGGGGCTGCTGTGCCTTCCTTCTCCAGCGGCAAGGGCTGGAAGTCCAAGTTTGCGCTCCAGCATCCGTTCCGCAAGATGCCCTTCGTTCCTTCACCCGCAGAGATTGCCGACATGCGCGCAAAGATCAAGGAAAAGGCTGAGAGCAACTCGTATCCGCCCATCCACGATCTGGCAGACATCTTTGGCGATATGATCGACCGCGCACCGGCCATCCTCGAGCTCGCAAACACGCTCAAGGACCGTCCGCTTCGCGTGGCCACCATGTGCTCCGGTACCGAGTCGCCTCTTCTCGCGCTCGAGCTCATGTGTCGCGCCATCCACGAAAAGCACGGCATTCGCATCAAGATCGAACACGTCTTCTCCTGCGAGATCGAACCCTTCAAGCAGGCCTACATCGAGCGCAACTTCTCCCCTCCCATCCTCTTCAGAGACGTCACCGAGCTGGGCGGCAAAAAGGCGCACACCGCCTATGGTGCACTGGTCGACGTGCCTGGCGACGTTGACATCCTCATTGCAGGCACATCCTGCGTCGACTATTCGCACCTCAACAACAGCAAGAAGGGACTCAACGACGGAGGGGAGAGTGGTCGTACATTCCGTGGCATGCTCGAATGGGTGATGCGCCACCGGCCCACCCTGGTCATCCTCGAGAACGTCAAGAACGCACCCTGGGTCGGTGTCGCCGAGACCATCGTCGCCGAAGCTGGATACGACGTCGGCTTCAGCAACACTTTCGACACCAAGAACTTCTACATCCCCCACACCCGACAGCGAGGCTATCTGCTGGCGTGCCGCAACAACAAGAACTCGCTGCCGCAGAACTGGGAGCTCATCACCAACGCACTCATGCGACCGGCATCCAGTCCGCTCGACGCGTTCCTCCTGCCTACCGACGATCCGCGGATTCAGCGTGTACGTCGTCAGTTCGCACACGGAGAAGGTCTCAGCAAGGGCAGGTCGACCATCGATTGGAGCAAATGTCAGAGCCGTCACGAGCGTGCGCGCGATGAAGAGGAGCTCGGCAAGACACGTCCGCTCACCGCGTGGGAAGAGGGAGGAACCTGCAAAATGTCACACGACGGCTGGAACGAATGGGCTGTCCGTCAACCGGAGCGCGTCACGGATCTGCTCGACATCACCACACTGCGCTTCGCGGCTGTGGGTCAGGATCCGATCTACAAGTCCAAGATTTGGGAGCTGTCGCAGAACGTCGACCGCAACGTCGCTGCGTCTCGACCGGGAATCGCTCCGTGCCTCACGCCCTCGGGCATCCCCTTCCTCACGTCGCGCGGTGGTCCGCTGATTGGCTTGGAAGCGCTCTCACTACAAGGCTTGCCGCTCGACGAGCTGCTACTCACCAGAGAGACGGATGATCAGCTGCAGGATCTGGCAGGTAATGCGATGAGTTCCACCGTGGTCGGTGCATGTGTGCTCGCTGCCTTGCTTGTCGGCATGGACGATTTGCGCGAGGACGGCGCCAAGAGGAAGGCGGCAAAGACGTCCAGCGACCAAGATAGGAAGGAAGAGCAGAAGGCCGCCAGCGATGTGGTCGAGAAGGTCGTGGATCAAGACACGAGTACCATCGCACACGACGAGCTTCTGGCGTCGCAGCAGCTCGATCTCACTTCCAGCGAGACCGTCTCGATGCCCGAGCTCCTCAGCGCAGCGGTCAACAGCGCCCAATTGTGCAGCTGTGAGGGCCGCAGCCGCGTTGTTGATGTCCCCGTCCATCGGTGCGCCGAGTGCGACCACACAGCCTGCGAGACGTGCAAAGGACGACCTGTTCACAAATTTGTCCCCGATACCTTGGCGCGATGCTCCCCGGACGAATTCGCACCTTTGCTGAAAGCAGCTCTGCCGATGCGCCTCGAGGCTCGAGGCTTGACCTCGCAGCTCGTCTCGTCGCTCATGAAGGACCTGTCCTTCCAAAGCGACTCGTTGGCGAAAAGGTGGAGCGCTCGTGTTGTCGAGGTGCTTGGATCTGCCGAGTTCCGCTTCCGGACCTTGCTACGTCAGAGGGTCTGGCAGGCGCAGTTCGCTGCGCCAGGCGCACGACTCGATCTGCTTCTGGATCCCGTCGAGCCGCACTGGCGCATGCTCGTGGATCCTGCGGTCGACGAGCCTGCGGGCAGTCCTCTGCGCAAGCTGCTCGTGCAGCCCGTCGCCCGCATGCCTCTCGACTCCAAGGCCAAGAATGTCGACCTCCTGCACGGACAGTGGCAGTTGTGTCTGCCTTCCACCACGGTCACGACCGTTTCGATTCGCAGCGCAGGTCAGCAAGTGCAGACGTGGCAAAGCGCCATGGGTCTTGGCGGAAAGTCGGCGGACAAGCTGCGCTACTCGGAGATGCACGTCACCGTCCCCCAAGATGCACGCGATCTGCTCGATGCCGACGTCGAGGGCGCCTACGACCTTCTCGAGCAGTGTGGCACGGCTTGCGGCGCGCTCCACGTGCATCGAGGCGACCGAGACTCGGCCAACCACCGCCGTCTGTTTCTCTTTATCGACACGGATCGGTTCAAGGCTCAGTCCGCCGACCGCTTCGTCTTCTCCACGGACACTTCGCGTTGGCCTTACCCGCTCGAACGTGTCTCGGTGGCACAGCTCGAGCCCGGCTGGCGTCCGACGCTGGCTGAGCCCGGCAAGGAGGAGGTCGTGGAAAAGGTCAGAATGACCATATCGGGTGCTTGGCGCAAGATCGAAGCCTTCACCGTCCGTGCCGGCTCCGGCGTCGATGGCAAGATGGCCATCCCCAAACAAACGTACGATCTCGATCTCAGGCAAGAGGACTGCACTTCTTCGGTCGCCTTGCTTACGTGCGAGGCGCCCGTATTGGGCCGAGGCATGGATCGCATTTGGCCGGCCGACGGCGTCTGGGGACAAGTGGATCTGCTGCACAAGACCAACACTACCTTTGGCCACCTGGCTTGGCTTGTCGAGCGATTGCCCGATATTGACGCGCTGGATAACTGGATGTCGGCGAAGCACGATCCGTTCGACTGGGCCACCGCCAACTGTGCACGATGTGCGCCTTCCGAACCCGACATTCAGTGGCTGGCGATCCCCGGCAAACCCGTCGTCCCCGTCGAGAACACGATGCAGGCCGGACCGTACGAGCAGGCGCTCAAGAACCGACCCTCGCCCTTTGTCGTCCAGCTGCGCCTGAAGGACGACGTTGCGCAGGTCCGCTTCGGTCTCAACGCCGCCACGCTGATGCACCGCGCCGTGTCGCGACTTCCGCCATCCAAGAATGCTGGCGCAGTCGAGCTTTCGTGGCGCCTCACGAAGCTCGATTGCTCCATCGACATGTTCAAGCTGCCTCGCTACTCGCTGCGCAGCAACCGACAGGATGCCGAAGCGTCCACTCCCGAGTTGTTCGCTTTGCAACTTCGACGCGAACAGAAACGATCGCTCACGTGGATGCTCGAACAGGAGCAGGCTGATGTGCAGCCTTTCCACGAGGAGGAGATCTCGGAAGGCTTGCTGGACCCGCTAGGCTGGCGTGCAGAGGGTCGCGCCGTGCGACCCGTCACCGTCCGTGGAGGTGTTCTGGCCGACGCTGTCGGTTACGGCAAGACGTGCATCTCGCTCGCACTGATCGCCTCGTCCCCTCACCGTCACGAGCTGCCGGCGCTCCCCGCCGGCGAAGACAGCAACTACATCCCTACCCGCGCCACGCTCATCATCGTTCCCGGCCACCTGTGCAAGCAGTGGGAGAAGGAAATCCGCAAGTTCTGCGGCAAGAAACTCACCGTCCGCGTCATCACGTCCAAGATGGAGCTCAACAAGCTGACGGTGCGGAACGTCCTCAATAGCGACATCCTGATCATGTCGGTCACCGTGTACAAGTCGGACGCGTACTGGGAGACGTTGGCCTCGATCGCGGCTTCGAACCCTCTTCCCAACCGTGCCGGTCGATTCTTCAATGCGGCGCTCAAAAAGTCCCTCGAGGCGCTCAAGAACCGTGTGCGGGAGTTGAATGGCGAAGACGGCGGTGTCAAGCAGTTGCAGCGCTCGATTCGGGATAAGCCTGATTTCGACGACTCGCATTTGGCGACGCACAAGGCGAGGAGCCGGTTGAAGGGCAAAGCTTACATGGATGCCAACGCTGTCGATGGCAAGGACGATGAGAGCGAAGACGACGATGACGACTCGGATCTCAGGGCGGCAGCCAAGAAGGGCGCCAAGAGCAAGGCGCTGCCAAAGGAGTTGCAGTCGAGCAACAAGAAGGATCCCGATCCGTGGGGGCTTTCCTCGTCGCTCGTGCAACGCGATTGGCACAACATGACCTGCCCGCCACTCGAGATGTTCATGTGGAACCGTGTCATCGTGGACGAGTTCCACTACATCGGCGAAGCCATGGACCGCACCCTGGCAGGCGTCACGAGTCTCCAAGCGCGTTCCAAGTGGATTCTCTCCGGCACTCCGCCCACCGCCGACTTTGCCGACGTCAAGAGCATCGCCGTCTTTCTCAACGTCCACCTCGGCGTCGACGACGACGCCGACACCACCAAGGACTCGGTGCGCAAGGCGCGCGAGAAGATGCGCACGGCGGCGGAGAAGTTCAACAACTTCCGCGAGATGCACTCGCCCGCCTGGCACCATCGACGTCAGGAGGTGGCGCAGCGGTTCCTGGATCGGTTCGTGCGCAGCAACGAGCCGGAAATCGGCGAGCTGCCGAGCCAGCAGCTCATCAAACCGATCCGTCTGCCTGCTGCCGAGTCGGCGCTGTACCTCGAGCTGGCGCATGCGATCGAGAACCTGGATCTGCGACACCAGCGCAAAGTTTTCAAAGCGCGTCCGAAGGCCAAGGCAAAGATCACTGCAGCTAAAGCAAAGTCGGGGCAAGACTTTATCGACGACGACGATCTGGACTCGGACGACTCGGACGGCGGAAAGAAGAAGAAGCCCAAGAAAGCCGCGGCCAAGGAGGTCAAGCGCAAGCAAGGCGATCCGCAACTCGAGATGAGCCATCGCGATCAGCGCCTCATCGACACGCTCGGCAGCTCGGCCTCACCCGAAGAGGCTCTTCTCAAGCGTGCTTCCGTCTACGACGACTTTGCCGGCGTCGATCTCGACGCCATGCAGGGCGTCGACAACGCCATCAAGGCGTGCGAGTACATCGTCCGCGAACGACGAAAACAGCTCGCCGACTGTCGCCACCAGCTCGAAAGGGACTGGCGCTCGAACAGCACCTGCTGGTGTTGCATCACTTTGGGTATCGCGACGAGAACCGGCAGGCGTTTGCGGATTACGTGCGCAACGCGCACAACGCGGCCTGGGGAGATCGCGAGTCGAAGCGCATGGTGCGGGAGATCCTGGATGCGGCCAACTGTACGATGAACAGCGTCATGAGGGCGGCTGCCAAGGCGCACTTTGCGCCCGCGGGTAAGCTGCAGGCTGCGCTCAAGAGACGTGCCAAGGAACGTGCTGCGTCGGAGAAGGGTGGCGGTGGGGACGACGATGGTAAGAAGGCCAAGGTGGATCCGAAGGCAGCGGCTTGGGCGGAAGAGTATCACCTGCGAGCGATGGTGCACCAGCTGACGCGGTTGCGAAACGAGCTGGTGGGACGTGTCAACGCGCTGCGCTTCTTCACCACGATCCGCGACTGCCAGCGTGCGCACCTCGAAGGTCTCAATCTCAAAGTCGTCTGTCCTGGAGGGAGCAAGTGCAAGCACGCTGGCCGGCCTGTGCCGCTGAGCGAGGTGAGCATCAGTTCCACGTGCGGACACACCGGATGCCGCGAGTGCATCCTGCGGGAAGCGTACATCGGCAAGTGTCCCACGCTCGACTGCGCCGCCCTCGCCAAACCTACCTCCATCGTTCAAGCCTCGTCGCTCGGCGCGGAGGACGACGGCAAAGCCACCCGCTACGGTACAAAGCTCGCCCTGCTCTGCGCACTCCTCCACCGCTTACCCAGCACCGAACGAGCGCTCGTGTTCTGCCAGTTCGAAACGCTCACCGCTACCGTCGCCGAAGCGCTCTCCGCGTACAACATCTCCTTCGTCCAGCTCACGGGCACCGCCAAACGACGCTCCGACCTGCTCGAAGCGTACCAAGAAGATTCCGGCGCCCGCGTGGTGCTCCTCAATGTGGAAGACGAATCCGCCGCCGGCTCGAACCTCACCGTCGCCAACCACGTCATCTTTGTCGGTCCGCTGCTCAAGCACGAGCTGCAGCAGTACGACGCCACCATGACCCAAGCCATCGGTCGATGTGTGAGGTACGGTCAGCTGAAAAAGGTGCATGTGTGGAGGTTGGTGAGTATGGAGACGATCGATCAGGAGGTGTTGGAGCGGAGGGAGAGGTTCAAGTTTGTAGCTGCAGAGGAGAACGTGGAGGAGGAGAGGGAGAGAGTGGTGGAAGGGGTGAATGGGGAGATGATGAAGGGTACGTTGGTGGTGGAGGAGTTGGAGCGGGAGTTTGCAAAGGCATTGGGTGGAGGGCTTGTGCTGCAGGATGTGGGGGAGAGTGGGAAGGGGAAGAGGAAGCGTGGTGAAGAGGAGATGGGGAAGGGGAGGACGCAGCAGCAGAAGAAACGAAAGCAGGTCGAGAGCGATGATGATGACGACGACGTTGAGGTTCTCGAAGACGCGAGTACGCCGGCGAAACGTCGACGCGGTGGTGGCAGAGCAAAGGCTGTCCTCGTGTCGGACGAGGACGAGGACAGCGAGTAGAAGCCGAGGTTTTGTTTATCGTGTCATTCGATCTCGTTGTTCTGTTTGGCAAATGTCTTCGAGAAATTCTCAAGTTTGTGTCTGGACGCACGCGTGTCGAGTGAGCGTCAGCATCGTATTTCGCGAGAGCACAGATCCCGTCCGCGCACGACAGCATGCTACGGCGTGGATGCGAGACTGAGCTCGCAGCTCGGAATACGAAAAGGTCAGAGAGCACCTGTGTAGTGGGTTGAAGGGACAGAACGAGCGGTGGAAAAAAAGATACCGGAGTGAAGAGAAGCTCCTTTCGAGCTCGCTGGACCGATCGTCGTAGCGCTTAGTGTGGGAAAGGTGGGATCATGGTGGCAGGAAGCGGGGAAGGTCCGCGTAAGTGGGCTAGTGCGCACCCGTCTTCGTTGGGAAATGATCAAGCGAGGCAGAGAGAGGCGCGTGCCATCACCCACATGTCTGCATCTTGGCCGACTCATCGAATGTCAACTTGTGACTGCGTCTCTCGCTTACAGATCGCGGAAGGTGTGACTCGCTGCGCTTCCCAGCACTCACAGCAGCTGTTTCTGCAAGGGCGAAAATGTCAAAAACCGTAAGAAGAGTCTCACAGTCGACGCAAAAGGCAAACCTAATCGGAAGTCAATGAAAGCTTCATGGTAGAGAAAACGAGTGTGATGCGATTAAGAAGTATACGACGAATCCCTGCTCCTTGTGCTTCAGTCCGGTAGATCATACATTGGACAGCAAAGCTTCACGCCTCGTGCTGAGTGACATGATTGTTACCCTTGTCTTCGCCTCGCTGCGTGTGTGCTTCCACGCCATCAGACGTGTTGGTCGTCATGAGCCCGAGTGGATACTCTGGAAAGTCCGTGTTGACAGGAGACTTGGCCGTGCTGCCGATGGAGCTGGAGGATTGCCTCACGGACAGCTTGAGCTTCGTCTCCTTTGTATCGCTGTCGGGCGTCAGCTTATTGTGCGAGCCTCTGTCCGTGTTAGTATAGTTTTGAGACGTATCGAACTCGTTGTCTTCGGAACAATGCTGCTGGAATTCGAACCTTATATCGACATCGACGGGGATCGTGGTTCTGATGACGTTGAGGCCCAAGACGGCACGGAATACAGGGTCGAGACTGCTGACACAGCTGAAAATTGCCACGAAGGTGCAACTGAGAAAGGTGATGACGGAGATGGTCAATTCGGCACCGTTAATGATGGCTGCAAGGTCTCCTTGCTGTACGCGATGCGGCCAGGTTCCGCATACGATGAAGATAGGTACGACTGCGTAGCACGGTACGCAGAGGGTCAGGATGTAAATGTATGTGACGGCTAGGATGGTCATTTTCCAGCTGGCGATGCTGAGTTGAGTGACGCTGTGGTCGCATGTGGGTTTCGCCTTTGTAACGAGGAACCAGAGCTTGCGGCGGTATGTGGTGCATGAGGCGGGTAAGGGTCGAGGATAGCGAGAGCAAGCATGATCGACAAGGTTCATGGCGTTCGGAATGCCGTACACGAGACAGAGGACAAAGATGTAGATGGCAGCGAACGCAAAGACGATGAGGTTGATGGAAACGTATCTGTGCACCGTCATGTACTTGGCTGCCACAAGACGTGCAGTCCAGATGAGCTCGTCTGTTGCGAGAGAATCGGCATCAGCCATGGAAGCTGCGCGTCCGCGAGCGTGGTGACCCATCTGGAGGAGCAGGTCATGCGGGAGGCTGTCGAATGCGAACGTCTTTGCGCGGTAATAGGCGCGTCCCGACATGGCGACGAGAGCGACGGTACTGACGAGGAGGAGAACACAAGGAAGTACGAGAATGGTGTTGACGAGCGTGGCACTCCTGAAGACAGGAAGGGAATACCATTTGTGGCGAGCGGCAATTCCCGTGTGAGATTTGAAGGCGGAGAGCGGTGAGCGCGGGCTGCAGCCTACGATGAAACCGTGAATGCTGATATAGGCGCCCACGGCGAGGGGCAACCAGGGTAGAGGGATGACCCACCACCACTCCATGAAGGAAATGTGGGCAAAAGAATAAGAGGCTATGATGACTCCGGTGATGCCCCACACCGAGAGATAGAAGGCGACGGTGGTGACGAGGGTAAAGACGGCGTTGGCAACCCAGAAGGTGCCGGTCTGTGACTCGCGCTTCTTGAAGGCCCAAAATTCGCCGAGACCTCGTTTCTTGTAGAGCATGACGGCGCACACGACAAAGGTGATGATCACCTCGAGCTCGCTCGCAAAGAGCCAAATACGAGCTACGTTAGAAGTAGGTTTGTGGAGCAAAGTTGAGAGAGCATTGGCGATCTGCAAGCGCGTCTGACCACGATGCAAAAAGATCAAGCTGTTAGGATGAATCGGATGAAATGGGGAAGGTGGCGGTGCTGGGGCGTCTATATCAGGCATTTGGTGGAATGGCATGATGGTGAGCAACGATGATAGGTATGATGAAGGAATAACGGAAGAAGGAGGCGAAGAAGATGGAAGAGCAGACGATGGGGAGCATCTCGTATCTGCAAGAAGGCGACAGTAAGAATGCTGCACTTATAGGATCAGGTCCAACGTCACAGCTGGCTCGCCTGCCAATCGAGCCGCTTGAGGGCCTGTTTGAGCTTGCTCGCGTCGAATGGAAGAACAGACATAGTAGGAAGAAGTGACGACCTCAAAATGGCCACATCAAACCCGACAAATCGCGAAAACCTTAGCGAGCGCTTTGGGCGTCGCTAGGTACACTACATGCTTTCAATGAGAAGCCAGGCCGTCAAGAGGCCAAGATTGAAGATGATTGGCGGAGGAAGCATGTGCTTGATGCACAAATACGCTCAAGCCTTGTACGTATCAGCACGCGGGACTAGGCTCGAAGATAGTGTGCCCGAACGGCAGGGAAAGGAAGCGGAGTGGTCAGAGCGGGCCTGAACGCCCACACGGAAGCGTCCCAAGCTCAAGCCTGCTGATCCCTTCGCGAGGCTGGAACGTCTACACTTGGCGACGCGCAGCAAACTGACGTGCAGTTCTGCAATGCAGTTTATTCGGTTCAGCATTGTCTTTTCGTACACTGTCAGAGTCGAAGCGAGCCATGCACAAAAAGACGGGGCCTCCGGCTCCCATCTCGCTGGTGCAACGCCCATTTTACTGGCTCACATCACAGCCATGCACGCGGGCAATCGATGCCAACTAATTTCGAGCCGCAAATAGTGTGTCAGAACCGGTCTAACACGCCACATCCCATCCCACAGTCTCTTCGCGTGACGCGTAAATGGGCCGAATCGCAAAAGCAATCGAGTGGAGAGACGCGCTCATCCGCTCCCTCGCTAGAAAATGCACACTGCCGTTGCGCAGCCGTGGCTCGTGTGTCTGAGCTCAACCAGGAAGAAAATGAGAACGGCGAAAAGTGACGTCTGAGGGCCACAAATTACACAAGCACTTTGGCACTTTGGCAGACTGTCAAACTTGGCTGTCATATCGACTTGGTTCATTGTCCAACTCGACTCTGTACACTGCGTACAGTCACTCTCCCATTTCATTTCATTCGGTTCTTCCCATCCCGCACCAAATCATCTTGGCACGTTCCTGCGCACGACTCTACGCTGGCCACCACCACCACAACAACGCTTTCAAAGGATCCCCACCCTTATCCTAGTCCGCTACCCACACCGCATCGCCTGCCACAAAGCATTGATCATGGCGGCCAAGCTCAAGCAAGAGCCCAACGGCCACTCCAACGCCAATGGCAACTCACATCATCACGATGACGACGACGACTCGCACGACGAAGAGCTTCTCCGCGCAGCTGCTCAAGCAGACAACCAGGACCACGAGCCTTCCTCCTCCTCTTCCAATTCCAAATCCGCTGCTGCTGCTGCCACCTCCACACCATCAGATTCGGCCTCAATGGGTCGTTCAACAGCCAAATCCTCCAAAGCTGCCCACGATGTGGAGCCAGACGTACACGAAGAGCGTTTCACAAAGCTCAAGTACTTGCTCCAACGTTCCGGCGTCTACTCCCGCATCATGGGCGAAAAGATGGAGAAGGAGCGCAAGGCTCGCGCAGAGGCCGCTGCAAAGCAAGAAGCTCGTCGTGAAGCTGCGGCTGCAAAGGCTGACAGTGCTCTCTCCGATCCTCAGCCCTCTGCTCCTGCTCGCAAGACTCGCTCAGGCGCCAACCCAAGTGACGACAAGCCATCTACTTCCACCGCCTCCGAGCGCGAGTCCCGCCGCAGAGACACCCGCAAACGCAAAAACGACGATTCCTACAACGTCTCCAGCTATCTGGACGAAGATGATCTAGAACAGGCAAAGCAACAAGCAGAGCAGGCAAACAAGAAGGCAAAGACAGAAGCATCCGACGCGTCCGAAACAAAAGCACACGCTGCTGCTGCTGCCAACGAAAGCGGCCGTCGCAACCAGCCCAAGCTCGTCACAGGTGCAAAGATGCGCGAGTACCAGCTCGATGGCCTCGAATGGCTCATCAGCCTCTACGAGAACGGTCTGAATGGAATCCTCGCCGACGAGATGGGTCTCGGCAAGACCCTTCAAACCATCTCATTCCTAGCTCATCTCCGCGAGAAGGGCGTCTGGGGTCCATTCCTCGTCGTCGCTCCCCTCTCCACCATCAACAATTGGGTCTTGGAATTCGAACGCTTCACTCCCGACATTCCCGCCATCATGTACCACGGTGATCCCGAGGTGCGTCGCGAGCTTCGCGATCGTCGCCTCCGTATGCCCCGCGACAAGGAAAGGCAAAAGGATTTCCCCATCGTCGTTACCAGTTACGAACTCATCATCCGCGATCGCAAATGGCTTGCTAACTACCCCTGGAAGTTTATCGTCGTCGACGAAGGTCATCGACTCAAGAACCTCAACTGTCGTCTCATTCGCGAGCTCAAGACCTACCGCAGCGCAAACCGTCTCATTCTCTCAGGCACTCCCCTCCACAACAACCTCGCCGAGCTTTGGTCGCTTCTTAACTTCATCCTGCCCGACATCTTCGATGACCTCGCCACTTTTGAGACATGGTTCGACTTCTCCGACATTCACGAAGAGCAGGGCCAGTCTCGTATTCTCTCCAAAGAGAACAGCTCCCAGGTCATCACACAGCTCCACGAGATTCTCAAGCCCTTTTTGCTTCGTCGTCTCAAGAACGACGTCGAGACCGACTTGCCGCCCAAGAAGGAGTATCTGCTCTATGCTCCCCTGACAGAGCTTCAGAAGGAGCTCTACAACTCGGTCGTCAACGGCGAGATCCGCAGATGGTTGCTCGAGCGCAAGACCGGTCTGCCCTGGCCGCAGATTCAAGAGATCCTCGACGACCCGGATGGCATCAACTCCGCTTCTTCGTCCGTCCCCACCACCCGTGTCCCCTCGGCAGATCACAGTCGCAACCAGTCCCCGCATCCCTGGGCAGTCGCGAACAAGCGCAAGAACGTCCATGTCAACCTCAACGTTGACGATCAAGAACAAGACTCGAAGCCCACCAAGCGCGGTCGCGGTCGCCCTCGCAAGAGCGAACCCATCAAGTCGTCGCGATCCTCCTCGGCCGACTTCCACATCGTCGAGGACGAGGAGACCGCTTCTGGCGCCTCGACTCCTCGCAAGCAAAACAATCGACGAGCCAAGCGCGGTGTCAACTACCAGGTCGACGAGATGACCGACAATCACTACTTTGACAAGCTCGAAAAGGAGCTCAATGCCGGTCCAAAGCAGCTCTCTGCCGCTCAAGCTGAACGTCAGGGAAAGCTCTTTTCGATCCGCGAAGCGCAGAAGCAGATCAAGAATATGCACCTCGAGAACATTGTCATGCAGGCTCGCAAGATTTGCAATCATCCTTTCCTCTTTGACTGGCCTATCGACATGGATTCGGGCACGCTCGTCGTCAACAAGGATCTCATCAATGCCTCCGGTAAGATGCTCATGCTCAATCGACTTCTCGACGAGCTCTTCCATCGTGGACACAAGGTGCTCATCTTCAGTCAGTTCACCACCATGCTCGACATCATCGAGGAGTGGGCCAACGAGTTCAAGGGTCTCCGTACCTGTCGAATCGACGGCACCACGCCCCAGGATGAACGACGTGCACAGATGAAGTCGTTCAACGAGGACAAGGGACCCGACGCATGCAACCTCTTCCTACTGAGCACGCGTGCCGGTGGTCTCGGTATCAACCTCGTCGCTGCCGACACGGTCATCTTCTACGACTCGGACTGGAACCCGCAGATGGATCTCCAGGCGCAAGACCGCGTTCACCGGATCGGTCAAACCCGGCCCTGCCTCATCTTCCGTCTCGTCTCCGCCAGTACCGTCGAGGAGCGTATCCTCAAACGAGCCGGCAACAAACGCAAGCTCGAAGCCCTCGTCATCCAGCAGGGCAAATTCCGTCTCCCCGCCGGATACCAGTCTGCGCTCGGAGGTGGCAAGAAGAAGAAGGAGGACGAACTGCGAGATATTGCCAGTCAGCTGCTCGCGCTCGAATCGGAACAGGTCAAGTTGGTCAGGGATGAGAACGATCAGATCATCACCGACCACGAGTTGGAATTGTTGTTGGATCGTTCGCCGGCGGCGTACGAGAGAAAGATGGGTTGGGTCTCGAATTCTCATACGGAAGATCCCAAGAAGCCGGGTAGGAAGACCGCAAATGGCAGAAGCGCGTTCGAGGTCACAGAGACAAAGACGGATGAGGCAAACGAAGAGATCGCCAAGCTGTTGGCAGGCAATTAGAGGAGGAAATGGGGCGTCGTTCACAGAGATTTCTCTGATGTATTCCGCATCGCATAATGCTGTGCTTGTAGACGATGACTTGCTAGATCTACGACTTCATCATGCTCGTGATGGGGGAAGCAACGATGCAGGTTTGCTGTGGTGATGACCCATTTGGAGGATTTGTCCGTCTCTCAACGGCTCTCTGCACAGATAAGGGCTCAGTGAGTCTCGATCCTGTTGCTGCATTCAGCTTGTCCACATCATTCGAACATGATCATAGCCTGAACGTCTGTCTTGTCGGTGAACAGCATGCCTTTGACCAATCTGAACTTGTTTTGTGCATTTCCATTCGCATCCAGAAGTACGATTCCATCGACTCACACTGAAACTTTGGACTGCATGTCTTCCTCGAGCACCATCTGAGCGATCTTATCCGCGACCCACTCGAAATCGCTTTCCTCCAACCACACCTGGGCGGACAATCGGATCCACACTTTACCCGCGTGAGGTCGGAACATGACGAACGTATCGTGTTCGCTCGCCAGTCGAGTTTGAAGCTTGGTCGCCAAGACGTCGAGCTGAACGTGCACCTCTTCCTCGGACAAACCCTGAGTCGGTGGCAGACCGATCGGTACGGAGACGTTGACCATGCAAGCAGTCAGATTCTCCTCCTGCGTTGGGTTCTCGACCTCCATCACCACGGAGCCTTTGCCCAACCGTTTTGAGACAATCTCTCCTGCCTTTCGTGCCAACTCGGAGTTGTACTGCATGATCGATTGCTCGCCTCCCATCCACTTGCGGAACTCGATGGCGGCGGGAACGCTGAGGTAGTTGGAAAGGTCGATGGTACCGGTCCACTCCCAGGTGGCGACCCAGTTGGAGGGTGCTTTGGTAGGGATGAGATCGGGTGCGTTGGATTTGGGGATGTTGGGGGAAAGGTAGAAGTGCGATGTGGGGATGGCGGTGGCCAAGCCTTGGTTGCGAGCGGGGGCGTACAGAAAAGCGCATCCGCGGTGGGCCGAGAGCCACTTGTGACAGTTGGAGATGAAGAAGTCCGGATCGACGGCGCGGAGGTTGAGCGGGATTTGGCCGACGGCGTGGGCGCCGTCGATGAGCGAGAGGATGGAGTGCTGTCGAAACAGCGTGACTAGTCGTTCCCATGGTACGATGACGCCGGGGACCGAGGTGATGGCGTCGACGATACCAACGCGGATCTTGATGCCTTTGCTCTCAGCGTGCAGGATGGCTGCCTTGGTTTGGTCCACCACCTCGTCGTGCGTCAGCGGATACCTCAACGGCACAGTGACGAGCTGCAGCTCAAAGTCCGGGTTCGAATCCACAACGTACTGTGCTGTCTTTCCGCAAGCGCCGTACACCGTGTCGTACACCAAAATCCCTTGGCCCTTCTTCCAGGTCCCATTCAGACCCCTCATAACAGCATTGACGCCAGAAGTGGCGTTGTTGACAAACACCAGATCCGCCACATCGCATCCTACAATGTCGGCCACCTCTTTGCGAGCCTGGTCGAGCAAAGGCTGGTACTGTTGACGCAGGAAGGTATCGGGTCGACGCTCGGCTTCGTCGAGGTATTCTTTGATGATGTCGAGGACGTAGGTGGGGCAGGCGCCGAAGGAGCCGTTGTTGAGGGGGACGTAGGACGGGTCGAATCCGTAGAACGGTCTGAGCGAGTGTCCGAAGCCTGGGAACGGTTTTGACAGCAGTGCGTGACGGTGGGCTGCGATACGCTGTTCTAGTGGTTGTCTAGCGACCATCCTGTCTGAGAACGGTGCAGGGAGGATTGTGAGGGGCTACTTGGGGAATAAAGACCAGCGGTCGTTGCGACGTAGGGGGATGTATATAACCGGCTACAGTAAAGCAAGTGTCGGCTTGTTCCGAGTCACGGAGAACTGGTTGCGTGTCCGTTGCAGAGCGGACCCTGGTGTTGGTTTTGGCTCAATCGGTTCTTCCCAACCTCGGGTTTGCCGGCGTCTCGGAATTTCTGATAACGCGGGCTTGTGCACGCGTCCACGTTGATATCGCACAGGCCCGAGTCATCCAGTGTAGCTTGTCGGTAGCTTGTCCGCCTCTGACACACATTCGGGCTCTAATTCAGCTCAGGCCTCGGAACAGCACCGAAGGTCAAACAGACTCTTTCCCGAGTCAACGCGGGACGCTCGTTCGGATGCTCAAATGACAAGATGATGCAGAAGGGCGTTCCTACGTGCGTGTGTTGCGTAGCGAGCGACGTCCACTGTGTGAGCATTCGTGCGGTTCGTACAGGTCTGGTCTTCAAGGCTGACAGGCCGATGCAACACTTCAGGCTTTGCCCGTGACGACGTCCTCCGGGTGCTCGCTCTTCCACCAATCGACACTCCTGCGGATACCTTCTTGGACGCTGACGATGGGCGAGTAGCCGAGCGCTCTACGCGCCTTTTCGATGTTGTAGTATCGCGAGCTTGCCGAGTAGGTCACCTTGTACTTGGTGAACTGCACCTCTCTTCCCGTCAGCCAGCCGAACGTTTCAGCGAAGCCAGCCAAGGTGAGACCGGTCTCCTTGGAAAGCTTCCAAACCTTCGACTCTGGCATCACGTGTCCCATGCCTGCCCACAACGCGCGTGGGAAGTCCCAGAAAGGAATGGGTTGGCCGTTGGTGATGAAGAATGCCTCTCCCGCGACTGGCACCGTTTCCTCCACCAGCGGGAACTGGTCACCGAGCGGGTTGCCTGGGCTGACGAGTTCCGGGTTCATCATGTGGAAGAACTGATCGTACTTGTTGCGGATCACGGGTCGCACGTTGAGCTCGTGTTCAAGCGTGTCGGGGCTCAACGTGGTGGGCAGCTTGCGCGCGTAGTCCTTGGACCCGGCAGGAGTGTCTTCTCTCGCTTCACTGGTGGGCACTGCACGTTGGGATTCGAGCTCGTCATTCGCGATCACCTTGGACGAGATCATGACGTCGCCGAGCTTGTCAGCGGAATAGCCAGGGGAATGGAGCTTATCGGCAGCAAGCAGATGTGCGTGCACCACATTGTCGACGTAGGTCCAGTCGAAGAGATTGTCGTTGTCGCCGATCTGGAACTTGGTCTTGCCGGTGCGCAGCACGTTGAAGAAGCCGGGCAGCGCCTGTCGGTCGCCGATACCAAAGATGCCAGCCGGACGGATCGCAACAGTCTTGAGCTTGCCCGCCTGGTCGTTGTTGGCTTGCAAGACGAGCTGCTCCGCTTTCGCCTTTGTATCGTTGTACGCATCGAGCGGTTTCTTGGGGTAAGGAAGACGCTCGTCCACGTTGATCAGATCGTTGCCGTCGTAGACGACGCCTGCGCTGGATGTGAAGACGAGCTTGGTGACAGCGAGCTCCGGCTTGTTGGCCACAGCGATGACGGTCTGTGTGCCGACGACGTTGACCTTGTGGTAGATTTCCGGTCCCAAACCAGCGACCGGACTTGCGGTGTGGTAGATGACCACGCCCTTGCCAGCGCCCGCCTCGATGCCGGCTTTGTCTCGGACCTGGATTAAAGCGTCTCGAAGCGAGGATTCGGAGGTGATGTCGCCCGTGTAGTACTCGACCTTTTCGATGGGCTGTCGGGCGGGATGCAGATCAAAGACGGAGACGTACTTCTCGCCCCGTTGACGAAGAGCCAGAGCGATGCGTGAGCCGAGGAAGCCAGCGCCACCGATGACAAGGTGTGCCTCGCCCGATGCGGATGATGTCGACATTGCTGCGGATGCGAACAGTGTCGGATGTGATCGCAAGGAAGGGGTAGATAGGTGACTGGAAGGAGAGGAGAAGGTATGTCGAGTCGGAACACTTCCGTTGTGGTCAGTTGGTGCGTGCGTGTTTGCAAAATCGGCTTCTCCGCAAAAGTCAAGAAGGGTAGTGCATCGCCTGATATTTTCTCTCTTGCTGTGTTCAACAGTCCTGGGGCTCAGAGCAGCGAGAGACGCGCGCTCGCGATTCGCGCTTTCTTCTCGAAATCCAACACCAACCATAGAGGAAGGGATGTGAGACTTTTCGCAACACACAATCTTGCCAACTTGTTGGATTTCTGCCGGCATGTGCCACGAGGGTGACAAAAATAGAGAATCGGAGCAGCCGTTGAGTGGAAGTCCCTCTAGCTGCATGGACCAAAACGAAATTGTGCATATGCTTGCTGCGATGTGATGTTGCAGCGCTGCGGGAAAGGTCAAGCCAAGAAGCAACACCGACCAACACTTTCGAGACGGTCCGACTTTCCAGGTGCGTTGCGTTGCGTTGCGTTGCGTTTCGCTTTAATCTGGATTGCGCTGGCCCCTTTCGCTGGACGTCACATGGCCACACTTGCTGTACACACTCTCGCTCTCTCTCTCTCTGCTTGCATGCTTCGACATCCTGTCGACTCTTGACAGCTGCCCCTTGGCACATCCGAAGGTGGCGCTTGCTGCTCCGACGCAGCTACCCTTCCTGCATCTGCCAACCTGTTCATCACTAATCACTGGCACTCACAAGCGCAAGCGCCTATCGCAGCAGCAGGCTCGGCATACCCACAACGTTCTGATACAGCGCAATTCGGCACTGGAAGACGCCGCCTGTACAAAAGTGTGGGAGCGTCCGTTCCCACTCCTCTCGGAGGTGCCATCATCCTCGGCAGCGACCGTCGCTTGCTAGCTGAGCTCCGCCGCCATGATGTCTGCCACCGACGACATCGAGGAACCCCCTCCTCCGATCACGATATTGCTCTTACGGTCGCCCGTGTCCATGACCAAAGGCACAGATCCATATCACGACGCTTTCGGCTCTTTCTGTCTGCCCTCGTTTGCATCTTCTGCGCTCGAATCAGGCACATCGACTCCGCTGCCAAGCTTGTCGGAGGGCGCAAAGTCCTCCTTCTCTTCCACTGCAGAGCATGGCGCTCTCGACCTCATAAAGACCGCCCTGACGCAGCAAGCCGCCGTAGCCGCCGTCGCCGCCGCCGCTCCCAACAAGCCATCCCCGGATCCTACATCAGCACCTGCAGCAGCGTTACCACTCTCAGCAACGGGAAGACGCAAGGGCAAGTTCATCCACGATCAGCCTCGTCTCATGACACATCACCTCTCCTATCCACAAGACGCCAACGGCGATGAGGTCGAAATCGAGTATTGTGTCACTTCCTTCCCCATCCTTTCTCACAAGTTTGTCAATCGTGATCAGTTCATCGATCGTCTCCTTCATGGCTCTCGCAACACCACCGACGGCTCCAGCGGTCCTTACCGCGGCATGATCGTGACGAGCCAACGAGCTGTAGAAGCATACATCTCGGCAGGCGTCGCAGCCCAGGACATCCTCCGCAGCAACAAAAAGACTTCTTCCAGCTCTCCGACGGCGTGGAATCGTGTTCCCTTCTTCGCAGTGGGCCCCGCGACCTCTTCGGCGCTACGCAACGTGCCTCTTGCCCCATGGCTTCGCCCGCGACTCGTCATGGGTGGCGAGGCCACCGGAACAGGCGAAGCGCTGGCTCGCTACGTCGTGCGTCACTTTTCGTCGCCTTCCATCTTGGATCAGAATTCCGACGTGCGCTCGGCGGAGCAGGCACCCCCGCTCCTATACCTCGTCGGCGACAAGAATGCGACCACGATCCCTGACATGCTGACGCAAGCCTCACCTCCCACAGGTCCCGTCCCCTTCGAGGAGCTTCAGGTGTACGAGACGGCGCCAGATGTCCACTTTGCCGAAGGCTGCGATGTGCTCGCGACGACGCTTCCTTCGGTCGTCTCGCGCCCTCCCAGTCGGAGACCGAGTCACGGCAGCAGACGTCCCAGCGGCGGAAGCATCGCATCGGCTGCCAGGAGCACAGGGGCCAGCCGCAGGTCGAGCGCCGACGATCTTCGCGCCCATGCTAGGAGCAGCGCCGAGCTCAGCCGCAATCCGTCGCATTCTTCCCACCATCAAAACCTGAGCCACGTGCCTTCCGTCGGCACGCCGCTCGGCGTTAGCACCATGACATCGGCCGAAGCAGCGCGTCCACGCCCCGACAACCTGGCCATTCCTGCCGCAGTTGGTGGGTCGCCCCAGCTGACGGCATCGCCCGCTCATATCGAGCCAGAGGCCATCAATCCGATCGAGGAAGAGTCGGTGCTCAAAATTCTCAGGTCAAAGGCCAAGAATGCTGCCGCCGATTCGGCCGGTCATGGTGCCGGAAATGGCGCCAAGCCTCCCTACGTCGCGCGGCCGGACTGGATCGTCTTCTTCTCGCCGAGTGGCGTCGATTATGCATTGGACGAGTTTCGACGTCGCAAATGGATGCCACCCGCCACAGATGGAAGTGCATCGGCCGCGACGACTCAAAAAGCAGAGCAGCTCGGCGCCGCAACCACCATCTCTTCTGCGCATACGACAGCGCTCGGCAAAGGCTCAGCCAGCACCTCTCGCAAATTTCCGCGCATCGCAGTTCTCGGCAGCACCACACGCGCTTGGATGGTCGAACACCTCGACATGGAGCCCGACGCTGTCGCCACCAAACCTGGTCCCAAGGAGCTCAAGGATGCCATCGAAGCGGTGGAGCTACGTCTACGTGCCAAGGTGTAGAACATCAACGCCCTCGTAGGCTAGCTGTGTCGCCTCGTCCCTGGCACAACCGCATTCCTCGCTCGCACTTCTACTGATAGCCGGTTTTGCACAGGCTCACCTCGTCGACAGGCCAGTATCTGTGCCGACAAGCACATTGTCCCCTCTCGCTATCTCCCTGCGCGTCACACGCACGCGAGCGTCGCCTCCTCTCCTCTGACATCATTTAGGTCAGTTGCAAATCTCTGCAACCGTCCGCATTTGCATCTTCTCGCTCCTTTCTGCCTTGCTTTGTGACTTTGTGTGACGGATGTGGTCCGTGTGCGACGTGAGCGGCGGCGCTGATTAAGCTGCTCTATCTGCGGCGAGTCAGCAGCTGTGGCGCGCCATGCGGAAAAAGAGGACTCGCCTTTTCCTGCCACTGCTGGGAGCTATTTGACTGCGCATTCTCCTGAAGGCTCTCTTGCCATCTTGACCGCCTCTCGCAATGAGGTCGATCTGTTCTCTTCCGCCCTAATCAGCCTATGTGTGCGGCGAGGCTCTCTTGATGAGAAATAGGTGAATCAGCGCTGGCTCATTAGACGCTCGATCAGCCCCAAACCTCAGCTTAGGTGAATGATGACGGTGCTGATGCTCTTCTGCCGAGACAGCCGCTTATCGTCTTGCGGTCAGCGAAGGTTCCAACAGGTCAGTCGATACATATATAGTTGCATCCCAAGCTCCCTCCGTTTCGTCTTTCGCACCAACGTCGACATCTTCCGTCTCCGTGCTATCTCCCTTTGACTCACAAGAAACCAGCCATCCCCTTCTTCGTCGCTTACGCTCTACAACATGGACACAGCCAGCCTCGTCAAGCGCGGCAATCGTGCCCTCGAAGTCAATCCACCCAACGCAGACATCCACTTGGGTCGATGGGGAAGTGATTGGGGCTGGGTCATGTTCTGCATCATGGGCGCTTCCACCCTCGGCCTTCTCGCGTGGTCCTTCAGGATGCGTAGAAAGAGGAGGGCCTTCCACTACCTTCTTGCTGCTGCGCTCGCCGTCTCGACCGTCTCGTGGTATTCCCAAGCCAGCGATCTTGGATCCACCCCCATCACGGCGCAGTTCCTGCATCACAGTGCGCGCGGCAGCGGCGTTGGCGGCTACCCGACCCGTCAGATCTGGTACAGTCGCTATGTCGACTGGACGCTCACTACCACGCTTCTGCTGCTCAGCCTGCTCCTCATCACGGGCTTGCCCTTGTCCATCATCTTTGTCACGCTCTTCTTCAACGTCCTCATGGTCGTCTGCGGTCTTCTGGGTGCCCTCACCCGTACTCGTTATAAGTGGGGCTACTTTGTGAGTGGTCCCTGCACTGTCCCTCTTTCTTGCTGATAAGGTTGAAGATCCACTGACGAGCCCCAACCTCCTCCGATTATGGACTTTTGCGCTATTCGCATGCAGGTCTTTGCTTGCGCTGCACTTGGCTACGTATTGTACCACGTCTTCGCGTCCGGTCTGCGATCTGCTCGACGACTCGGCAAAGACTTTGGACGTACCTACCTGTATGCTTCGGTATTGTTGGGCATCATCTGGCCCATGTATGCTGTATGCTGGGGTTTGAGCGAAGGTGGCAACGTGATCGGCATCAGCGCCGAGGTGAGTCCTGCTGCCGTGGACTCTCGACGCGAATCGTAATCATACATCGCCGTGTTAGCACTGACACCCTGGTTCTTTCACTATGTGCCGCATTGCAGTTCCTCTTCTACGGCATCTTGGACATCTTCTCGAAGCCCGTCTTTGCGTTCCTTCTTCTCAGCATGCTACGCAGGTGCGACTACGGAGCTCTTCGCCTTCGATCGGGTAAACGGTCCGAAGAGGACAGCGACCTTCACGAGCCACGACGTGGCCTCGTAGAGAAGGATCACGAGCGCATCGGTTCGGCTGACCACCACCATATCGGCGGCGCCAACACCAACGCTCATGCCGGTCTGCAGGGACCCGCCAACAGCACGTTGCCTCATGGCGCCCAGCACACGACGATGTCTCCCGCTCCCTGAAGGTCCTTTCTACCGACCAGCATCTCCTCCTTCCTCATCCTCCACTACTTGACACGCAAAGGTCCACGTTGTATCGAAGTCTCTCAGCACCTTCCTTATCTGATTCCACACAGAACGCAATTGAATGTCCCGACGTGGTTCTCATTTCCCCCATCTGGATGTGGTCGGCTGCCTTGAGCCACTGGTGTGCTCGTCGTGCGTCTTGTGTCCGCGCTTGATACAAGCATGAGCCTGCTGATAGATTCCGACAGATGGCGTGCAGAAGAAGTCCTCGCTGTCGTTGAACGGAGAAGCCGTGGCCTGGTAGGCGCGTCCTCTGTGCTGCACACTGTCCCGTGGCGTTTATCGACATCTGTCGACATCTGGACAATTACAAAGTGAGTCGTCGTCAACACAATATCTGTGTCAGAATAATCTACAGGAAAAAAAATTCAGAGTGGTGGACTTTTGATGTGTGCATTGTGGCGTTCAGGGTTTCACCAATGGTCTTTGATCTTCCAAAACACAAATAATCTCATGAGCGAAGGGTGGAGCAACTTGAGGATTTATGAGTTCATGAATGGCTTTTCTGGAGAAAGTCAGCGACAATTTTGAAAGCTAATGCACCACTCTGACTTATACCGCGCATCAGACAAGCGTCATTTTGCGTGGTACCCATTAAATGAAAAGGAGAGTGTGTGTATTCGAAACATGCGACCGTTCTTGTTTTTGTCATCGATGAAGATAAACGTATGACAAAATTGTGTTGTCTGGAACACGGTAAATGTACGCAGTACACTCCCTCGTGTTCAGCAGAAAAAAATAAATACAAAGCGCCAACAAAACAGATGCGAGCAATAATTCTGGGTCGACTCTTAAGCAACGCTGCTATTTGACATTTCTGCCAACAGAATCTTTGTCCGAGTATACGCAAATAGAGAGTGCAAGCACTGTCATTCACTCGTTGCTCGATAATGGTATCAGTGATGCTTCCATGTCCTTCTTGAACCGCGTCTGTATTCACAGTTTCGATCATGCTGCATACATTTTTATTCGACAAAGCTCAGAAACACTTGCCATCTGAACGAGAACGTTGAGATTGAATCTTTTCTTCTTGTAGCGCTGTCATCTTGTTTCTTGTTTCTAGAAGCTTTTGTTAGATTTGACTGAAAGCAACCAGTACGTCGTATCAGCGTTTTCCACTAGATAAGCTATATTTGAACAAGTAAACACGACGTGTTTTCATTGTGAAATTTTCGTATCTGCATAAACACTCGCCTCGACGACAATAATGAAGTTCAGAGACAAAAAAGGGGCTCTGCGTGCGAAATGTACTTTCAAGCGACAATTCGCCACTTAGAGACGTGTGTCTGAGGAGTAAGAGGAAAAATAGTGATTTTTTGGCAAATCCTTGCCCTGAAGCACCTGAACTAATTCATAAAAGATTCTCGAATCTGTTTACTTGTCTTGGTGGAGACGAGAGAGACGAGAAAGGGGGTCACCGTCGTCTCGCGAACGAGCTAGAAGCTCCACCATCATCTCGAGCACTTTGTGACCACGAGTGCATCAGAAAGGACCTGCATGATACTAAGTAGCGTGCTTGGGAGAGCACTTCTCCGACCGGCAGACTGGGGCGAGCGTGTGCTCCACGCTGTGAATCTCGTCGACTCACATGGCTTTCTATACCACGTCGACTGCTCCCGAGTCAACTCACATTCGCGCGTTGCTCCGGACAAGCAAGATCCGGCCTCTGAAAGCTCAGAGTATGAGAGTTTGAGGCTTTGTTCTGAGCTGGCACCTTGCCAGATCTTGTACAGCGAGACATGAGGGACAAGGTCGTTAACGGCACACGACGAAAGGCGACGTTGGGCCGCGGACCAAATGACGGAGAAGAGCGCGCGTGTCGATTTGAATTTGGATTTGACGTGTGTGGAGGCGCGGCAGTCGGAAAAGCCGCAGCCCGATCGAGATCCGCAACACCGGGTCGCCGTGTGCTGCTGGAAAAGATGCGCGGAGGGGCATGAAAAAGAGGAAGCTCGTAGCCGAGACAGAAACTGGAAGAAATTTCGAGACTTGGCTTTGGTTTCAGTGTCGTTATGGCTCTCTCCTCCTTTCCCCTTATCAGCGACGTCACTTCTCTCATTGCGCACAAACACTCCGCCGCCGACCACCATCATCGTCCCGAGTTCATCCAGTTACGAACATGTCGGCAGCACCTCCTGGCAGAGTGCAACCCGCATCTGATTTCAATCCTGCCTCATACGGCTCGGTCCTCCCAGGCTCCTCTTCTTATTTCGAACGTACCTCGACTCGCAGCGAGACTCAGGACAGCATCGACGAGCGCGACGACGAGGAGATCGAGGCGGACGGCTCGGCCACCTTCCATAGCGAAAGCGGAATCAGCCAAGATGGTACCGAAGATCAGTCCTATACCTACGGCCGCGATCGCGATGACGGCAACGCCAGCATCCTCGGGACGAGCATGTTGAGCGACTTTGCTTCCATCTTTCACCCCAACGAGTACATTGTCGCTCAGCAGAGGCTCGACGAGCAGGACAGAAGAAGCGATTTTGAATCCTTTGACGAGGAGCGCCAGCCCATCCTCGCCTCCTCCTACCACAGCACCAGCAGGAGGCAATCTGCCACTGCCTTTTCGAATCGACGTCCCTCGGCAGTGTCCAGCTTACGACCCTCGATCCGCTCGCACCGCAGACCACAACAGATCCCAGAGGAAGACACCCTGCCCGAGGGCTCGACTTGGTCCAAAGCGAACACCGAACACCCCGATGTGAGCGCCATCACGCTCCATCATGCCCTAGTCGACCCCTCCACCACGCCTGGCACAAATCTAGGTCTCATGCTCATCGCCGTCAGCCAAGTCTCGTACTCGACCATGAACCTCTTTGTCAAGCTTCTCGATGACCGTGAAGGCCAGCAGAACGAATCGGAGCCCATCGGCGCGCTCGAGGTCGTCGGTGTGGAGTGCCTCATCATTTGGATCGGCTGCATGCTCGCCATGTGCCTGGCAAAGACCGAGCACATCTTGCTGGGCCCACCGGGTGCTCGCATGCTGTTGCTCGCACGAGGCATGTTCGGTTTCGCTTCCACTCTGGCGCTCTACATTTCCCTGCATGCTCTTTCTCTGTCCGATGCCACCGTCATCACCTTCCTCGCACCTCTGGCGACTGGCTTCCTAGCTCACGTCATGCTGCACGAGCCCTTCACGATGCGCGAACGCATCGCAGGTGCCTTTTCCCTCGGCGGAGTCACGCTCATCGCACGGCCCTCGTTCCTGTTCGGCAACGACGCGGGCGAAGGTGTACCCGAGGATGGTGACATCGAACTTCCGCCCCCCTCTGATCCAGGTTCCAACACAGAAGCAGCGCGCATTGTTGGAATTGTGGTTGCCCTGGCAGGTGTCGTGCTGATGGCAGGTGCCTGGGTATGCCTTCGTCGCATCGGCAAACGTGCGTCCACCTACCACTCGATCGCTTACTTTTCCCTCTGCAGCTGGGTTTCGAGCTTCGTCGCAATGTGGGTGCTCAACCAGCCATTCGTGATTCCCTCATCGACTCTGTCGCTATTCCTGCTCCTCGGAGTGGGTTTGTTCAGCTTGCTCGCCCAAGTATTCCAGACACTCGGCCTGCAGAGGGAGTCAGCCGGACGTGCGGCTACCATGTCTTATCTGCAGATCATCTTTGCGCTGGCGTGGCAGCTCCTGTTGTTCGGTCAGGTGCCAGATTGGGTCTCTATCGCCGGCAGTCTTGTCATCCTTGCAAGCGGTGCTTGGGTCGCGCTCGGTAAGGAAGGCGGCTCGGCTCCTATGCATTGATCGATGTCGCAATTTTTCTCGACCCCGGTTCCATTTCTCTCACGTACGCATATATGATACCCCTCACACAAGTCAAATGATCAAGTATTGCTCTAAATCATTATTTCAGGTCTCCCGGCTCTATTCTTTGGATGTGTGTCCCTTTCTAGCGACTCGAAGGCAGTCCTTCTCGAGCTGACCATCGTCGTCGTCTTTGCTTGCTCGCACAGTGTGAACTTCTATCCCGCTGTCTCGCAGGATGTTTTGACCTTGACACTTGACAAAGTCATCCGGCTCTGAGACGCCTTGAAAGACACGTCGAATGCGCAGCTTTGCCTGTAGAGCGCCTGTCGTTGATCCTAGATGACCCAATTGCTGAGCTAGTTCCCGAGGAAGTTCAAAGACATTGGACTGCTCGTTGAATTTGAGGATGCGCTGCACACAGGGGAGGTTGCCCGAGAGTCTCTCTGAGCAGGGTTCCATGGTCGTGTACAGGTCGAGATCGAGCGTTGGTACATTATGTGCGTCTGTAGGTTGCTTTGCTAGCCCAAAGTTGGACGCGAGCCTGTCGAGTGCGCATTGCTCGGCGTGTGTGTTGCCCGGAAGCTCCCGAGAGAAACCGGTGGCGAGGATTTCCGATGGAGTAGCCTTTCCCGAATCTTTCGTGAAGGAAACGACGCATCCCACGCAAAAGGCAGCGTCCGTAGGCGGCGACTTATCAGCTTCGGTGAGCGCTGTAAGCATGATGGAGTAGTGACGCGGCAAGCGACCTACATCGGTGCCATCCGCAAAGCCGAGGGGCGTTGAAGCGGCTCTTCGCGCTTCCCACTCGCGCCTCCAGGCTCCGTATTCGCCTTCGATGCCGCCATCTCTCCATACAGCCCAGCTGTCGCGGATACGGAAAGCGATGGAAATGGGATGGTCAAGTAAGATCTGACGTATGGGAGGCGATGGGTGGAGCTCTGGAAGGATCATGTCACTGAGAGTGGAAGAGCGTCTGCGGTGTCTGGTGCTGCGTTGCCGGAGACTAGATGAGTTGGTTTGCTTCCTTGGAGTAGCAGAAGATGTGCTTATAGGCTGGAGCAAGCGGTTCGCGCGGATAGCGAGCGGCGACGAGGATTCCGAGACAGCGAGCGGTGCTGGCAGCCGTAGCGGCTTTCTGGAGAGATACTCGGTAAAGTAGTAATACACGCCTCCGAAGGCGAGACCGAGCGAAAGACCGACGATGATTTGGAGAGGGGTGTGGTAGTGCAAATGGTGCCTCGAGTAGCAAGTGAGGATAGATATGGAAGCAATGAGGATCATAGCAAGGGTGTGTTCGATTCGTCGCATGGTGTTGATCAGAGTCCGGGGCTTGACCAGGGGTGGACGATTGAGGTAGAAATGTGAGAGGAAAAAGGCGGCAAAGAAGCCGAGAAACTGCGAGTGGGAAGAGGGCATGCCGTAGCCAGCTCCGAGATGACCTGTTGGACGCGGTTGCTTGATGAGACGCTTGAGCGCCCAGTTGAGACCTTCGCACGCGAGCTGGCCGATGAGCGCGTTGATGAATGTCAATTCGCGACGGAGGAGGATGATGGTGATGTACGAGCACAGCAGGAATATGGGCGAGAGCGTGATCAGAGCCATCAGCTTGGCGAGCGAGTCGGACGGATCATCTGTCGAGCATCAAAGACAAGCGCACGGGATCAATCGTCAGCACGAATGGTCTCGGCGCATACATCGAGGCGAAGGCGTGACTTACATTGGACGTGGGTGAGACCGAGCGAGGCGTAGTTGCCCGGATCTATGGAGCTCGTCCCTTTGGCCATGATTGCGAGCGTGGGAGACGAATACGCCGTATGCAGTGGGATCCGAGATGATGGTAGTGGTCGATTGTCAAGGACCATCCGAGGCTCGAATGGAATCGCCAAGCACACGATCCCAGTCGGCATGGTCCGAGCTCGCTCCCCACCTCCACCACAGATGAAATCGGAACAGCCTTCAACCGAAAAATGGCCGTCCGAAGAAATGTGACATGAAAAAAGGGGGACACAAAAAGGCGAGACAAACACACGGGATAAGGTTGCCCGGCCCGCCCAAAAGTTTCGGGACATGCGAGCCTCGAGGTGCGCTTCGTTGCAATATCATTCAAACACATTCCGCTCGAGCGTGTGAGCAATACTACCACTCATCGGTCATTCCGAGCCCCATCAACGATACCAGCATCGATCTAATTCGCGCCTTCCCGAGTCGAGCCGATACAATGCCAAAGAAAGGAAGGAAAGGCTCGCGTCCAGCACCGCAGCATAACGACTCGCTCCGTAGAGACATCGAGGTGAGTAGCAATACGAGTAGCGACTGATCCCATCACACCCAAACTGACCCATTCTAAACTTGTTTGTCACAGGCGAATCGAGATGCTGCCGCCGAACCAGGTGTCATCGATCCCTTTGTAGACGACGACGGATTCGACATTGCAGATGAGCTACTCGCCGCACTGGACGCAAGGGACGCCCAGAACGCCGCAACCACTTCCAGCAGTAGCACCCAAAAGCCAGCTCCCGCCGCAATCCCCGTGACGAAATCGGATTCGACGCATTCCGGAGGCATTCGAGGAGCAGGTGAACGACTCATCAACGGTCTGCGGCATCACCACTCCGACGAAGCCGAATCCGCCAACCCAGATGCCCACGCGCCCGATACAACCGCTGTTTCTACCAGTCCAAATACCGGTCGTCGATCCAGCATTCGCAAACTCTTCAGCAGCAGTCCCAAGACGCCCGAGTCTGCGGCATCGCCACCACCACTAGACTCTGCTGCTGCTGCAACCAAGAAGAAACCCAGCCGGCAACAGCAACGCAAAGATCGAAAGGCGGCGGAGGCCGCAGAAGTTCGAAGGCAGGCGGAAGAAGAAGTGAAGCTCGGATCGAACAAACCGGACGAAGCGGCTCTCGAACGACAAGGCATCACGGCCATGTGTTCCGCCTTGGGTGTCAAGATGCACGAGATCACTCCGGACGGACACTGCCTCTACGCGGCCGTTGCCGACCAGCTGAACCTTCGACGACCGCACAACCCACCTACGGACTACAAGTCAGCGCGTACCGCAGCAGCGCGCGAAATGCGCACCCACCCAGACACCTACAAACCCTTCATCTCGGACTCGGACGAACACATGGCCGGCATCATCAACAAGGAAGCCGGAACCTTGAACAGCGATCAGGCGCAAGAAAAGTACTTTTTGGACTACTGCGATGCCGTGGAGAAGACGGGCGTGTGGGGTGGTCAACCCGAGATCCTGGCGCTGTCGAGGGCGTTCGGTGCGCAGATCAATGTCGTCATGGCCGGAAGACCGGTGTTGAAGGTAGGCGAGGGAGAGTACGAGGAGGACGCGGGGAAGGCCTTGTTGATTTCGTACCATAGGAAGATGTACGGGTTGGGAGAGCATTACAACTCTTTGCGACCGGCAGAGGGTGCGTGATGGGATCGCTAGCGGGAATTTCTGGTAGTACAAGACGTAATTGCAGGTTCAGCAACAACTTTGCGAGAACATCACGAGCCGACAGAGAATGTGCTTGCTGTGCCAGCTTTTGATTTGTGCGTGGATGTTTGCGGCTTCTCTTCTCAAAAGTTTCGACTTGTCAAGTGATGCTTGATGAAGGGCTAGCGTTCGAAGCTTTGAGCCAACTTACAGATCGCTTTGACTGGAGGCGGGATTTGGCTCCTAAATGGTCGATGCACCACGTGTGAAAATGCCACATCCTCAAAGCTCGAACTTTCTCAACGAGCATTCTCTCTCACAGATCCTCACACGCAATCGAATCTCAGACTTCCGCCACGCACGGCTCCGATGCAAATGGACAAAACAAGTTTGAATGTGTCAACCACGACAAAAGAAAAAACAGGAACGGCGGCGGTCTGAGAGGGAGAAAGGGAGCCAAGCTGGATGCAGATGAGAGGGATGCGTTTTGCGAGGGAGTTTGAGAAGAGACGGCTCTTTTTTCCACGTTTGGAAAGGGCCTTCTTTGAATTGACTTTGCTGTAGCGCTCTGCATGCAGTACGACGATCAAAGCTTTCTTTTAGTGGGGGTTTGAAGTTCTTAGGCGGCGACGGCACCGTTCTCGATGGCGCGGGCGTAATTCCTCAAGATGGAGTCGACGTCCTCCATGGTCTGTTCGCGCACGTCTGCCAACTTCTTGATCTTGGCGGTGACCTCCTTGACCTGCTCTTCGGTCAGGGTGAGTTCGAGCTGTTCGCATCTCGACTTGACGGCGTTCCATCCGGTGAGGCGGTGGCCGATGGAGACGTATCGGCTCATGCCAAAGTCCTCGGGACGGATGATCTCGTATGTGGAAGGGTTGGCGAGGATGGCCTTGGCGTGGATGCCGGCCTTGTGTGTGAAGGCGCAGTAGCCGGTGACGTAGTTGTTGAAGGGCACCTGGATCTGGACGGCCTCGGCGACGAGGTTCTCGACCTCGCGCAACGCCTTGAGGTTGTACTTGCTCATGACGTATTCGCGGTCGGCGGTGTACATGCGGGCGATGAATCCACCGAGCGAAGGGATACCGTTTCGCTCGCCGATACCGAGGACCGAAGTGTCGACGTGGGTGGCACCAGCCTCGAGCGCAGTGTAGGCGTTGGCGATGGCGCAGCCAGTGTCGTTGTGGAAGTGGCACTCAATGTCGCAGCCGACGACGCCGCGCAATGTGCGGACCAAGTCGTACACCTGTCTTGGGTTGGCGACACCGACAGTGTCGGCGATACCTACACGGTTGACGCCGACCTTGTCGACGGCCTGGTAGATGCTGAGCAGGTCGACCAGGTCGGAACGGAAGGAGTCTTCGGTGGAGAAGCGGATCTCGATACCCTTGCTCTTGACAAACTGGATGACCTCGATGGCGGTCTTGGTGATGTAGGTCATGTCCTTGCCGTGGGAGAACTCACGGAGGAACTTGGAGGTGCCCATGACGACATCGACACCGTCGACACCGGTCTCGACGGCGATCCTGGCGTCGTCCATGTGGCATCGGATGTGAGTGATGACCTTGGTCTTGAGACCGAGCTTGCAGATGGCCTCGCAATCCTTGCGGGACTGCTCTGAAGCGGCGGGGGAGGTGAGCTCGATGCAGTCGACACCGAACTTGTCGAGGGCCTTGGCGATCTTGATCTTGGTCTCTGTGTCGAAGAAGGCGTTTGCGAACTGCTCACCCTCTCGCAAGGTGGACTCAATGATCTTGAAGTTGGACACGTTGCTCAAGAAGTCCGAGTAGCGCGAGTTGAAGGGCTGGACCGAGCCGGCGTTGCCGTTGTCCCTTGGAGCGGCGACACCGTTGGTAGCGTGGCTGCCATTGTGGTTGGGAGCCGAGGTGTCGATGGCGACGTGGGTGTCTGGCGCAGTGCCGTTGACGTGCTGAATCGGAGAAGGGTCGGAGTGATCGCACATGATGTATGAAGGCTGTGTGTGTGGGAGGGTAAAGCGTATGAGTGTATGATGGCGAGAAGAGGAAGAAGAGCCAGACGGAAGATCCGACGTTTGACTCACCCTTCGTCGAGAGACTGACTCACTGCGCTTGCTGCACTCACTCGTCTACACTGCAGCAGCACAAAAGCGCAAAAGCGCAAAAGGGCAAGGCGATTTCGGTGATTCTCCGAAGCGCGATAATGCGCCAAAATAATCTCCAGGAAGAACTTGGCGAACCGCACGCGAGTCAGAGAGATTCATTCCAAAAAAAAAAAGGGCGGCCTAAGGCGGGGGAACCGATTCAAGGCATTACGTTTTGGCAAAGCCTTTGCTGCCCTTACAACTCGTATGACTGACTCGCTTCGACGTTCCCATCGGATCAGTTGTGTGATGTTGCCAAAGACATTCGGAGCTGTACCCGACGAACGGGAGCGGCCAAGCGAGCTAGCAGCAGGAATGCCAAATCCAACTGATGTGACTGGTTCTGGGGTGTTGGAAATTTTGAATTGCCGTTTGGCCTTCTCTTCCACAAGGTCAAGAAGAAATTGGCTCTGGCTTTTGCCTGTCGTGTGTGTTGAAAGCCGAATACTGGGGGCGAGTCACAGCGAGGTTGCCGCACCAAACCAAGCGAAATATTGCCACTCACAACCGACTCTCTCTCAACCGGAAAAGAATTTTGCGAATGTGCTTTTCTCGTGCGAATGAACGACTTGCTAATGTCAAAAAGTGGCGAGCTGCTGGTCTGCGTCACTCTGCACCGTGTCGAAAGTGTGACATCGGGTTATAGGTGCTTCATCGGGATATCGATCCAGAACGTCTGAGCTTCGTTCTCGACTTGGCCGTCAAAATGGACTGATTGGAGAGAGGTAACTCATATTGACATTTTCTATTCACATTCCGTGTCTGAGCCTACTGACCGCCAATTACAGCTCCTGACGACGAGCCATGGAATGCGACCTCTCTTCCAACGTAGCTCCCGTCCTGGCACCGTGGATCCTCCTCAACAGCGGCTCGTTGTCCGCGTGCGAGTCTCCCATGTGCAGATCCCGCTTCTCGCTCGCACTCCTCGCCGGGATCACTCGGGCGAGACCTCCGTGGTAGTGCTCCAAGTTGTCGGTGAAACTGTTGAGCTTGTCGCCCCAGTTGTTGTACCAGCTGTAGTCGCTTCCGTTGTTGAGCGTCTTGGTGATCGAGGTGAGGTCCAGCGAGAGGTACTCGGCGATCCACTGGCCGATCCACGTGTTTTCGTGCGAACCGATCACCGAGGCACGTCGCTTCTCGTAGCGCTGGTATCTGGGCGTTCCCTTCTTCTGAGGAGCGGCTTCGTGGTAGTAGAGCCCGACAGAGACGCCAGAGTGACCGGTGGTGGACCAGCCGAGGTGAGCACGCCAGTTGACGATCGACGACAACCACACCGTGTAGGGGATCTGGTTCTTGAGCTTGGCAAGGTCGACGGCGCGTTGGATCTCTCCATCCTGGACGTCCTTGATACCGAGACCCTTGGACACCACCTCGTCCTTGATGTAGGTGCGCATATCCGCGTCGGTACGGTTAGCAGCTGCCACCCACTTGGCCGTCTGAGCCGCCAAAAACTCGGTCGAGTGCGTCGCGTTCAGCAGCACATCCGGGTACCATCCGTAGTACGACTCTTCGTCTTCGGCCCTCTGCAGACCCAACGTCAATCCACCACACTCGTGGTCGGCCACGGAGAACATGACCGTCTCGCGCTCGCTCGGGTTGTTGGCAGCGTTGCTGTCCACCCACTCCACCACGGCTTGCACCATCTCGTTGTACGCGAGGATGTCGTGGATGTGTCCGATCGGGTCGTTGTTGTGAGCTGCGTGGTCGATACGTGCTCCCTCGATCATGATAAAGTAGGGCACGTCCTGGTTGCGCAGTCCGTTGAGCGCAGTGAGTGCCATCTCCTTCAAGCTGGGTTCTTGCGTCGCGTTTCGGTCGATCTCGTACGCCATGTGAGACGCGGTGAAGAGCGCCATCGACGGAAGCTTGATCGCGTTGCCGCCCTGGAGAGCGTCGAAGTCGCTGCGGTTGTTGACCACGTTGAATCCGCGCTGCTTGGCCTCCTCGACCAGGTTTCGTCCGTCGGTTCGGATACCGGGCTTGGTCGTGTTGGGAAGGAAGTGACGCAGTCCACCGCCCCACAGGATGTCGACCTGACGTCCCAGCATGTAGTTTCCGATCTGCTGGCTTGCGATCTCGTCCTCAGCATCACGGTCATCGATGTGGGCAGAGTACGAAGCGGGCGTGGCGTGGGTGATGCGAGAGGTGGTCACCAGCGCAGTGTTGTACCCTTTCGCCTTGGCACCTTCCAGCACGGTACCGCACGGCTTCTTGTCCGAGTCGACACCGATGTAGGCGTTGACACTCTTCAGACCGCACGAGTAGGCGGTGGCCGAAGCAGCCGAGTCGGTCACCAACGAGTTGGTCGATCGAGTTCGCACCTCACCCACCAGCAGCTTGTCCAGAGGCATGGTCACGTTCCAAGCCAGGTGCTTGGCCGACTGCAGGTACTCGCGAGCGAACGTCTCGGACGCGGGACCAAAGCCATCCGAGATGAGCTGGATGACGTTGGGCTGCTTCTTGTTGGAAGACTTGCCTCCGTTGTTGGGCGCAGCGGTGGCAGCCAGTGCCAGGAGCATGATGGCTCCCAGCTGAACAAACATTCCCTGAAGATGCATGGTGGAAGAGCGAGGTAGGGGAGGAGGGGTTGATGCGTGAAGGGTGGTGTGACGTTCGAGAAACAACAGAAGGCGTCCACTTTATATCATACTGACAGCCATCGAGAGTGGCCAAGCTTTCTTCTCAAAACCTACGGAACCCTGATCGCCGTACTTGGGTTTCAGCACAAGACCTGTGCACACTGACAGAAGAACCGCCTTCTTCATCTCCAAGAAGGGAAAAGCGAGCACGTTCTCGCTTCCAACAACCCTTGGCGGGCTTTGCCAGGAACGTCTGACCCAGCAAACATGTGGCAAAGACCTCGACTCGTCTACCTGCCACTTTCCAAAGATGTCGTGTGTGTACTGCAGCGAGAGCTAACTTAGCAAGAAGGATGCATAACCGTCTCACTCTCTCAAGCGGCGAGAAGAATTGCAAATTGAGACGGTGTTCAGAAGGCGTAGCACGTTCTCGGTGCATTATCGGAAGCCGCACAACCGTCCGTCGATGCCGCCGCTTCTCGAGCATAGCAGGCAGCTCTCGAAGACTGGTGAGCGGAGTCAAGGTGTCGGTCGCTGCCAAAAAGGTTCAGTGCCAATTAGGCGAGGCTCTTGGCAGCATATGCAACACCATCTCGTGCGGGGGCACAATTGCAGAGGAACCCGCTCCCCGAAAAAGAAACAAGAAAATGCCAAGAAATGCAGTCGCCTGTCGAAAATGGCCCACGTTCCCATCTTTGCGACTTGGTGCAGCCGCCAGCATCCACCAAACACTTTGACCCGTTTGGCCCGCCTAGATGGGTGAGAGAGCAAGTTTGCTTAGCAGCATCCCAACAGTAAACGCGGTAGTGCAGCATCGTATCGAGTCCGATAAAGAAATCCCTAGACATCCTGGGGGGTCGACGACGGCGATCTGCAAGGGAAGGAAGAGTTGCAGTGAGAATGTCGCCAAAAGTGTCGTGTGTGCAACCACAATCCTTCCCTTGCTGTGCAGTCAAAGCGACGGGTGCGGAGATGGCCGGAGCCTTTTCCAAGCACCCCCATCCCTCGCTCTCTCTTTCTCGTGTTGGAGTTGAATCGCACGTTCCAACCTCATCCCATCCATACTCACACGTTTATCGCATTGTCCAACGACGTTCAACGCTCTCTGACCCACCAGCCCCGCGATTCCCACAATCATTGAACCCCGCTCACTGGGTTGCATATGTTCCTAGACTTCCTGCAGTCAACCCTTTCCTTCCGCTCTGATAAAAAATTTGACTGACTGCATCCTCATCACTCACGGCTCGTCGGTACATTGTCACTTGAAACATCTTGCATTCCATTTCTGTCCCGGGTTGAGGTTACGTCTACACTCCACTTTTCACACTAACGACGCGGAGGTGGGGGTGGCATAGCTCGACCGTTCGAGCCAGCCGCAGGCTTGGGAGCTACAGCCGGCTTGGCAGCCACAGCGGGAGGCGCACCGTTCGCAGCACCGTTTCCATTGGCAGCTGCAGCCGCTGCTGCGTTTTCTGCCTTCTTCTTGGCCAACACGGCAGCGAATCCACCAGGTGCCCCGAGACCGGGCATCACAGCGACAGGCGCCGCACCTGCATCCGCTTGCACTGCTGCGGGTCGCTCGTGCGGTTTGCCACCAGCGGGCGCAGTCCTGACCACCGGCTTGGGTTGCACGACCGGAGCAGCACCGCCAAATGCGGGCTTGGCTGCTACAGCGGGTCGACTGCTGGCAGCTGGCGTGCTCGCGGCGCTGGTTGCCACAGGCGCAGCAGGAGGTGCTCGCTTGACGGGTGGTGCAGGTGCCGCTTTCGGTTTTGGTGGAGCTTGCGGGATCAGCTCGAGGTAGTTGGAAGGAGCCCATCCCTCGACGCCGTTCTTCTTGACCAACCACCATCCCGAGCCCGTCTCGTCCTTTTGCGTCACCTCGACCACATCATCCTTCTCGAGCGCCATCTCGCCCGCATTCTCGGTAGCAAACGCGTACAATGCCTTGTAGCGCGGCACCTGAGGCTCGACAGGCGCAGCTGCTGCGGGCGGAGGCGGCGGCGGTGGTGGAGCCGAACGAGTTGCTCCAGCACCACCCGTCGAGCTTGCCGAGCTTATCGCCGCAGCGGGACGGCCTGCGGTGGCGGCAGCACCGCCGCTACCAGGCAGCTTGGCTGCGACAGGGGTGGAACGAGGAATGGCACGAGGCTTTGGCTTGTTGTTGGCGTTCGATGGTCCTCCAGCCCTCAGCAATTTGCCCTGGGTGATGGGTCGCACCAGACCAGGCTTCTTCTTGGGTGCAGGTCGGGAGACGCTGTTGGCGGGTTCACCCGAGCCCACCGAGACCGCACTGCTCTTGTAGACGTCGTCCTTCTGCACGGTTTCGTCCTTCTTGAACGTGATCTGCGCCTTTTTGCCTTTCTTCTTCGAGTACTCGAGAGTGTTCGAGACAATCACGTTGATGGCACCGTTGGTCCTCTGCAGCAGGTGCGTCACCAGCTCCGTCTTGAAGTAGCAGTGCAAGATGGGGTCGGCCTCTTCGGCATTGTTGACATTGAGCACCAACCAGTCGTCGCGCAGGTTGGACAGACCCACGGCCGAGATGGCACCGAGGTTGATGCGCCTCTCACACGTGGTCGAGACCTGCTTGTTGACAAGCTGTGTGACCAGGATATACACAGCCTTGTCGGTCAAGATAAGGAAGCGTGGACTTCGCACACTCGAACGACCCAGGCGAGACACGAGCAACTGAGCACGGCTGCTGAAAGCCACTGATTCGCCGGGCGCCATACCTGAAGCCTGTCGAAGCATCTGACCCTCGGCACTTCCGCCACCCTTGCCGTTGGCTCCACCAACGTCGAGGTAGTCACCCATGAAGCGACGCGAACCAAGGAGACTGAATCGTCTGCGTTCCTTGCGCCCGGCGAGCACCTGGTGACCGTAGTCTCGCAGCTGAATGTACTGCAGGCCTTCCTTGTTGTTCTTCCACATGCGCTGGATTCGCCTGGCGCACTCCTCCTTGTAGCGCAGGTAGTTGCGGTAGGCGCGCTGGATACGCATGGCCATGTTGTGCCAGTATCGATCTCGCATGGTCTCGAGCGCAAACAGCGTCTCGGGGTTCTTGATAAACGCCTTTGTGACACCCATCTGCCACTCCTCGCGAGCGATGCCTGTGTCGGTGAGGATGCGCTCGCAACCGCTGCGGGCATCGCCCTGCCAGGTGTACTCTCCCGCGTACGACGTGTTGGGCGACAAGAGGTAGAAGCGCTCCACCATCTTTTCAAACGTGTTCCTGTAGGCGAAACCAGCACGGCGGACACGGATGTTCTCCTGCAGACCGAGGTATTTGATCTGGTGAAGGATGGCTTGCGTGTCGTACTCGCTGGGGCTCTTGTTCTGGTTCGGCTTGATGGTACGGATGTAAGACGGCTGCGCCTTCATGAGGTTCTCGACCAAAGCATTGGCGCTGGACTTGATGCGGTCGCCGGCGGTGGGGGGCCGCTTCTTGCTGTTGGGGTCGGGACGGTCGGGGAACAGCTTCTGAAGGTACGAGTTGGCACTCGAGTCGACGAGGTCGAGGATGTCCTTGAGGAGCGAATCCTTGTTCTTGTCGGTCATGCCTTGGACGTTGTACATGACGTCACCGGCATAATGCTTGATGAGGAACTTGGTGCCGCGAGAGTCGAAATGCGGATTGGACGAGAGCATGCCGGTACGCTGGATGAACGAGTTGTCGGCAGCGGTGGGGTCGGCGTGGGCGGTGGCACAGGCATCGTTCAAGGCGGAAAAGATGCCCGGCGGACGCTTCTCCTCGATGAGATCGCAGACGATCTTGTTGTTGAAGTACTTGATGGGCGTCCACTGGATCTGCTCGTACGCGTATTCCTCCTGCTCCTTCTTGAGGGTGAGCTCGATGAAGATCTGCTGGAGCTTCTCATTGACGTAGTTGATGCAGAGCTGTTCGAACGAGTTGTTGTCAAAGATCTCGAAGCCGTAAATGTCGAGGACACCAATGACGTTGGCGCTCTGCGCTCTTGGGTTCATGGATTGGTTGATGCGCTCGACGATCCAGTCGAACATGTTGTTGTAGATGGCTTTGGCCAAGGCGTCTCGAGCGGCGGCAGCCTGGGTTGGGTTGAGCGGCACCTCATAGACCGACCCTCTGCGTCCGCCGCGTTGCGTCTCCATGATGCGCTGTGTCAGAGCTTTGGTGACGTTGCCGGCGTCGACCTCGAGAAGGTAGGCGACAAAGTCTGGGACACCTGGATCCGAAATCTCTGCGTTGCCCTCCTGGTTCTCGACGTATTGCACGTTGCCGATCCAGAGGATGGCGGCGATCATGCGGAAGATGTTGTCCTGCTCGTCGGCGGAGAGACCGATGGTGTTCATGGCGCTGATGGTCTCCCTGAAGTCTGCATGGTCGTCGATGCCGTTGACGTCGAGACACTGGCTGTTGGCGGTGTAGGCATAGGCTTCGGGACCTTGGATGCCGTAGTTTTCGCGATGGGCTGCCGTGGCAGCTTTGGTGAACTGATAAAAGATGTGGAAGTTGCGCTCGTCGCGGATCTGCTGGACGACGCGGTTCTTTTCGAGGAGGTAGTTGGTGATGTTGGCACCGATCGGCTCGCCTTGCGCGTTGAACATGATTTCGAGGTACTTGCCGTGACGGGACGAGTTGTTGTTTCTGAGCGTTTTTGCGCAGCCGAAGCTTTCGAGGAGCGGATTGGTAGCGAGCACCATGTCCTTGACGTCCTGGATGCCCGAGTTGGAGCCACCGCTGACGGCGGCGATGTACTGCATGATACGCTTGGCGGCTTCCGTCTTACCCGCGCCCGATTCGCCCGAGATGATAACGCACTGATTCTCCTTGTAGGCGTTCATATTGTAGTAGGCGCCTTCAGCGATGGCAAACACGTGCGGCGTCATCTCGAGACGGTTCTTGCCGCGATAGGACTGGAGGATGTCTTCGGAGTAGATGCCGAGATCGCGGAATGGGTTGACCGAGATGAGCACATTGCCAATGTATGTGTAGATCTCTGCATTCTGGAAACGTTTCTGGAGGTTCTCGTTGATGGCTTCGTTGGTGACCTTGGAGAGGAGCGTCATATCGGAAACACCAGCTTGGGCCTTTTTGAAGCCTTCCCTCCAATCTGCCTTGGCGACACCACCTTTGGACGGCGCGCCTTTGGAAGGAGGTGGCTTGGAGGCGGCACCGGCCTTTTTGGCGCCTGCCTTCTTGGAGATGGCCATGGTGGGCGACAATCAGTGATCGAGGAGGCGATGCGACTTGATGGATGTGACGACGATAGAACTGAGCCACGCACGCAAGTATTCCGAAGAGTGACTGAGCAAGAGACCTTGTGACCTGCCGGATGGATCCGACAGGAACAAAGAAAAGCGATTCGTCGGCGAGCGGACCGAAGGCGAAAGGATGTGGATGATGGTGATGAGAGCGGAAACTCCGATGCAAGAGAGGGCGAACGAAGATAGGCAGATCCGAAGGTGGAAGGAAAGCGCGAAGGGATGTAATCTCACGATCTGGCAGGGTCCAACTGCCCTTTCGCGGCTCAAGATCGGTCAGACGGAATCGCACTGGCCCAATGCCTCCATCAGCGCGTGCGGACACATGGACACAGCGTCACTGTGCTGCACCGGCTCAGCGACCATCGCCCCGCATGGCTGTGCCTGGTCGACGTTCCAAAGTGGAGATTCTCATTCAAGTCGATTTGCATCGAAAATCGTGAGTTTGTAAAAGAAGATCTCACATTTTAGTTAAGATAGACTCCGTGTTCCGAGAAAAAAGTTCCAAGAAGAAAGCGTCGGAATGCTCAGCTTTCACCTTTGTCCTCCCTCCTCCTCCTCATCAGTCCCCCACGCAGCATCGCCGACACGATGGCGCCGAGGAAGAAGAATCCGGCCATCAAGTCGAGCGGCACCACCTCCTCAAAGGCGTCGCCGCTGCCCGACTGGGTCAAAGGTGGAGGTCCCAAACCGCCTCCCTCCTACACCAAGGCCGCCAAACAGCAGCAGCAATCACAACCGTCGGCCAACGATGCGGCATCGTCGACAACAGCATCCTCCTCATCCTCGGCAGCAGGACCGGGACAGACGCAGCAGAGAGAGATGCTCTTCCCGCCAGGCAGCAAGACACCGCTCAACATGCTCTACGAACGAGTCAACAAGTTGCCCGGATGGGAGAAACCGCTCGTCGAGCCACGCAGGCATAAGGAAGGCTACAGCTGCGCCGTCACCATCAGAAAAGTCAACAAGAAGGATGCCTCCAATCCCTTCACCGTCACGTTCGAGCCCAAAGAACCAGGACTGCGGCTCGAGTGCCAGTCCAGCTTGGAGGCAAAACACTGGGGCGCAACCTACGCGCTCTTCCGCATCTTCAACCATCTATCGCTCAATCTCGCGCTTCCCCCGGGTCCGAGAGAGTACTGGGTCAAGATGGAGGCGTACAAGAAGGAAGCACCCAGCCATCAGGATTGGATGTGGGAGCAAGACCCCTTCGAAGCAGCCGCAAAGAGGGAGGCAGACAAAGCTAAAAAGGAACACGACAGGCAAGCAGCTGCCGACGCAGCCAGCAGAGGGGAAGTGGGCATCGTCAATGGCAAGCTCAACGGCGCAGGCAAACCGCTCAGCAAGGCGTGGCAGGAAGCAAGAGAGGTCCGGCTCGCCAGCTCGTTGCGCGAAAAGATCGAGGCCACCATCCGCAGAGCGATGAGCATCTTTCCCTCCGCCAGCACCGCTCCGCTCGATCTGATCGAAGAAGACCAGGACCCAACCGCTGTAGCCCAAGGCTCGACACCCAAGATCGACGCCGCCGGGCTGGAAAAGGAGCTCACCTCGTATGGCTTTCGACGCGGACATTCGCGCAGCGCCATCTCGTGGCTCACCTCGGCCCGCGCTGCGCTAACCAACCCATCGAGCGCCTCGACAGCAGCCGCGCTCGTCGATCCCATGCTCGCCTCGGCCGCATCGCTGTCGGATCGAGAGGCTGCGTTAGAATACCTCATGCTATATACCCCGGAAGAAGACCTGCCCGCCAGATTCAAGCCCACCACCTCGTCCGAGAGCTTCGTCACTGCCTCGAAAGCAGGCGCGGGTGGAGATGCCCTAGCAGTCGGTTGGGCAGTGGACAAGCTCTCCAAGCAGGCCGGATTCCCCAAAAAGGCGGTTCAGGCCGTCTTCAAACGCATCGCTGCCGCCGAGCGTGCGCAGAACGTCGAGCTGCAAAGGGCAACCAAAGAAGGTCTGGCGTTGGACATGCTGCTGCGACAGATGGTCGGATGGGATTCGCCAACGCAAAAGCAAGAACAGTGGACCTCAGACGCCATCCTCGACGCCGTCTTGGCCTTCCCAGCTGAGATCGACGACCTAGACAAAGACGAGATGGAATCCAAACGAGCCGACGAACGCATGGCCGTCGAAGCAGTGCTCGGTGACGATCGAGTAGCCATCCCTTCCGAGCACGAGCGGTTCGGGACGCAAGACTACGACATCATCATCGCCGGACCAGGTACGTCTGCAGGCGGCAACGAAGACGTCCGACTACGCATCTCATCACATCCTCAATCCCTGTACCCGCTCTCGAGCGAAAAGGCGCAAGCGTTCGCCGTGCCTGCGTTCTGCGTCGTCTCCAAGACGCTGCCATCGTACCTCAAGCTGGCGCTCACACAGCATCTGATGCGTGCTTTCCAGGGCGACAACAAGAGGCCCGATTGGTATGACGCCATCGAGGCGGGTGATGGCGGTATTCTGTTGAGTGTTGTCGAGGAGCTCGAGGGCATGTGGAGCAACGTCGTCGACGATCCGCCTCTGCTCAACAGTGTGATGCAATACCTGGTCGTTCCAGACCCGATCGACTCCAGCGTCGAGGCGACACCAGAGACGTCTCGCGCTGCCACGCCCACCGGTCGAAACAACGCAGCGAGCAAGCGCCGAGGCGGAGCAAGCAGAGCATTGCGACTCGATGCGGCGGTCGATGCACAGCTGCAACGTCAACAGAAGCAGCTGCACACCTTGCCGAGCTTTGCCAAAATGGATGCGACGCGCAGATCGCTGCCCGCCGCTTCTGCTGCCACAGAGATTCTAGAGCTGATCCGCACGAACCGCGTGGTCATTATCGCCGGCGAAACGGGATGTGGAAAGACGACCCAGGTGCCGCAATTCATTCTGGACGAGGCGATCAAAGCAGGCAGCGGCAGCGAGTGCAACATCGTCGTCACGCAGCCTCGACGTGTCAGCGCCATCGGTGTTGCGTCCCGGGTCGCCGTAGAGCGCGGCGAAGAGCTGGACGGCAAGAAGAAGCCGGTTGCACCTGGAAGTCTCGTTGGTTACGCTATTCGCGGCGAACGCAGAGCTTCTCGAGAATGTAGGCTGCTCTTCACAACCACCGGAGTGCTGCTTCGACGACTGGGAGCGGGCGGCGACACCGACCTGAAAGGTATCTCGCACGTCGTGGTGGACGAAGTGCACGAGCGCAACGTCGACTCGGACTTTTTGCTTCTCGAGCTGCGCGAGCTGCTCAAGCGCAACACCAACATCAAGGTGGTGCTCATGAGCGCCACCATCAACCAAGAGACGTTTGCGAGCTACTTCGGGAGAGCGCCGTGCATCTCGATCCCCGGGCGCACGTTTGCGGTTCAGGACTACTACCTCGAAGATATCGTGCGCGAGAGCGGATTCCGACCTTCCGGCAACGAATGGCGCGGCGGACAACGCGGTGGAAAGCAGATCGAGGAAGAGATGGGACAGCTGCGCTCCCATCTGCAGTCGCAGGGTGTGGATGAAGAGACGGCAAAGACGGTGGAGAGCATCTCACGATCCGGAGGTCGTATCAGCTACGAGCTGATCGGAGGTGTCGTGCGGTATGTAGTGGAGAGGGCGGAGAACGAAGAGTTGAGCGGAGAGGCGGACAGCAACGTCGGTGGAGCCATCCTGGTCTTCTGTCCCGGTGTGGGGGAGATCCGACAAGCCATCGACGCAATCTCGGCATCGCTACGAGGACAGAGCAAGGTCGAGATCCTTCCGCTGCACGCCAATCTTTCCCCGGACGAGCAGCGTCGCGTCTTCCAGCCTGTGGCAGCAGGCCGTCGCAAGATCGTCGTGTCGACCAACGTCGCCGAGACATCCATCACGATCCCGGACGTCTCGTACGTCGTCGACACGGGCCGGGTCAAGGAGACGCGCTTCGAGCCAGAGAGCGGATTGACGCGGTTGGTCGAGTGCTGGGCCTCGCGGGCAGCGTGCAAGCAGCGACGCGGACGTGCTGGTCGTGTCCGCTCCGGCGAATGTTTCCGGCTGTACTCGCGGTTCGTGGACGAAAAGAAGATGGCGGCGCAGCAGACGCCCGAGATGCGACGCGTGCCGCTCGAGTCGCTTTTCCTGGAAGTCAAGTCGATGCGCGAGGACGAAGACGTCAAGGAGTATCTCAACAAGGCGCTCGATCCGCCAAGCTTGGCATCCATGGACGCAGCGTTGAGCAACCTCATCGAGGCAGGAGCACTGCAGTCCGATCAAGGATACAAGAGTCGACTCACGTCGTTGGGCAAGCATTTGGCGCAACTGCCCCTCGATCTCCGACTGGCCAAGCTGTTGATCATGGGTACCATCTTTGGATGCCTGGGGCCGATGCTGACGGTGGCGAGCATCATGTCGTGCAAACCGCTGTTCAGCGCACCCTTCGAAAAGCGCGAAGAGGCGAGCAAGGCTCGAGCGACGTTTGCGGCTGCTGGATGCAGGAGCGACCTGCTCGCCGATGCCGCGGCGTTCGAGCAGTGGCAGACGATGCGAGCCGAACGAAAGTCCAACGGTCAGATACGAGATTGGTGCGAGAGCAACTTTATCTCGCAGTCGACGCTGAGGGATATCCAGACGAACCGGCTGGATCTGCTGTCGCATCTGCAGGAGATGGGCTTCGTAGCACCCAGCTACAGTCCCTTTGGCGTGTACGACGACGAGGTGTACGACAAGAACGCGCAGCACGCGGGTGTACTGCGATCGGTGATCATGGCAGGGCTGTGGCCCGCCGTGGTGCGCATCGATCTGCCATTGGCCAAGTTTGATCAGTCGTCGAGCGGTACCGTGCAGCGCGAAGCCGAGGCACGTCAAGTCAAGTACTTTGATCGCAACGGTCGTGTCTTCCTGCATCCGTCATCGACGCTGTTCAGCTGCAAAGGGTTCGAGTCGTCGTACCTCACCACGTTCGCCAAAGGCTCGACGGGCGCAGGGCCGGAGTCGAAAGTGTACCTGCGAGATGCCACCGAGGTGCCGCTGTTCGGACTGCTGCTGTTTGGCGGGAAGCTCAAGATCAACCACTTTGCAGGAGGGATCGGCATCGGATCGAATCAGAGCAACGCCGGTGGCAAGGACGAGAATTGGGTTCGACTGCGCGCCAATGCTCGTATCGGAGTGCTGTGCGCTCAATTGAGGAGGTTGCTGGATGCGGTTCTGGATCAGGCGATCGACGAACCGCAGGATATGTTTGCTGCCCCGGGTTGCAAGGAGGTGCTCTCGATCATCAGCCAGGTGCTCCAACGCGACGGTCTAGCCGACTGAGGTTTCAGCGGACGTATGTCACACTTTTTGCAATCATATACAGGGATGTAATCATTGTCCTTTGACTGCAATGTCCGGCTCGATGCAGATGTATGTAACGCGTGATTGATCAGAAAAGTTGGTCTCATGTCGAGGCCGATCAACATTTGAGCTCATGAATCGTCGACACGAATGCAATGCTCTATTATATTGAGGGCTTACGAAGGCGGAGCGCCACCCGGACCCTGGCCCTGCGAAGATTCATTAGCCACTCCGCCGTCGTCAGTCCAACTGGCAGCAGCCTGTGTCGTATACTCGGCGCCCACATCGACAGCAATGGTGGTCCAAGCGAAAACACCGTCCTGCACGCTATCACCCAAGAGTACATACTCGACCACGGGATCGGAACCCTGACTGGAAGCCTCCTCAGCAAAGATGCTGTCGTCGGCGTTCAAGGTGAGGTTCTGGGTGTTGGTGGAGTACGGTTGCAGTGCTTCCACCTGGGAGATGAGGTCCTGGTCGAAAAAGAGTTGACCGATGTGGATGGCTCCATCGGCGCCACCACCCGAGAGGGTGTTGTTGGAGAGGAGGGTGGCGTTTGCATGGGCGACGACGTGGATGTGCGTGGCTCTGCCAGTGTAGTGACCGGGGAAGATGGTGGTGAACTGGGAAGCACCGTTGGAGTCAGTCTGTTGAACACCTCGGGAGAAGGTGGCGTTGAGGTTCGAAGTGTCGTCCGAGTTTCCATTTCCAGCAGCAGAAACACCCGAGTAGACTCCCGTAGAGTTGCAGCTCCAAATCTCCCAAAACAGCTCCGGAACAGGTTGACAGGTGTCGACGTTGACGAACTGGACATCGAGGTAGAGCGGCACTCCAGGCTGACCGTCGGTGACGTTGGATCGGAGCAGTTCGCCGCTCACCCAGTACGGTCCGATGGTCACTTCGGGTTGCAAGACGCATGCAGACGACGAGTTGGACGCAAACACCGTGGAAGTGGTGGCATTGGAAGAGGTCAGATCGGTACGGTTCGACTGGTGGTCCGTTCCCAAGACGGTGGAGAAATAGTCGGAGGAGTTGCGTCGAAGCTGAGTACGGAGATCGGAGAGGAGCTGTTGGCGACGTGTCTGGGAGTGAAGCGCATGACGACGCTGGATGGACGACGTGGACGCACAGTGAGAGTAGCGTTGGTGCGTGGAGCGCTTGAAGGCACGAGTCGCTTCGAGCTCGGCGGCGCTGGGAGGAGCATGTCCGGGATGGGCTACTACGGCGGTGAGAGTAGCGGCGAGCAGGGGCAGGGAGGGGAGAAGCTGCATCTTGTGTAAGGCTGCCAAGGTGGATGCAGCTGATGCTTTGGATGTGGTTCCAAAGAATTCGTAGCCGTTCTCTCGCCTATATATCTGTTTGACCTAGCCCGGCCGCAACAACGACGTGCTCTATACATTGTCAAAGCAACACTCGTTGATTGCGGCTAATGCTGCCAAGCACGAATCAGGGAGGCAGAATTCCATCATCTCACGACATGCAATGCGACCGCGAGGTCGATGCCAGGAAGCACGATGCAAACACATGTTTCGTTGGAGGTGGACAGGTGTGTATCATATTGAACGACTCGCGGAAGGTGCACAGCCAAGCAGAGCTCGTCCGTGTGGTCAGAGCATCGAGCGGTGGATAGCAAGTTCTTGGCATGCCTGACATCCATATGGATCTGCACGTCAAAGTGCGCCAACCCCCATTGCGGCCGAATCAACCTGCGGCGTCCATCGACACAGAAAGCCCGCCGGGACTGGAAATGCATCGCTCGTGATTGGGTACAGGAGCATGTCCAGCAAGGTACCCACCCGAGCACGCTGTCATGGTCTGTCACCGCTCGACCATGCGGAAGCGGCTGCGTCTCGCCAACTTTAGCTCGCGAACCGCGTTTCGTGGCGGTGCAATTTGAGACTAAATGTGAGATCGGTATGATTGACGTGGGGTCTTGTCGTTGAATTTTCAAGCGACTGAAAACAACCGACGGTCGTGTAAGATCGTTTTGCGTGCTATTGCGAGCTCCTCGGAGATGAGCAGGAGAACAGCGGGACATGACCGGAAATCCGGAACGGCGACGGGTAAAGCGCTGAACTCAGCTTCAGCCGGCGGGGGGAGAATCGACAAATCCATTAGCGCAAACAGCGCATTCTAAACGTTATCACAATCCAACAACTCGAATGCTGTCATACTTGGCAGCTCGAGCAGCGATGCTGAGCAAATGCACATATACGTAGCCTTTTTGCTATTCCCATCATCATCCCCACTGTAGCAATACAATGCCGTCCACAAGCCTGAACACCGCGGTTCGCACCGCACTCATCACCGGAAGCACGGACCCACAAGCCATAGGATTCACCGCCGCTCGCCTCTTGGCCCTCGAGCACAACTTCAACATCGTGCTCAGCGGGAGACGAGGTGAGGCGGTAGACCAAGCCGTCAAGAAGCTCTCTAGCGATCTCGATTCCGCCTCCTCTTCCGCCAAAGTCTTTGGTCTCGTGCTCAACGTCGACGACAAGGCTTCCATCGACTCGGCCGTCGATCAGCTCTCATCTGCCACCGGCCCGCTTTCCGGTGGTGCGCTCGACGTGCTCATCAACAATGCCGGTGTAGGTGCTCCACCCGGACGAGGCGGCAAAGGAACCAACAACATGTTCCTCCAGACCGAGCTCACCACTGCCGAGGATATGGTCAGCGTTCTCACCACAAACGTCGCTGCCCCCGTCGCCGTCACCAACGCCCTTCTCCCGCTCCTGGCCAAGTCCGATCGACCGCGTATCGTCAACATCTCGTCTGCTCGAGGATCCATCGCGTTCGGCAGCGGTTTGGAACCGGCCCGTACAGGTGCCATGGTGTACAACACCTCCAAAACCGCCCTCAACATGGTCACCCTCATGCAGAGCAAGAACCTCGTCCAACACACCAAAACCAACCTCAAGGTCAACGCTGCTTCGCCCGGTCACGTCAAGACGCCCTTTAACAATTTCACTGGGTTGAGGACGTTGGAGCAAGGCGCTGCTGTCTATGTACATCTGGCCACTTTGGATGACGATGGGCCGAGTGGACAGTTGATCGGGAACCATGCGCCCTTTTCGAGCGATGGAGAGTTTGTACAGATTCCTTGGTAGTGATCTGATCACAGCGACATGTAGGAGCAAAAGGGAAGATTGAATTGACCATCGTAGCAGAAGAATTATTCTCACATTGACATTTGTTAGGAGGATTTCTGAACGGCTGCCGATTCCTGGACGGTGCTCGACGTCTTTTGCAGCAAGATCTGCGCCTGATCGTAGATCGAAAGTACACCAGCCGAAGCCACTCCCCTTAGAATGTTGGCGCCTGCACCGCGCATCAGGCTGTTGACACCTTCGGCCTTGACGATCTCGGCCAGCGCGACGCCAAAGTTGCGGTAGTTCTGGCCGGTACCCGACGTCATCATCATCCGACGTCGGACGGTATCCAGCGGATACGCTGCTAGACCTGCCAACGCCGTCGATGACCAACCTAGCGCGAACGAAGCCAAAAAGTTTCCCTCAAGTGGACCGACCAACACGACGGGTTTGAGCGAATCGTACAGGCCAAAGTAGAGTCCGCGATACACGACGATTCCCATGACTGAGGGTACGAAGCCTCGATACAGTCCCGCTACACCGTCCGATGCGAGCGTCTTGCGGTACACGTCCACCAAGCCCGTGAATTGACGTTGACCGCTCGCTCCCTTGGCATCGTTCGCCAGTCGAGTTCGAGCAAAGTCGAGCGAGTAGACGAACACCATCGAAGTCGCACCCGCCAGACTGCCCGAAGCAATGTTGCCCAAGAACCACTTGCCGTACTCGGTGTTTTTGTTGTATTTGAACATGCGTTTGTAGTAGTCCTTGAAGGCGAAGTTGAGCGCTTGGGTGGGGAAGTAGCGGATGACGTTGGCCGTGTTACCGCGCCAGAAGGAGATCAGGCCTTCGTTGGTGTAGGTGCGCGAGAAGCAGTCGATGGTTCCCTTGTAGGGTGCATCCAAGCGGCCGGCTTTGATCATGGCGTTCTGGTTTTGCAGCAGCAGCTTCACTCGTTCGATCGGTGCTGCTGCTGTCTGGTGCATCGGTCATACAGAAGCACAAAGTCAGTGAGCCAGGTCGCAACTCGGAAAAGCAAGTCACCTCCTCGAAACTCACCTTGGAAATGGCAGCCGAGACGCCTCCGAGCAGAAAATCGGCCCAGAAGGCGTTCGATCCAGCATGGGTGTTTGACATTGCCGTGTGTGTGATGCTTGACGAGGTTCGACGCTGGTGAATGTTGTGCGTGGTGGCGAGGGAAAGTAAGTTACAAGGCACGATGGACCTCCTATTAAACCACCCATTGCCTCGCCTAGTAGCATACAAACACAACAGAGGAGGAGGGCAGCAGACTCGATTGCTTCTCTGCATGGATGATCGGGTTTCCGTTGTATTGCATAGCACTTCCCGTATGGACCCGGTACCAGGCATGACAAGCAGAGCGGTACATTGCACCCAGGAGCGGGCATTTGCGGCGGCCCCCCCCGCCAATATCTCGCCCACAAACGCGCAAATTCCCGAGACAGAGAGATACTCGCGATAGTGGACGCGCTCTGCTTGCATTCTTCTATGCAGGGCAACCGATAAGGGTCCTCCACGCTCCTTTTGACGGGCCGAAAGTTGCCGAAGTGGATTTGCGTCATACCCGACTCGATTCTTTCCGGCGGCTTCAAAGGCGGCATCGTTCGGCTTGCGATTCGGCTCGGTCCACTCAACGCACCGGAGAAAGCCGCTAAACGCGAGCTCACATGAGCTTTTGCTGTTGTGGCATCATTGCTACAGAGGCGCCGCAATCGCTCGCCGTAAACGTACTGTAGCGGAATGGGCGCAAGCGAGCATCGCAGCTTTGGCCATCATTCAGGACTGTAGGCCAGCGCCGTTCGTGCATGGAGACATCCGCTGCCCTCTCCGCCTAGCCACGCTCAAAGTTGGAAACGACGCTCAAATGTCCTGATCGTTCCGACCCGGTACTTTGCAGTCCCGCCTCGGCCACTTTGTCGGCTCGGGAGATGGCGAATCAGGCAGAGATCAAGCCCGCAGAGCCTTGTACCTCTTATATTTATTGACCAAGAAATCTACGCCTTCACCTGTCTTGTGGCGCTCAAGCGTGCGTAGGCAAACAGTGCCGCACTGACGAGCAACAGTGAGCCACCAAACCACGTCATGCTGTGGTAATCGTGCGGCTCTGGTGCAGATCCGCGAGTGTTGTTGGCGAGAAGGCGGCCTGCCACCGGGTTGCCGCCGAGCGCACCCAGCGAGCCAATGGTGCACATGAGGGAAATGTACGTGGGCAACACCTTGAGCTTGTCCACATCGTGGCGACCGGGAACGTTGAGAATCAGCGCCGGTGTCTGCAAAGATATCGCCGGACCGTAAAAGAGTCCATATAAACTCGCCCAGACCCACAGGCCGGCCATGCTGGTGGTGCTCGACCAGGTAAAGACCATGACGGCCGAGATGACGGTGCAGAACACAAGAGTGTTGGAGTGACCCAGCCTATCGGATACGCCTCCCCATACGAATCGACCGATAAAGGTGCTTGCACTAAGCAGCGATGTGAGGTAGAAGGCGGTGGTGGGCGTGGCTCCCAATGCCTGCGCATACGGTACCATGTAAAAGTTGGGAACGTAGACGCCGGCGAGGCAGAGCAGTGCACCCACGAAAAATGCATCCACCTGGAGGCTCTTCAGCGCTCGGCCGACGGGATACGAGCTCATCTGCAGCTTGCGACTAGCCGCAACCTTGACGTTGGGTCTGACCATCAGCACCGAGGCTGCAAGACACACGAGCTGGATCAAAGCCATGGCTCGCTGCGTCCATGCGTAGGAGACGCGCGAGTAGTTGATCATGCGGTTGAAGATGATCGGCCACACGACACCGCCGATCGAGCTGCCGCCGAGAGCGACCGACACTACGACGCCGCGATACCGCTTGAAATGCTGGTTGGGCAGCGATACCGTTGGGAGGAAGGCGAGACCGATGCCGATGCCTACGCAAATGCCGTGCGACAGCAATACCTGATAGAAGCTTCGCGCCAAGCTCGACATGACCGTACCCACTACGACGAACACGGATGCCACAGCAAGTGTGGGTTGAGGACCGAGCACATCGGTCATGATGGCAGCAGGGATGGCGAAGAGGTATCCGGCGCTCAGCATGATGCTCCCGATCCAGCTGATGTCGGACGGCGAGACCTGAGGAAAGATCGACTCGTAGTAGGCTTGATAGGGTCCGTACCCGGCCACGTAGCCTTGGGTGGCAAACATGGCCAGGAAGCATCCGCCGGCCGTGGCCCACGCACGAGCTCCACGGTCCACCACGAGCCCTCCATCCGATGCATCAGCATTGGTGCTGTCGTTGTCGTCGTCAGCAGCTGCTTCGCGATCTTGAGATGGAAAGTGGGGTTGGTCGCCCGATCGAGACGACAAGTCTTGACCGCGATGACGAGACGAGGTGGATCCAGGCATGTTTTCTGCTTGTACTGGACTGCATGCCAGTCAAAACATACGCATGCTACACCGCGGGTCGATGCACTTTGTTGATGTGGCGGGAACGATACTTTGTGAGGAATACATCGATCTGAGATGGTGAACCCCGGTGGACCCTGGGAATCTCGAGAGCAATTTCTTCGATTGCTGGTCGTGAGCACTACGGTGACTATGCCGGCGTTTGGCAATGCCGGCATAGTCACCGACGAGTCATCCACCACCGCCTGCTCAATGATCAGCTCTGTTCACAGCAAAACACACAAGTGGCACGCTTTCTTGAATGTCGATTTATTGAGTGATGCTCATGACTCGAGATCGTCTGCCGCCTCCATCCCTGATGGCGCAGGTTGCTGTCTTCCCCACCTCTTCTCCTGCGCTTCCATCTTTCGAATCCAATCGGGACCAGGCTGAGGCGCAGCTACCAGTTGCGGCTGAACGACGATGCGATCCTTTCCGTGCTTTTTAAAGTTCTTGAACCCCTCTCCTTGCTCTTCTCCAATGGCGATCCTACGACGCTCAATCGTGTCGATCTTGGCTTGCTTGATCTGCTCTCGACGCTCTCGTGCCTGAGCCAGCTGCTCGCCGGTGAGCTTCTTCTTTTGCCTCTTCGAAAGTTTACCTCCTTTGGCTGCCTTTCGTTCGGCCAAGATCTGCTTACGCTGTTCCTTTGGAAGGCGTCGCAGATCTTGGTCGTCATCAGAATCGGAGGAATCGCTGCTGCTGCTGCTGCTGCTGCCACTAGAGCTGGAGCTGGAGCTAGAGCTTGAGCTACTGTCGTCGAGAGGCATCCCAAGCTCAACCGGAGGCGTATCGATGTAGGACGTGTCTCCAGGGAAGTGGCCCGAGATACGCCTTGTGCCAGTGGCGACAAAGACGTCGAGACCCCGTGGCTGGAAGAACCGATGCTGGTAGGTTTCGACGAGAGCGAGCACCTCGGGAATGTGACGCTTCTTGAAGGCGTTCATGATGGCCTTTGTGATGAAGTAGTTTCCGTACGCCGCTTTCAGCACAATGAGCGGTGCCGGAATGACGTTGGCGATCAGATGCTCGTGTCCACGCAGAGCACCGGCGACGCGAATATTGACCAGGAATCGATCCCAATCCACAGCGCTCACGTCGTGGTCCACCATGATGCGTGCTGGATAGCGCGGCTCGAACCCTTCCTGCACGTGCTTTTTGGACGAGCCAGGAAGGTAAAAGGCAGCAAAGGGAGAATAGGTAGGCGAAAGGGGGTTGGAGTCGAGGGCAAGAGGCGGTGCGGGCCTGTCGAACGAACCCGGCGTTACTTTGAGCGGCTTCCCCGCCGACTGGGCAAACATGGTGCGTAGCTTGCCCACAAAGGTACGAGCAGGAAGCACCTGAGGTGCCTCGAGGTCGCGTTGCGTCGGATGCCAGTCGTCGCTGTTGGGGATCAATAGCGCTGGACATCCCTTGACAAACTCGGCCTCGATGGCAGCGTCTTGCGTGCCACCCCCGGCAGCAGAGATAAGTTGTGTGGTGCTCGGTGACATGATGGAGAAACGATCGGTGCGGGTTGTCTCAAGAATCGATCAGAATGAAGCTTCTTATGTAGATGCGAAGCTGTTGCAGCCTCTGCCACAGCCAAGAACCGTGAGGATGGAAATGTTCTACTCGGTTACTGGGTCGTAGGTGCAAACAATTTGCCGAGATAGCGACCGAGAGAATAAGCGAAATAGCGACCGAGGCAGCAGTTTCTTAGAGACGCAGTGGTGCCGATTAGTGCCCCGTACGCGATCCGGCCGCGACGCAGCCCTCGTTGTGGAGGAGGCGACGACTTAGGCGAGACACACTGGTACAGCCGTGCAGCTGCTCTCGTCTTATCTCGCTAACTGGACAATTAATAACAGTAAGATCCCGCTTCAATCCAGTCAGTCTGATGCTTGTGCGACGATCAAGTCGCGCTGTCGCCGTACGCCAATCTATTCAGCCAGCCAGTCAAAGATCCTCTACGATCCGGAGCACAAACAAGGAAGCACGGGTGCAAACAGAGTCGCGCTGGTAGTCGTTCGTCCCGATGGCCGTGTTGCGCTCGTCAAAACTAGTATTCACGATTGCAAAGTGGGCCAAGGTATTTTCTTTGCTTTGCTGCACAGTCTTGGTGAGTAGACAAAGAACGCGTGTAAAGAAGAAGGTCGATTGTCGGCACAGGAGGGACCGCTGGGTATAGGTGATCGTGACGGGTGCACGTGGTATTGAATAGTAAACGGTCGAGCAGCTTTTCACTCTACCTCAAAGCGCAACACAGTCCATCGACCAGGCCACGACGAGACATCCAACGGCCCTATATCTTGACTGCTATCTTCCTTCTTGTGCTCTGCGCTTTGCTTCTGGTTCTGCTGTTGCTTTTGCACGTAGTTTCGTGGACCGATCTGCTTCATCTGGTTCTTGTACGCCCACCACTCTCGTCTAACGTTGGCCATGAAGCCTTCTCCGAATGCGACGTACTTGATAGCAAGAGCTGGGTCGAGTTGAGCAACAGTCAAGTCAATGGGCTTTCGATTGACTGTCGATTCAGTCGCTTCACCGATGTAGACGAGGGTGATACGCCCAGAGGCGAGGAAGCAAGTTGTGGTCCAGTGAAGAATCGAGAAGTCCTTGTGCTCGTCAGGTCGCACGCGGATGATGCCCGCGTGACCTTGGGGCTCGCCATTTGATAGGATCTGATCGGAGATGGCGTTGATTGCAAGCATACGCCGTCTGTTAAGCGCACTCGGATCAGGGCATTCTTCCATTGGGGTGTAAACGATCGGGGACGAGTAGAAACTCTTCTTCTCCTGACGTGGTGCGTGCCAGGTCGGTACGTGGCGTCGAGCCTGATCGAAGAGAAGGCATGACCTTTGTTCTTGCGCAACGTCAAGAGCCAAAGATGATGGGTTCAAGCGCGCTAGTGCGACGGCGAGGCCAAAGAGAACAATCAGAATGGGCACGCAGATGCGAACCACGGTAAAGTGACCCGGCAGCTTGAAACCCTGTCGGACATTCAAAATGACATGCATATCATACACTTGCAGAGTCGTGTTCCGCCGGCACAAGAATCTACAGATGAAATCATTGATCGGCCGATGAGGTCAACTCGACCCGGTCAGATCTAGCAGATCGGAATCATTCAGCATGATACGGCAAGATCGTCTATCATGGCTTCTCCTTCTGTTTGTCTAACCACCATCCTTCCCAGCGAAGAGGTTGCTCGCAGCCTTTGGAATCTTCATCTTTTCCAATCACCTCCGAATGTCGCTGAAAGAGTGTGTCTCGAAGCAGCTTTGACTTGCGATGCGAACCTTGGCCTTTCCTACGTGACCGCTGAATAGCAGCCCATTGGAGTAAAGCAATCCGGTCGGCGCCACTTCAACACAACCCGGCTCAAGTTCCAGCATTGCACTTCTGGTCGACTTCGATTTAAGCAGTCAACTAGATCGACCAAAGTTCCTCGATAGAGTAAATTCAACCACAAATCATGACCTTTAATCCGCAATATTTGACACATCGTCATTTACTCATCCCTTGCAACGAGGCATACAAGAAAGTGAATCCAAGCAGAATCTGAGCTTTTCGGAGTCAAGCGACCACATTCTATCTTGCATTGATAAGAGTGGAAGATCGTACAGGAGAGAATCTCGCATCTGTAAACTTGGACTGTGGGGGCTGTCCGACTTATGCATCGGGGACAAAGCTCACTGTTCCAGGCGGGAATTTGGGGTCGGAGAGCTGGATGTAGCCGATGCCGAGCGGGTCCCAAACGTGCTGAGTGACGCCATACTCCTCGTCATAGTTGACCTGAGTGTAGGCCAAATACTCGCTGACTTGGGTTCCATTCTTGAAGGTGACCCACGATACCGTGTTGTCCGACTTGTCGAGCTTGATCACGTCGATGTTCTCCTTGGCGGCCTCGGAGGCGGAAGCGGTCGTGTATGCGCAGGTTTGCTCTTGAAGACCCATGATCCAGTCTCCGTCGCCTTTACCAATGAAAGTGTAGCATTGGAATTTGCTGTCTTGAAGCTCGGTGCCAGGACGGAGACGACCGTAAACAACATCGCCTTGAGCCTTGATACCCGAGGGCGAGTAGTCGCACTGTTCAAAGATGAACTTGTCCTTGGTGCTTGGATCGGCCTCCCATTTGGCATTCAACGGCCCATCGTACTGGTTCGAGCTCGAGGTCTGGTTGTTAAAATTGAGCTGGCCGACTTGGTAAGTGCCACACTTGAGGGCAGGATCGTCAGTCTGAGCAGGTGCAGTGACGGGGAGGTTTCGGTCTGGAAGTGCGAGCGAAGCCGAAGGAACCGAGGAGAGATTTGGAGTGTAATCGACCATCAACTTTCCGAGACTGCCTTCAAAGCTGAGCTCGCTGTATTGACTCTTGAGATTGTAGATGGGAGGTTGAGTGGCATTGACTGCTCTCTGGTTCTCGCCATTGAAGTAGGCGGGCAAGGTGTTGCCTCCGTCGTAGTCGGTATAGTACGCAAACGATTGCGAGGCCCAAATGTCTCCAGCGCCGTTGTAACGACAATCTTGGAACGAAAAGCTTGCGTCTTGCTGGTCAAGACCGCTGGCCGTCAGGCATTGACTGGAGTCGGTAGCGTCGACAAGGTACGCTGCGCCCTGAACCTCGTATTTACCATAGTATTTTTGGGAGCAGGTGGCGACTGCAAAATTAATGGGATTGGGTCCACCAATCACAAAGTCGCCGTCGTCGCCTTTGCTGAGAGCGATACCATTGAAGGTGATTTGACCCCAATCCTTGGGTTCTGGTTGGCAAGCAGGGGAAATGGGAGCTGCTGTGGTCAAGGCAGCCGAACCCAACAGGGCCGAGAGAAGCAGCGCTCGAGCAAAAGCCATCTTGCGTAGTAGGTTGTTGCTTGTGTGAGTAGTCGACTAGATTGAGCTTTGGGTGTAGGCGAACAGTAGTTGTTTGAGTTGCAGGAGAGGTATCCTTGCAGGCCAGGCGGGTCACTTTATATCTCCATGTGTCCCGTGTGGGTACACCGTTCGCTGCCTGCCAAAGGCATAGCAATCCTCGATGTGGTCGACTTGCACTCTAGGTTATCGCCCACCGCTACTCAGCCACAGTGGCGGCACCGCGAAAGGAGTGAAGCACATGAGTGAACAGTGCCCATCATCATTGCTTCAACTACACCTCTGAAGGCACGACGGGCTTCAGACGACATTGCAAAGGCAGACCAAGTCTTGCCGAAGGTCAATGTTCGGCATTGCGAGTACAGCCTCGTCGTACGGGCAAGATCTTCCGTCATCTCGTCATCAATGCTCAAGCCATCCATAGCTATCCGGCAATCCGGTGCAACGCAGGGGTGACAGATCACGACGGGCTTCCGACGTCAAAGAAGAGGTGCAACAATTTAAGGTTCGTTTCTAGAAAACGTTTTTGTTCGGAGTTGCGGTGTCTGACGCGGCGTAAACGCCGTCGGTCTTTCTTTTCAGCTTAAAATAGCAACAAGCCTCACGACAATCGGTTCCGGTGCTGACTTGCAGCCGTTCCTCTCCGTTGGAAATCAGCAGGATTCGTACCTGTATCACGGCTCAGATGACCGGCTTCAAATGTGCATGTTTCACTCGCAGCTGTTAACATGCATAGCCGACTCCACTCGCCCTTGTCAACTACCAACCAGCCCGGGGTAAAGTCCGAGCCAGAACTGCGCCTCTCCAGATCCAGCCGTTGCGTAGAATGGGTCCATGGCCGAGTTGCGCTGAGCAGGCCAACGTCACGCAATGGTTCAAGTTGGGAAGCAAGCTATCGGCAGGGTGTCCTATTGAAGTTGAATTTCTCCAGGTCCAAGATCCGCCGGTAGAAAGAGATAAGCGAAGGGTCCAAAAAGTTCATCCTGTCCAACAAGGCCATCGCTCCCAGCGCCGATGCCGACGAGCCCGCCATGGCGAGTCCAGCGGCCATTCAAGATGCATCTTGTCAACCGTCGGTGCGTCCCCTCTTTCAATGATGCCCGCCAGTTGAGCGAGCATTCTCGAATCGCCGCGGCGGAAGATCTGCCTTGCACAGACGGGCTCCGCAGTCGTGCTTCTGCCACCAGAAAGTCACGGGTTACAAAGCCACCGTCGATCACAAGCAGACTCCTGTTCAATCAGAAGCTCGAGCTGAGCCGCCAGGCGCCGAGGAAACGACACTGCCTTTTCACGCATGTGATCAAGGCTCGGCGGGAGAGCAAGGTCTCTCGCGAGACACTATACGGAGCCCTCGCCAGAGCCTTTGTTTCAAGACGGTAAAGCCTTCGGAGGCTATGCGCACTGAGCCTGAGAAAAAGCGTGAGACCATTAAAAAGAAGTTTTACGATATAGCAACATTTGCCAGCCAAAACGAGAACGTCTAGAAAGAGAATCGGAGCAATGCTGGGTTGAGAGCAATCGGATAGACAATGTGCAAAGTCGCCAGCAACAGAACCGGCCAGTAAGTATAGAAGCCCAGGATCTGCCATTGGATCGGCACGACGTCTGGTAGTTGGAAGATGATGACAGCTGCGATGGTGCCGACAGCGACGATGAACACCTTCCAGAACCTTTTGAGTATGGCCGGTACCTCTAGGAAGAAATTACTGTCTTCTAAATCCTTGATCGTGGCACCCCAAGTCATGTTGACGCCAACAGGATGCGCTGCCAACGCGGTCAGCACATGCAACGAGAGACCGCCAAAGAAGATCACCATGAACGGCATCCAGGTAAGGTGCTCCTTCACCAGGTTGAACAATCCGTCGGTCTTGGCACGGTATCGAGCTAGGATCTGTGCCACGTTACCTCCAGCAGCGAACACGACCATTACGGAGACCCAAATGTTGAAAGAAGGCATAAAGACTGGCAACATGACCGGATAGGACCAACCTTGAGCCAGGTACAGACCAAATCCGAGAGGGTAGGCGAGAGCGATGGCGTAGTAGGAGAAGATGTACGAACAAGCCGAAAACTTGTAGTGAATCGGCACGTTGCTCTGTAAGAAGGTTCGGAACAGCTTGCTGAAAGGTCCACGGTACGGCCACTGCCAGAGGTGATTGAAGACCAGCTCGGAGCAACCAAACGCGTATTTCTGCCATCGATTGAGCTCGTCATCGCAGGTGAGCGACACACCCTCTTCGAAACCATTGTTGGAGTACGTGGCCCACCTCGTAATGTAGCCGCACATGAGAAGACGAAGTGCCATGTCGAAATCCTCGGATACGTGGCTCTCGGACCAGACTTTGCGGATGCCATCTTCGGGGTCGACGAAGGACGCTTCCTGCATTGCAGACCAACGCAAAAAGGCGTTGTGGCCCATGAATGGCGCGATATCTCCAGCTGCCACTGTGTATGAGATGGCAAAGTTGACCAGACGAGTGAAGAAGGCGATACCAAGCTCAAAGTAGCTGTCAGAGACGATCATGACACCAGAGCAGTGCTGCAGGACACCGACATCGGGGCATTGGATCATCTCCGAGGCAGCGTCGAGGAGGCAATCCTCTGGAACACGAGTATCGGAGTCGATGAGAAGGATCAAGTCGCCGATACGAACGTTGCCTCTGGCCTGCGCAAGAGGGTGAAGCACGGGAAGACACTGATCCAAGCAGCGCTTGTAGAGAGCGTTTTCATCGGCTTCCGTCCAGGCGGCGAGTTCCTCGGATGCTTGAGCTCGATATTCAGACATGGCCTGCTCAACGGTGAGCGAGAGTCGGCAAGTGAAGTTGAGGTTCGAGGCCTTCTTGAAGCGGCCTTTACGCAGGTAGCCATCCTTGCCGTGAGCGGGTCGGGCCACCCACCCGATGTTGTTCTTCTCGTAAAACTCGTGTCGAACGGCTTGCTCCTCCTTAGAGACGAGCTGCATACCGTCTTCGGAGACGATGATCGAGGCGGTGCCTCCCTGAAGCTCGTACGTGCTGATGGCCTTCTTCACCGACTCGATGGTAGGAATGAGCACACCTTCCATGGATTCCTTGTACACGGGCATCTGGATGGTGATGTGAGGCAAACACCCCATGATCCTCGTTGGAGCCTTGCCGGAGTAGTACTGGGAGTTCTGATGGAGCTGACGAACGGGTCCAACGAGCTGGAAGATGACGCCAATGACATTATCGCAGAAGAACAGGATTACCGGGAACATGGGCAAGGCCAAGGCGGCGAGTCCCATACGTGCCCAGTTGCCGTCGAGGAGACATGTCTGGAAGAGCTTCGAGACGAAGAGGAAGCACAAGAAGATGTCGAGCGCGACGGCCAGGCCATGTTGGAGAGGTGCCTGGTAGTTAAGAGGTCTCTCTTCCATTGGCTGCTCCTGTTTCTCGGAATCAGTAACAACGCTGTCGTCCGTACCTGCCGATGATGGAGAGCTCGAGCCCGAGGGAGACATGTTGACTGCGTGAGAATCAGAGTAAGGATTCGAGGGAGCAATGGAAGCTGCGTGAGAACTTGCGCCATCGAATGGCGTGCCGTCTCCGCTGCTTAACAGTGCACGGAAGTAAGCTTGGCTTTTGTTGAACTGGTTCATGGATGTGTCATCCAGACTCCTGGTGGTGGTGGAAGCTACGAGGTTGCTTGTGTTGTTCTTGTAAGAGCTGTTCCATACGAACTTGATCATCTTTTCTTCGAGATCCTGAGCCCGTTCCTCGAGCTGTTCAACGTGGTCGCACCAGATCACGACGGTGTTCTCTCCACGAATGAAGCAGGCATTTTGCGCCTTACGAGCGCCAGCAAGCTGCTCCATGGTCTCGACAACTTGAATATGTTGCGATGCTGTGATCGGGACTTGCTCGGTTCCGGCAGCCAGACGAGTATTGATTGCTGAAACAACAGGCGACGTGATAGTCATTGCCGCCTCGCAGTTAAGGACCACGACTGCGTCGAAGAAGGTGGAAAGCCTCTGATCATCGGATGGGCAGATCACGTACTGTCCTTTGGAGAAACGAAGCGCAACGGCGCTGGGCACCTCGGAATTCTCTGAGAAGAAGTTTCGACGATTGCACGACTTCCATATATGTGAGGCCATGACCTGATAGCCGTCACGGGCGTCGATCCAGTTCTCGTTAGCTGCAACTTTCTCGGAAGAATCCGAGTCGTGCGACTGCGAACGCTCTGTGAGGATATGAGGTTGGTGCTCCATCATCTGAGGGGGCTGGTTCGGCGTTGTAGCCGGACCAACAGGCGTGAGGTGCTCCTCTATCTTGCGGAGAAACCCCAACATTCTTGAAGCTTGACTGGCTGGAGGAAAGGGAGGAAGGGACGGGAAGCTGGTAAGGAAGAACGGACAGTGATGAGGAAGGAGGAGGCGTCACTCTGTCTGATCGCGATAGCTTTTAAGGCAGAGTTCCAAGGTAAGCCAAAGTGGACCCACCCTTGAGAAGAAGAAGGAGAAGACCGACTTGGTCTCGACTTTAAGTTTTGCGAAGTTGCTGACAGCTTTGATCAGGCAAAACAAGACAACCGCAAAGGCCAAAGTGATTTGCATCAAGCAAAAGGACGCTTATCGGTTTGAGATCTATGTCGGTGAATGGCATTGTCTCAGACAGGAAGATGTGCGGATCCAAAGGGATCCAAAGAGATCTGAAGGGATAGAGTGAGATTGGGGCCAAGAGAAAGTCGTTCACGGCGGCGACGGCGACGACGATGCCGGTTGCCTGCCTGCCACACCGTACGCGCCTTTGATCAGCGACCAGACCACCTGGGCGGCAGTGCAACAATTTCAAGGCGGTTTGAAACCTTTAGACATCGTGGGCTACTTCTTTCTCTCACTCACTTTCTCTCGAAGCTGGGGTGTGACAGCGAGATCCGTGCAGCTTGGCTCAGGTTCGGCATCGGCTTTACAGTGCATTGTACTGTCGATGCTAAGATCAAGAAATCCTGGATTTTCTCACAGGGCTCAATTTTTGTTGAAGAATTTACTGTATTGTGAGAATGCTCCTCCTTTTTTTCTGTCTCCCTTTATCTCCATTTTCGCAAATGCCGAAAATCCGGGTGATTTGCTAGACCTCGTTTGATTGACCATTCCGAATGCTCTGTACAAGTTGACACCTTGAGAGTGACTGGACGCCTGAGAGCGCCTTTACTTAAGCATACACAGTCTGTGTGGTCATTTCCAGGGCCTCGATCGTTCCGCTGAGCGAGGAGATTCGAGCTACTAGCTTGCCTACAGGAACTGGCATTGACTCCTACAACCACGGAGTAACTGCTCGTGGCAGATGATTGCACGAGCCTCGGTCCATACCAGTCCAAAGAATTTTGCCGAAAAGCGCATCTTCAGCATCAGAACATGCTTACAAAAGAGCTGCAGCTCCGCTGTGCCGTGTCATAGTGTTTTAACCGTGAGAAAGATTGAACAAGCCTTAATGCCTTTGCCGAACAGCGTCCCTGGCCTCGCTACGGAGTCTGGATCCATATTTGTCTACCACAAGCGAAAGAGGATCTGAGCAGCATCGATAAGGACGGAAGGACGGGGAGCTATGTCTCAGGCGGCAGGGTATTGAACACAGAGTGACAATGGAGCTGTACGAGCGCGGGAGTGGGCTTAAATCCTGTGTCCCCGCAAAGGCACCGAATTCGGCTATAGCAGTGTTGGTCTCATGTCTCATACACAATGTATGCATAGTATGTACATTCCGGCACAAACTGTACCCGCTCTCGATTTTGGTTCAACTCTGTCTCTTCTTGATGTGGCTGTCTTGCTCTTACCGAGGACACCGAAGCGTGATTGTCCAGCAAGTATCGCATGTTCCTGCAGAAACGCAGGTTTCGCTGATATAAGGTTCATCCAAATTCCGCTTGGTCATACAGTATCACTGTATCGCTCCTGTAAATTCAGTGCCTCGAGCATGGAGTTCGACAAGAACCTGATCGTCGCAAAGATCTACAGTAAAAGATTTACAAAGACTCCGGTTTTGCGTTCACTTGCGGGTCCGGCGATTCCTCAAACCACGCACTCCGGGCGATTACTTCTGGAACACCGAGCGATCTCGTCACGATCATGGGATCAAGAAAGAGTCTCTGTCTATGTACGAGCATCGACGATGAGCGAGCTACATTCGGGAGGTGCAGTGCGAGGGATGCCTGCGCGTCCGGATGCTGGCGCGGAGGGACGTGTCGTGGTGTCTCGCCTGGTGACCGGCCAAAAACCCAGAAAAGGGCGGTTTTGCGGTAATCTGCAAGGCTTGGTGCGCGCGTGGGCCTCTATGAAAGAACACGCTAAAATTGGACCAAACAAAACGGGACCATGAATATTGTGTGAGCTGAAGCGAGTGCTCGTCGCCGTGCCGAGACACACCGCGGACTTAACCGCAGAAGCGCACAAGCGAGCTCTTCTGCAGATCGTCGCTCGCTGCAGAGATGCATTCGACAGGCCAATTCTGCGCCTTCCTACTTGGTGTTGACCTCCCTCTGCCTCTGCCTATGCCTCCTACGTTGCCGCAGCTGTGAGGCTAGGGTCCACGCTTTGCCGAACCGTAACCCGCTGGACCGCACGTACGCATGCTGCACTCGTCAAGCGTGAAGACCAATGGTCTATGGATTTCGGTGTCGTCTGCGAAGCTGTTCATTTGCAGCTTGCGTAGACCAGATGGCAATCTGAGGAACGACGCACTGCAGCTGTCTTTCCTGCAGGTCTGTCTTCCTGTCGTTTATTTCTGCCATGACCCTGAGCAAGTGGTCCGCTTTCGGTTGTGCGGATTCGTCAGGATGATAAAACTGCACGAATGGCTCTCGCCCCGAGAGCAAGTGGCGTTTGAGCCAGATGGGTAGGCTCAACCTTTCCGTTGGGAGCTCTACCTTGGCTCCTATCTCGCTTATGGGACAAGCGATGCTTCAGGAATACCGATGTCGGTGCAGTCAGTTACGAATCAGCTTGTCGATGTACAGTCATGGAGAATTTCGCTTGCCACCGATCGAGTCGAGGCGGCTTCGACGCGCTTTGCCGAGTGGCTCGGCACCCCACGTGGAGTTCTCTGGCTGCCGGGAGTAGCTTCCGTGCCGATTGCTTGTGCCTTAAGCGCCTCCGCATCCGGCATCTCTACTCTCTGCGGTAACAACAGGCCGTGCTGCACGCTCAAGTCTCTTATGTTCACTGGGCTGATCCACCTTTCTTATCCGTCTATAACTTCAAGGGTCTGCGATACCGTGAATGAAAAGCAACTTCTGGATGTGACTTACGGCGGCACCACCAATGGATGCGCGATGACGTCGATATTGCCGCTGTGCTAGCTGATGGCGATGGCGACTCGCCCGACTCCTTTGTTGAACCCTTGAGCGATCGATAGCCTTTCTTGGCGCTCGTGGAAGAATTGCGGAGGATTTTCAATGCATATCGTTGGGCCCGCGGGCGCGGTGATTTGCGCCAACTTCGATGGAAGCGAGCCACTAAATTGCTGCCTTCTTTCATGCAGCAACTCTATTCCAAGATGAATCGGAATTAAAAAGCCGACGCTGTTGGCAAGGTGTTCGATGGCCCAGGATGAACAGACTGCATGAGAAAATCGAACCGAGGACCTGTCGATGGACGATTCACGATGCAATACTGGTATTTCGCTCGTCCTTGATCGAACCGCGCATCAAAGGTGCTCAGAGCACTCGCTCGAACCATTCGCCCTCGACAGCTGCGTTGAGTAATACTGCTGTATGCAGCGAGACAAGTATGCCATGTGTGATCGTCGGCATGGTCGCTGAGTTTCAAAGCTGTACAGGCGATTCGAACCCGATTAGTAACAAAATAAAGTTGACATGTCGGAGTTGGTCGGCAGACGTGTAATACGTTTAAACTTGTTCTTGACACGCTAAATGGAATTTACTGTAATGCGCTGCAGTCCTGGCCTTCATTCTTACGTACGCCAGAACACAACAACCGGCCAACTTTTCTCAGACCCATCCAAAGGCTTCATTAGACGCAAGAACAAGCTGATCTCGCAGAATGCTGCTGCGGTCCGACGCGGTCTTAGTCGTGGGACCGCTTCTAGGGTGGTCACCCGGCTTTTGCGGTCCGCGAACTGGACTTCCGACGCCCTTCCACACATGGAAACTGAAATTCCGCTCCGCCAACTTCACTCTTGCGGTACAGTCGGACTGTCGAATCGCTCACCGAATTCCGAGGTACCTATGTATTCCCAATCCGTGGGCATTGTGTCTTGAAGCAGCGCTTCGGAAAGCCTGTTTCGGAAGACAAGGAGGCGTTGCGCTGCACAGTTCGGCTTGTTGCACTCAGTGTATGGAATCCTGGAAGAGAACCGGTTCGTGCTGCTTTTGCTTCTGGCGTGACTACTATTTTGGAAGACGCTCGAAACGATTGTCGAGTCTTGGCAGAGTCTTACTATCACTGTACCGGTACGAATGCGAATTTTGTCGACGTTTGATTCGTCTCTCATCATCTTCGTCTTCTTTTCTTGGGTCAACGTTTTCTTTCCTTGGTCGCCATTCTTCTGTCACAAGGACTGAACCTCATCGTTCCCTTCCTGTCAAAAACGACAGAAAAAGAAAAATGTCACCAAATCCGTGTCAGGCGGCGTGATACAAAAAGACACCAAAAAGGGAAAATGAATGATTAAAAAGAGGTGTCAACTAGTCTTGTGTGCTACGCCGGCTCGTTCCTCGTCCTCGAGTCTCTTCGGCTCGTATTTCACCGACAACGCCAGTCGCCAACCGTTGCGCCAACGATACACACCTTTGCTGGTCGCGCGCAAAGGCCGGCCAAGACAGATCCGCGATACCTGTGTCTTAGCAGCTGGCCCGCCTTGAAGCCTTGTCGAGGTTTCTCCTCGCCAATCGACAAACAGCTCGGCGAGACAGTCAACTTCGTTCCCACCGCTGAAACGCTGCCAGAGTATGAGCATGTCCCCGTGTCTGGTCTTAGGTGACAACGATAAGGTCGAAGCTTATCGATGTGCACTGGTGTTAAGAACGTGCTTGAGCCCGGCCTATGTCTGTCACACTTCATCGACAGGGTCGAGCGGCTACTCTGAGATCCCTCAAATCTTGAGAAGATCTTGAATGAAAGAAACGTCCCTCCGCCGCTCCTTCTCTTCCATCTCATCATATTCGCCTCAAAGCTTGAAGAGCTCAAAGCCTCCTTTCATTTCTTGCTTCCTGACCATCACTCGTCCCTCTCTCTGCAACAGGCCTACTCTTCCCGCTCGAGGTCCCCATCAAGCTACCACTCCTTCAAGCAAAAGCGCTGTCCGAAGCTAGCCAGGTCGTATAAATCCGAGTCCAAGCAATATCAGAATGAGGCGAACTGTAGAGCAGACGACCCGCATCTCGACGGAGGAAGCCATCGAGCGCCTCGAAGACTTCCCCCGCAGCGGCAGCTTTTCGCCTCGTCACAGCCGTAATCACAGCCTCTCGATGGCTGATAGCAGCTACTTCCCAGCTTTCTCGGCCCTTAACAGCCCTCTCGCAAATATTGGAGCAACCGCCCCTAACGCGATCCATCGAGGCGTATCTTTCTTCCAAGCAAGCAGCCGCGACAAGCTTGGATACGCTACAAGCCTTGACAGCTACGACAACAACGGCGCCAACACGCCTGGCTCGGTGCACAACCATGCAAGAGGATACTCAAGCTCCACCGCAGTTCCCGCGGCTGGCTTGTACAGCGCTCCCGCCAACACATCGCTGACCAACGTCGCACTCAAGTACCGCAAGCCTTTTGCACAGCACGTGCTCAAGGAGGGCGAACCGGCAGAAAAGCCCTGGTTGAAGAGCAAGAAGCGTCACTCTGCCAAACGCAAAGCCTACTGGACCTTTCTACTTGCCATGTCGATCGGTTTGGTCGGTGCTGCTCTGCTCATGTACTTTGCCTACGCATCGGTACCCAAGGGCAAGTACTGCCTAGTTCTCGACGAGCAGTTCGAAGGCACGACGATCAACAAGGACATCTGGTTCCACGAGATGGAAACCAGTGGCTTTGGCAACAAGCAGTTTGACTGGACTACCGATTCGACCAACAACTCGTTTGTCGAAGACGGAAAGCTCTACATTGTCCCCACGCTCACCTCGGATGCCTTGGGAGAGGCAGCCATTACCAACGGCTACACGCTCAACCTCACCGAGTCTGGCCAGTGCACCGCCTTGAACACGTCCGACGCCAGCTGCGCCGTCAGATCCAACTCGAGCACCGGTGTCATCCTTCCGCCTATTCAATCGGCGCGTCTGATGACCAACTTCTCGCGCACCATCAAGTTCGGCAGAGTTGAGGTCAAGGCACGTATGCCCACGGGCGACTGGATGTGGCCTGCTATCTGGATGATGCCCAAGGATTCCGTCTACGGGCCCTGGCCGCGTTCGGGAGAGATTGACATCTTCGAAGGCCGCGGCAACCTCCCCACTCACCGCGAGAGCCAAGGCACCAACGGAATGGCTTCCACGCTGCACTATGGTCCCGATCCTTTGTTCGACGGCTACGGGTTTGCCACCAAACTTCGCAACCTCTGGAGGAACTGGTTCAACCAAGACTCGCACACGTTTGGCTTGGAATGGACCGAGGACAAGCTTTGGACATGGGAACATTCGCCAATATTCAAGAACCTCGTGGTCAACTACGGCAGCGGATTCTGGAAGAGAGGACAGTTTCCCACCCAGATGGGCAACGGTACGCTCCTCGACAACCCCTGGGCTGGCGCTCAGGGTCCCCACGCCAACGCTGCTCCCTTCGACCAAGAGTTCTACCTGATCCTCAACGTGGCCGTCGGAGGCACCAACGGCTACTTCAAAGACGGTCTGGGCGACAATAAGCCGTGGTCGAACGACGCCGAGTACGCCGCCGGCCAATTCTGGGCAGCAAAGGACAAGTGGCTGCCCACCTGGCCTCAAGACCCCAAGAAGCGCGGTATGGAGATCGAATACGTCAAGATGTGGCAGAAGTGTTGATTACCCTAGCTTCTCGTCGGCACTGATCTTTCACCTATCCCGCTGTTTCCTTATCTTGCATCCTCTCGGTTCCTGGACATAGCCACTGTCACGGTCTTTTCAATTTACAATTCTTTTTCCCGTCGATCTAGATCCCGCCGAGGTTTGAAGGATGCTTTTGAGTGTGTGAACATGTTCACTGAACAAAGCCCTGCCGATTGCGAATCCCCGACGAATTTAAAAGAGCGTGAGCTGGGTCGCTGTGATGGACCGTGCGAAGGGCGGTCAGAGGAAGCATGGAACATCCATTGTCGTAAGGATTCGAGACGGTCGCTTTGAGTGACAGAATCGTCGGGTTGCTCGATACCTGTGCCGACGTTCATCTGGCCGGGGCCGCCTGTGGAATCTACCGAGACTGCGTCGGGGTGACCGCTGATCCCTGAGCTAGCTGCACCTCCTGTCGCGCCATGGCCTTGCTCGGCATGTCTGTGGTCGGACGGACGGACAAGCCAGCCAGCAAGGGGAGGCATTCCGTCCGCCGATGGCCCACTTGTCCTTCTCCTGCCAGGACGGACGGGTGCAAGCGAGCCAAGAGGCTAACCCTGGCGCTCCTGGACAGGCGGCAGACAGGTGATCGGATCGGCAAACTGGGATTGGGAAGGCGCGTGAAATTTCAACCCGTCGGGTCTGCAGAGCGCGATTCCGTCGAGCCCGCTTTTTTGTTTTTGTTTTTTTTTGTTTTTTTTCCGATCGGGCGCAACCTTCCCCCGCCAAAATTCGTCCGCCGCCTAGCGTGCGCATCCCGCGCGCTACCACTAGGCTTTGTATACTCTTTGACATGCACTGATTGCATGTCTGGCTCAACACTGTTGCACTATGTGACGCCCAAGCTGCCACCGCGTCGGACATTTTCGCGTTCGCTGCTGGAGACGTCAGTGTGTCCTTGGTCGGTTGCCACCTTGCATGCGTGTTGCGGTTCCGGTCTTTGCTTCCACGCGCTAGCTTGTCTCAGAGTAGCATTCGGAAATATGTGCGTGCCTGCTGGGTTGGCAAACGACTGACTGGGCATGTGCGAAAAACCCGATTCCAGAAAGCGCGTTCCTTCATCGTGTACGAGGTCGCCATCTGGCTTCGTGAGCCCTCTTCCTCGCAAAGCGCTATTTGCACCGATGATGCCATCTGCTTTGGCAAGTGTCAGCTGCCGGATATTCTTGGAAGTGTAAATCGCATGTCGTTGCGTGTCCGAGAAGAAGATGTCGAGCGGGCGAAGGCTATATAAGAGAGCTCTGGACCGCACAGTGGGGCAAATTGACGTACACCACACTCTTCCGTAAGGCAACAAGACAAGACATCCACGGAAACAGATTGGTAAACGAGTCGAAAATGGCAGACTGGGAGCAAGTTTCACTCCGCCTCCGAACGAGGCGCCCTCAAGCTGACATCCTCATTATCAGTCTGGTCAATGGGCCGTACAATTTTCTCGATAGGCAGTGCTTCGACGAGCTCAACGCGATCATTGCTCCGCTCGACATCAAGACTACACGTGCGGTGATCTTGACCGGGGGTGTCAAAGACATCTTTGTACTTCACTACAATGTAGATGAGATCATCGATTTTGGACTTTCGGTGCCGTCGTGGCTACCAACCCCGCCTTTCATGCTCAGAGCTGCTCTGCGTCTGGAGAGCATGATCGCTTCGCTGGGTCTAAGGTTTCTCGTTCGAAAAACACTCTTTGCCGGTGTGGCCGATCTAAATCTCTACAAAGAGGTCTGCAACCTGTTCCGAAGCAAGCCGCAAGTGTTTATTGCCGCAATAAACGGGGCATGTTTTGCTGGTGGGTGCGAATTTGCGCTTGCTTGCGACTATAGGGTCCTCATCGATACACAAACACCCGTTATGGGTCAGATAGAATCCTTAATTGGTCTCATCCCGGGAGGTGGCGGTACCCAGTTCTTCTCGCGCACCCTAGGCACCGCCAAAGCGCTCGAGTTATGTCTTGAAGGCAAGACCCTCAACTCTTCCGAGGCACTTGAACTCGGTTTGGTCAACCGAGTCACTCCAGCCGAAGACTTGCTCCCCACTGCCATCGAAGTCGCTCAGCGTCTAGCCAGACGCAGTCCGTATGTGATTCAAGCTATCAAGGACTCGATTCATATTGGAAGCTCCCTCACTCTTTCCGACGGATTGCTGCGCGAGCAAGGCTGGTTCGGAGGTGCTGCTTTAATGGCAGAGACGCACGAAGCTATGAAGAAGTACGCACGCCTGATCGAAGAGGAGAGACCACACACTCTGGATGACTTTCAAGACTACCTGCAGCCCTTCGCGAACGGTACGTTCTTTGACTTTACCCCAGGCTCAGCCAAGTCTGCGACCAGCACAAAGACGGTCAAGACTGATTAGAAGGCAGTGATTCCTTCCTTATCTATGTATTCACAATATGTACACAATTGGACAGAGGACAAGAAAACAACCCGTAAATCATGTGTCTATCTGGCCCTGAACGGTACCATGACGAGGCGGTCTGACGTTTCTCCACCTGGGTTTCGCTTGCGCTTCGCACCAGAGCAACTCACTCGACTCCTTTTCCTTCCCTATTTCGAAACGCGTCGGGAAATGGTGGTCCTCATCATCAACAACATCGAGCGATCTACTCAACCGATCTATTATTATATATTTTCTACATTATCACCTATCACAACTTGCGCTACTTCTTGCAACACGACGGAGCCTCAGCCTCGCTCGGTTGGACCAAGATGGACTTGTTGACTGCTTGGGTACTTGTGGCTATATCGAGAATAGGGCAGGTCTCCCAGAAATCGTTGGGCTTGAGCGACATCATGAGTGATTCGACGGGCATGACAGGGAAGTCTTCGACACGTGGGTTATGTGTCAGACCAAAGACGGCCCACAACACGATGTCCTCGTTGACCGTACCTTCCTTGGCCTGAGAGTAAGTGGCCAGCCCGCCCTGCTTGCCGTTGGACTGGTTGGTAAACTTTCCGCCAGCCCACAGCTCGTCGTCGCGATACTTGGTGACCCAGACGTGTTGGCGAGCAAATTCGGCTCGAGCAAAGGCGACCGAATCGGGGTGAGCTAGCAGCAGCTGAGTAGCCGGCAAGTGCAGCTTGTAGCCAATAGGTTTCTGCGAAATGGCGTTGATCTTGTTAGGGTTCGTGATCTTGAAGGTGCGATTCTTCAAGGGGTCTAGGTTGACACCGCCTTCGTGTTCAAGTACCGTCTTCTGCACAGTGTACCCGGTGCCGTACGGGTTCAAGAGCTTGTCTGCTTCAGTGTCGAAGGGCATGGTAACACTGTCTTCGTAATGCACCGTGTTGCCATCGCCATCGATTCGTGGATCAACTCGCACACAGAAGATGTGCTGGTGATTGGTTCCCAGAACCCCGCGAGATACCACATTGCCGTACGGGGAGGTCTTGCCAGCGTCGATGGGTGACACTGAAAGCACGCCAGTAGCACGCACCTCGAACGAGATGGCACCAGTCTGATCAAGGTGCCAGAGGAAGATATACTCGTAGTTGGCGACGGTGATGATGGTCTGAAGCACCAGGGTACGGCGACGCACCACGTACGGGTTGTTGGTGCGGTAGTTGGTGTGCTTCATGCCGAGTCCATCATCGACCTCGTGCATGCAGACGACGTTCTGTTGCTGAAGCAGCACTCCGCTAGGCAAGGCGAGATGGCCGTCGAAGTAGTGAATAGCACCGAGGCAGTCGCAACCGAGGCTGAGGCTGTTGGCAGTAAAGCCACAGGATGCATCTCCGACATCGAAGGCCTGCTTTCGGTGCAGAGGCGGACGAGGATCTCCATAGGGTACGGTCATCTCGGACATGGAAAGCCTGTGGAAGACGGACCTACCCTTGAAGCGAAGATCGTGCAGCGTCAAACCTTCTCGGGCGGTCCAAGAGAGCCGGAACTGCCAGCCTTGCCATTCGACACTCTTACCCTTGACTGTGAAGGAAGGACCTTCGGGCTGCTGTACTATCAAGGGTTTGAGTCCGGCTCGAGGTTGGAAGTTTTGCTGGAGATGCGGCATGTACTCGCGCTCTTCCATGTTGCTCCTCGCCCAGCCTTCTTTCCATGTATGCACCATGCCATCGGCCGAATCTCCAGTGTAGCACCAGTCTACTCTTACAATCGTTCCCGAATTGACATCGACCACGGGTACAAAGGGCAGAGGCCAAGAGTAGTGGAATGTATCACCATCGTATCCAGTGCGCGGCGACTTGAGGTACATGAGGAATTGCATCAAGTAGGGCTGGTCTTCGAAGGAATCGGCGCCGTAAATCCAAGGATCAGACGCGATGGGAGTGTCCGGCTCCAGACCGAGCTCTTTTAGCGCTTGCTTGACTACCGGATCCTGGACAAGCGCCGCCTCGAAAGCCTCGAGCTGTGTGATGTCGAGATTGGTCCTGTGGTTACCCTGGACGACCGAGTGTGATTCGACCTTCTGAGATGCAACGTCGACAATTGCTTCGTGAATTCTAGCAGAAGCTGGCTCGATGTACAGCACCTCGATCTTGCGCGGGATCGCGGCTGGCTTATGACCAGCGTGGTAAGCATCTAGCCATTGTAGGAGGACGGCTTTGCGAGGTTCTTGGCGCTGGACTGCCTTGAACCAAGGCTCAAACCCGTCGTTGCGGTGATAATCACGGATAAGTTCTACAGCCAGGTTGTTCTCCCCGGGAGTGATGTCATCCAGTGGGTGAAGCTCGGCTGTGGGAGAAGTCAGCTTGGACGTCTTGAGAGGAGCGCTACTTGCGGCATTGATGGCGGAGCTGGTCACGTCGACTGCAGTTGGTGCCATTGTGACTGATGTAGTTGAATGCAAAGCTTGCTCGTAGACACTGAGTACGCATTGTTGGGTGCAAGACGGATTATTCAAGCAGGAAACGGTGCTTTATAACGAAGACGTTGTGACCACGGCAGTGCGACCCACAGAAGGGGACGCAGCCGCGGGTTCATGTCATTCAGTAGTGTCACGGCAGCTGTTCAAACGCTGCGAGACTGCTGCGTTGCGCTCAAACCGGTCTGATCCTTCATGAGCCTATCGCTTGCAATTCAATCTGCATCGGCAAGTACACAATCGAGGGTGTGAAAGGACTGTAGCACGGTGATGCTTCTATCCTCGCTGCTGTCCAGTTACGGTGCGAAAGGGACAATAAGCAAAAACGGCGCGAGCAGACTCTTATCCGTATCTGCCTAATCTAAGCGTCGCTTAAGCACTGCAAAGATTTAAGCGACGCCTTCCGATTGGCTCGCTTACTCGTTGGTGCAATTATACCGAGATTGCTTCTGCCGCCCGGAGGGACACGCTGCCGCTTCCCCCACCCTTGACATCCAGTTCCGGTCAAAGAATGCTCTCGGCAACGCGACTACGTGCTATGACCGGCGAGCACGAAACGCTCAATTTCTGTACGACACCAACCAATCGCATCACGCCGCTTGTATTGTACGAAGCATCAGCTCTTTGGAGTGGGGGAACGACACAGCACTACACTGCAGTGAGCACAACTCTCATATTCCCGCTCTCGTTGCATCGGATACTTACTCACCGCGGGCGGTGATGAACCTGTTGGAGAGAGGGCAAACTCTGCTTGAGAAAGGTATACAAAGCCGGTTTCAAACAGGGTTTTGTAATGTCATTGCAACAAGTACTACCGAAGCCTACGGCGGGGTCGCTGAGGTTTGGAAACCCCGCATCAGGCTGGATGTTCCTTATCGCCCCACGATTGGCAAGCGAGAGCATACATTAGATTAACATCCTCACACCCGAGTCACGGACGAGGCGATTTCATCGATCGCATCAACCGAATTTGTGGTCACAAGACCATGGTGCTGCAGCTGACAACCTCGTGGTTCGGTTGATAAGCCTGCATTAGACCCGTCCCAAGGTGATAAGCTTTTCATTGTTGCAGTCGCTGTTGAGCCGAGATTTATCCCGCCACACTCGTCTCTTGAGACGGTCCCACGTCTAAGCGGGATCATTCTTATCATCAACGCCCTTGCCAAACTGGATGTTATAAGAAGACGGACGATTGCCAACGTGAGCGTTGCCCAAGGTTGTTGCAGCAGACCAAGTACTCTCCCAGGCACTCCTGTTCCGTCCTCGTCTCAACACTCAAGATGGACATCAAGATCAAGGAGAGGTCTGCAAAAGACCTTGGACCCACCCAACATGTCACTGTTACGGAGCTTGATCGTCAAGCGCCGGTCACGTTCGTCCGAGAAAATGGCGAGGAGCAAGCTCAAGTCTATGGGGCCGGCGAAGCGGTGTTGGGCAAAAAGCTCAGCACGCTCGGCGCCATTGCTCTAGCTTACACATCACTCTCGACTTGGATCGCGTATTCTGCCAGCGCCGCCACGGCGTTGGCCAGCGGAGGTGCAAATGTTCTCGTGTGGGGTATGATTGTGGTGGGCTTTGGCAACATGGCTGCCGCTGTCACTGTGGCAGAGCCCGCATCGCAGTTTCCCCACGCTTCAGGTCAAGCTGCATGGGTGTATCGTCTGCACGGGCGACATTTGTCGTACTTTACTTCGTGGATCGTGCTGCTGGGCTACGTGTTTCTCAGCGTTGCTGGCCAGCTGATTACGTCCACGATCCTGCTAGCCATGATCAATCTCACTTTTCCGTCGTACGTCATCGAAAGGTGGCACGTCTCGGTGTGCTGCATTGCAGCTGCTGGCTTTGCCTTTGCGATTTCGAGCTTTGCTTCCAAACTTGTTTCGCGTCTGAACGTCTTTGCGTTCACTTGGTCTGTAGTGGGTTTGTTGGTCGTAGTCTTGACGCTGCTCATCCAGTCACGAGGCGACTACAATACGGTCGAATTTGCGCTGGTCGACATTGCCAATTTGTCGGGATGGGGCAACAACTTTATCCCATGGGTGCTAGGTCTCTCGCAAGCTGCACTCGCCACCACAGCCATGGACGCACCAAGCCACTTTTCGGAAGAGATGGCAAATCCTGCACGGCAGGTACCTTTGGCCATCTTTGGTGGTTTAGGCATGAGCATTGCTGTTACGCTGGGGTACGCGTTCGTGCTCGTCTTTACGCTACCTCAGCTCGAAGACATCATCTCAACACCTACTGGGTTTCCCTTTGCCGAGATTCTCCGCATCAAGACGTCGCGTTCGGGAGCGATTGTGCTTCTGCTTATTCCTCTGATCTCCTTCTTGATCACCATGGCGGACGTGGTGATGGCAACGACCAGATGCGTCTACGGGTTTTCCCGACAGCGCGGATTTCCATGCTCCACCTTTTTCGGCACTATCAACACCAGGTTCGACTCACCGCTTCGGGCTGGAGTGCTAGTGATGATTAGCCAGAGCCTCATCTGCTTGATCTACATTGGCAACACGGCAGCATTCAACGCGCTCATCTCGGCCCCTACACAGTTGCTGGCAGTCTCTTATGCGATCGTTGCGTATGTCTGCCTGGTCTCAAGATGGCAAGCAAGCAGGCAGAGTGGGACAGGACCCACCACTGAAAAGGTAGACACCGACAATATGACTGCAGAAGCTTCGGATTGTGGAAGCTCATGGGATCCTCCGTTCAAGATGCCCGCACTTTTGACGATCTCAGCGAACGTGATCACCATCGTCTTTACGGTGCTTCTGTGCGTTTTTCTATCATTGCCCCCTACGTGGCCGGTGACAAGCGCCAACATGAACTATACTTCTGTATTCCTGGTCGGCAGCTTCGTATTTCCGGCCGTCTGCTGGAATCGCTATAAAGGGGTATACCAAGGACCTTTGGTTCATTGACCATCAAAGCTTCATTTTCACCAAAGAATTCGAGACACCTTTGACCATGATCGCAGCCCGGAATTGTCCTGAATTGACCAAAATTCTATCGTGCACGCCGAGCTCACGCAAAGGCACGCCGCTACGAATGCGCTAAAAGATGAGCGGTTGCCTCCAACGCCTTTGCCGACATATCTCTTGGAGCTCTCCAGCTTGATCGTACCTTGCCTCGGATGAGTTGGCCCCGACGTCGGTCGTGTCTGTGCCGTTCACGTGGTGGTTTTCCTGCTCGTAGAGATCACGTCGGTCCCAAATAGCTTTGAGCAAGTGGCGGCAGAGAAAGACGCACTGGATCTCGTCGAATTTCTCCCACAGGAGCAACGACCGTCGGCATCGCTGTCGTCTCTCGGACCGTGACTGTGCATATGCAGGATAAAAGTCTGAGCCGAGGGTGATCTGTGAGCCTAACGCCAGCGGGAAAGGTTCACCGCTGCCGAACTGATGTTGCACTTTTGAGCCTTTGCCGTAAGGTACGACGTCAAGAGCGGGTTCGAGAACACCAAAGATCTCGGAAGCGCATTGGAAATAGGCCCAAATCAACGCTCCATCTGGCGCTCGGATCCACCACTTGCCTCGCATCTCCATCGCTTGTGTGAGCTGAAGGTCAGCACCTGAAGAGCCGTTGCCTCTGAAAGCAGTACGCGAGCTGCCGACAGCGTCTGACTGGTCAGCGTGGTGCTGTTTGCGTTCGAGGAAGCATGTGACCTTGTCAATCTCGAACCAAACGGCATCCGTCGATTTGAGAAGCATCCTGCAGAGGTAAACCAGCGAAGCGGATTGAAGGCATTCGAAGATGAGGTAGCGCAGCTCGGCAGCGATGCTGTCGTCTTGCACCAGTGGTAAAGGTCTAGCAAGCCGGATCTGCGTCTCGACTGTTTCGATTTGTTGCTGCAATCGCAGTGGAATGCGACTCTCAAAGGCATGCGACAACGTTGCCGATGGCATTGCGAGCGGGATCGAAGAGGGAGCTTGGGGCAGGAAGGACACGATTTCGTGGTGCGTGCTGAGTAGAGTGATGCGTTCGACCGCTTCAAGAAGGTCGAGAGGCCATCCAACGACGCATTGTGTCAAACAGTCTATTGGATCTCGACCTGGATCGTCTGGTTCCTCCCACTGATATACGCTCTGAAAGATGTCGAGTACGTCGCCTTGCTCGCTTGCGGGGCCCATGGTGCGCGACATGGTTTCCCACCACAGCAAGATGCGGACAAAGAAGCGGAAAGCTGATCCAGGGCCTTGGTCAAGCTCGGTAGTCCATGCAGCTGAGCTTGATCTGGTCGATCTGCGTATCACTGCAATGGCAAACGAGGTGTAAGCACGAGAGCAGGTGGCAAATCCACGGCTGAATTGCTCGATATGCGCAATGAGGATGGTTCCGGCAAGCACTTCGAGGACCCGATGAGCGGTGGTGACATGCGTTAGAGCATGTTCAATGGCATCGGGGGAATGCAACGGGCCTATGATGCTGTCCCACTCGGTCTTGCAGCGAGAGAAGTGAGCATGAGCCAAAGCTTTCCTGCGATGGTCTTGTGTCAAACTGAGATGGGTGAGCCCCAGACAGCCAACGAGGTCGAGGATGACTGGCGATTCAGAAGCGAGCTGGGCGAAGAAGATTCGCCACACATTTGTGTCAGCGGAAAGCAAATGAAAGCAGCGTGCTGTCGTGTTGAAGAAGAACGAGACCGACTCAAGCTGCACTTTGGTAACACAAAGCGCACGAATGCGTCTCTGCAGGTCAGCTTCGGAGGTGCGGTCGAGCGTCGGCAATCTTGAGTGAGTCGGGGACGGCAATGAGGATCCGTGGCAGTCATCGCTGGATTGCACAGAGTTTGAAGGTGACACCGTCAAGATGGAAAGCCAGTCCTCATTCCAACCATCCTGGGGAGCCCTGCTGAAGTGCCGTGGAGGATATTCCAGCGGCAGCGCTTGCCAATGTCGTGAGACCTTGCTCTTCCGCCGAGCGTTGACTGCATGCGTGAGAGGGTGGCGTGACCCCTTGAGCACCTGGCGGCTCAGCCCAAGTTCCGAACTGATGAGGAGTCTGCTTGTGATTGGCGGTGGCTCTGTCGCACCTCGTAGGCTTGACTCCGCTGATACCCACAGTGTCGGACGGTGGAAGATCGTTGCCAATGGACGAGCACAACAGGTTGATCCAATCATCGAGATCTTGAGGCGACGTCGCTGGGTACGGGGCGAGGGCATCAAAGGAACTCGTTGAAAGCCTGTCGTTGGAAGATATCAGACGCTGTTGGCTCTCGGCTTCAACGCGCTGATCCGTATATGGCTGCGCGATCCGTGCTGCGGGAACCTTCTGCCAATCTCGTTGCAACGTATGCGAGTCGGAGTGCTTCTGCTGGATGTATCCTTGGCACTTACGCCCGTCTTCGACACAGCGATGACAGTGGGGGCGTGCCTCGTCGCACTTTACCTTGCGGGTGCGACATGTGCTGCATCCTGATCGACTTCGCGTGAACCGGCGCTTGTGTACAGCAAGGGCCGTGACACTGCTCGGATTTGCTCCCAGCTGCTTTCCTGCTCGAGAAGGCTCTCTGCTGGTACTGTGGAGCAGCGACGGCAGTGATGGCGAGATCGAAGCGTGGTCAAGCCTGAGTGACTTCGTGCTTGCAGAAGCAAGACTGCGGAGCCCGTCTTTGCAAGGCAGGTTTTCCGCCGCGGCGATTCGAGGACGCTTGCTCAACCGGCGGGCATCATTGGAAGAGGGCACGCGCGCCGACAAGTGACGAGATGCATCTCGAATAGACGCTGGACTCGCCATAGCGACCTCGTCGGCATCTGCGCTGGGAGAAACAGCCTTGTTGGACGGTATGAAAGTTGTAGGTGGGACAGCGACGATTCTGCCGAGAGGCTGAACCAGAGACACTTTTTGGACCCTTCGCTTATCTCTTTCCACCAACATCTGAGATGTCCCAGTGCAGGTCTGACGGATCTTCGACCTGGAGAAATTCAATTCCAATAGGACACACTGCTGACAGCTTGTTTCACAACTTGCATCATTGCGAATCCTGCAGATCTGTTCAACGCAACTGGGCCATGGACCCATGGAGAAGCGCAATTCCGTCTCGGGACCCACCCCTGCTTATTTGGTAGTTGACAGCGATGAATGGAATCGACGGTGCGATGACAATTGCGAGTTTAACATGCACATGGGTTTTGATTGCAACAGAGCGGCAAGCGCCGCCAGTGTGACGCGTGCTCAGAATTATTTTCATAATGCGGAAGACATCCACTATAAATTTCAGCAACATGTTGTAGTGAGTTGGGATTACCTGGTTTTATGGAGATCAAGCAGGGTAGAGCGGTCCTGGAGACACGCCCTCAGAATTATCTTTGTATTGCCAAAGACGTGCACTATAAAATTTCTGGGATGCGTTGTAGTTCATTGGAATTACCTGGGAATATTGCGCGTCAAAGTCAAGACTAGAAATCAGAAGACGTGCTCTACAGAACGCCAAGGCAACCAAAGTCAAATATGAAGACATTCATAGTCAGCTCAGAGAGACGTGCACTACACAAGACTCCTCTGCTTGACGATGAGAGATTGCTTCCATTCAAGGTAGTCATTGGGGTGGGGAATACGAAGAGAAATTCAAGTTTGAGACGCGTCTGTATTCACCTGAGGGACGGTCTGCTACAAAAAAAGTTGAAATTTGTAGTGAGCAGGAGGACGGTCTGCTTCAAAGGGGAGGACGGTCCATTAGAGCTCCAAGGACGGTCTGCTACAAGCTGGAGGACAGTCAGCCACAAAATTGAAGGACGGTCCAATACAAGCTGGAACGCACGTAGCTGCTAGCAACCATCTGCGCCGTCACTGTCTTTACCGCCGCTCTTCAGCCATGGCACACTTCACCTGCCCTGTCTGTCAGTTCAGCTATGCTGCTAGCAATATCACCAATCACATACGCAAAGCACATCGTACAGAGTGCGTCAGTCAGGCAGCAGCAGCTGCGGTGGGGTTGATGGCATGTACATGTGGACAGGTGGTGATGAGCGAAGCGGCGCTGCGCGTACACCAGGGCGTCAGGAAATGCCAGCGCACCACACAACCAGAAGTTCAGCCTGCGCGCTTTCAGCCAACTCTGGGAGTGTCACCGCTATCCCAGTCAACACAACCAGAGTCAGCTCCTGCGTGGCTGGAACACCATGATCTCAGGCAAGACTCAGGGTTAGGAGATGAAGTGAGGCTTGGCGATGCTGTAACGGACTGGAGTCTGGGCAACACAGAGCAGAGTCACCTGTAGCGCTACTGCCACAGTCACCGTCACCATCACAGATAGAGCTAGAGGCTGAGGCAGCATCAGTGACAGCGCCATTGACAGCCAACGTGGAATTGGGAGGAAATCCAACCAGACACGTCCTCTGCTCAAGCGCCCGAATTCCCAGCCGCTTCACCGTCGACCTCCAGACATGCACCACTGCGCTCAGCGTCCCCTGCCAGCACCATCAGCTTCACTGAGCTGGCAGACAGAGACTTTGCCAGACCTGCCTGCATTACCATCACCGGATCCAACACCAGCAGCAGCACATCAAGATATACCAGACATGCCTGAAGACGGCATAGTGGTGCTGCTACCGGACACAACAGAAGAGGATAGCCAAGCACGCCCAGCCATGCTGATGAATACGCAAGAGGACAGCCAGTCAAGGTTGCAGCGCATCCCTCCCTTGGCGCTAGTTGACAGCTGGGACGTGCATGTCTCTCCAGATGTGGACTCTTTTGCGGTCACCATTTTGCCTGCAGATTTACTACGTGTTTATCCTCCAGGGTGCATTTTGTCTTTGCTTGGACACGTCCCTGAGTTCAAAGACTTGGAAACGTACAAGGACTGGGTGTATTTTGGGAAAATCAAAGTGATCCTGCGGTTTGAGCCGCGCTTCAAGCTCCCCTTCATTGCACAGCCAAGTAAGAACAGGCGTTGTACAATGCACACACGTAGCCCCTGGGCGGAACAGAAAAAGTATGCTTGTCACCCTTATCGCATTTGTGGAACCTCTGTTGTCTTCTCTATCTCTCTCTCTGTGAACCCTTGACCAGTTTTGCATCACGCTGAACTCTGTCTTAACACTTCTTTTGTAACGTCCTTCAGTCTTGGAGCGGGATGTGGAACTGCCGTGTTTGAACAAGTTGAAACAGAGCGAGTTGCTTTCCAAATCATCTTTGGGCTGCATTGATAGCACACGGACAGAGCTCGGCTCAATTCGTACAAACCAAGCGTGCTTGCTCACTGCCGCATCTTTGGCTTGACTTCTAACTTCCTACACATGCCGGTTATTGAAGAACTTTCAACTCTCTTTCTACGATCGCTGAAGCAATATAATGCGAAAGAGATCGTACTTCTGTCGTCCAGGCAACCTTGTTGAGTTTTGGTGGCCCTAGAGTTGCTGAACACTCCGTTACTCTGCGTGGATCAGTGCAGGGCTGGCGTTTTGTAGATGTTTGAATTGCAGTTGATAACTGGTCCACGGTGGTAAGTTGACAGCTAGCCAGGTGGCGAATGTGAGTTTCCCTCAGGCGCCTTATTTTAGGAAGAATAAGTTGCAAGCATCATGTCGCATGTCTGATGTGAAAGTAGAGGTCAAACATAGGTTGTCGCCCTCGTAAACCCGTTTTGCCGGGTTTCTGAGTGTTTGGACGTTTACATTCCTTAAGTGTTTGTCAAATGAGTTATGCGCCACGTGAAAAGTACGCACAAAAGGGCGAGCGTTCTCGCCTGAACT